ATTGGTGCCCCATTTCTGCACATTGAACTCTGATGCGAAATCCGCATATAAGCTGGGTAAATCTGGAAGTCCAGTCAGTAGGATTTCCTCGAGCACCATTTTGTGCTTTATGTTCTATTTTCATTAATTGATCATGCTGTAAGCTATATTTCAAAGAGACGAATGAGTTTATTTGCTGTCCATGTGTTTTATGGTGCTTTGCAGATTATTGATGCTGCATTGACAGAGATGAGTTAGCACAATATTTTGAATTCAAAAGTGATCCAGAGGATGAGGATGCAGAGGTTTGAATCTATCGCACCATGCAACCACTTCCAATTATCTAGGAAAAATTCCATGTAACTGCTTGGAAGAAGCATCAAGCCCACCCTCATGAGCTCTATATGGATTTTTAACCGTTTCTTGTTATATTAACAAATTATCATGCCACACGCTCTCGATACTCAATATCTCATGGATTTCTAATACCGAAGCATGGGATATTCATATCAACTCGTTTCTTTTTGCATAGAATATTAAGAAGAAGATGGAGGCTACACGAGATCAATTAGCCAAAGCTCTTTACCAAAGGGGTTAGTAGCAGAAGCAGAAATGGAGTTCGTCGGTGTAAGGTTGGTGTGAGGACAACTGAAATATGTTCCTATGAATAACATTTGTAGCATGACATACTTATACGGCGGCAAAAGGACATTATAAGTGCCATAACTTGTGTACGGCGATCACTTTGGTGCCATAACTTTTTTTTGGATCACTTTGGTGCCAACTTTTTTGAAAAACGATCACTTGAGTGCCAATGCTGACATGGCACGCTGGAAATCTGATGTGGCTCTTTTTTATTAATATTCGATGCTGAGATGGCTGGCCGGAGCTGCCCGGAGAGTCCAGTCAGCCCTTATAGCGAAAACGACGTCGTTCAACCTTTCTCCCCCCAATATAGGAACCCTAAATCGGCTAATTGGACATATTCCCCAATTGCAAACCCTAACCGGCCATATTATTTCTTTGTTTTCCCCGAAATTGACAGCTAAAGGTTGCAAATGGATGGCAGGAGCTTCACTAGCGGCTCAAATTCGTTTGAACGAAGTGAAGAAGAAGGTCGGTTCTTCTGCTATTGTGAATTACCAAGTCCAAGAAGAATACTCGATTGAACCCCGGAAGAAGATTCTATGGATGCGCTAGGTATAGAGAAGGCTCGAAGTGCAAATTTTTCAAGTGGGTTGATGCGAAATTTTCAGATCGAGCAACAGAGGTGATAGTGAAGCTACTTGAAGCTCAACATCAACCTCCACCTACATTAATAGACAAGTTGGACGAGTTGGACGATGTCGACTCATTGCAAGCTGAAATGAAAGCTTTAGCATCTCTGGCCAACCATTTGAAGAAGGAAGTTCGAAGGATGAAAATCGAAAGAAAGTGTTATCGATTGTTGATTGTGTTATTGATATTTTTTATAGCATATTTTATGGTCAAATGTAATGTCAGTGATGAGCAAAAGTTTCTTAGTCTACCATAATTTAAGATAGGCTTGTACTATGTACTTGTATTTGGCAATTTGTGGCTACGGTTGTGTTATTAGTTTGCTGCAATTTATGTATGTAACAAGAGGTTTGCTGCAATCTATGACAAATGGAAGGTTGGAATTTATTGGTTTTCAATGTTGAGTTGCTGCATATTTTGATACAGTTTTGCCTCATTGGCAGCATATTTTGTTGCATATTTTTGCTCATTTGCTGTCTTTTGCTGCACTTCCTCATTTGCAGCATATTTTGCTGCATATTTTTGCTCATTTGCTGTCATTTGCTGCACTTCCTCATTTGCAGCATATTTTGCTGCATATTTTTGCTCATTTGCTGTCATTTGCTACACTTTCTCATTTGCAACATATTTTACTGCTATTTTTTGCTCATTTGCTATCATTCTTGCACTTTCTCATTGGCAGCATATTTTTGCTCATTCTTTGTCATTTCTTGCACTTCCTCATTTGCTTCATATTTTTGCTCATTTCTTTGCACTTGCTCGATTCTTTTGCATATTCACTTGCTCATTTGTTGTATTTTTTTTCATCTGGTTAGATGGTTGCATATTATGGAGTAAGGCTCACTACTGAAAAATGAGGTGCTGCAAGTGTTGCAACTCTGCGTAGCAGCAAATTATGAAGTCGTCACAAGTTCAGCAGTTGACATTTTAGTGCCAAATGTTTCTAATCGTGATCACTTAAGTGCCAGTCGTGGTTCAAAAGTGATCACTTAAGTTCTAGTCGTGGTTCAAAATTGATCACTTAAGTTCCAGTCGTGGTTCAAAAGTGATCACTTAAGTGCCAATTGTGGCCGAAAGTTGATCACTTAAGTGTAATGCCGTGTGTTTCTTTGAAAAATGGAGACTTTGGTTCCAACAAACCAATATTTAAACCAGATCATTCCAGAATCAAAACAGTAACTGTACCAGCATTGCTCACTAGCACCAAACCGCCCCAAACCATACTCATAAACTGGTTCAAACAGCACCCAAACCATATTCAATCACTAGAACCAAACAACCCCCAAACCATATTCAAAAACGGTTCAAAATGCTTGCACCAAGCACGTGCCGCGTCTTTGGTGCAAGCAACGTATCGCACTCCCAAATATGACAAAATCAAGCGGCTACCATACTATACTCCCAAACAGTACAAAATCAGCAGCTAGTGCAAACACCATACTGCACTCCCAAACAGCACAAAATCAGCAGCTGGTGCAAGCACCATATTGCACCTAAAAATAGCACAAAAAACCAGCACTAGCAGCACCAATTCCCACCCCCCCCACCAACTGCATCAGTAAGTTTCTTTGAATATTAACTTACTGATGCAATTTGCAAGCACCCCACTACACCAGTACTATACTAAAACAGAACAAACACGTGTGCAAAAATATGAAAATCACAACCACCTTAACCACGGTAAACATCGAATTTAGTCATTACACACAACATCCCATTAGTCAATAACATTCCAGGACCACAAAAAATCAACCTCCTATTAGCCAATACGGTAAACCTCTCTAATTTCACAAAAACTAACAATCACCTCAACACCCTCCCATTAGTCAATAGTGATAAATCTACCATTTCCTTTTCCTTTCGATGGCTTCTTGAATTGATTTATAATTCTTTGACTCTTTCGAACTGGAGGAACTGCAGGTTGTTCTTCTGAAGATGCAGGTTCTTCAATAGCTGGAGCTGCTTCTTCTTGAACTGCTGGAGCTGCATCTTCTTCAACAACTGGAGTTACTTCTTCTTGAACTGCTTGAGCTGCATCTTCTTCAACAGCTAGAGTTGCTTCTTCTTGAACTGCTCCAGCTACATCTTTTTCAACTGCTGGACCAGCAGGTTATTCTACTGGCCTTCTTGCTCGAGATTTCTTCTTAGGCACAGCAACTATCTTCTTCTTACTGGTGTTGGTGGCTGTTTTGGAGCTGTCAGCATGTGCTGGTTGATCAGGAACTAGTGTTGAGTTTTTTGTTGGCGGCAGTTTACGAACACTCTTCTCTGCAGCCACCATTCTTCTCTTTGGACCAGCTGCTTGCGACGTTGGTTGGATTCTTTTTGGTGCAGCCCTTGACTCTTGGCTTAGGCCAACTTGAGATATGAGAACCTCTGAACTCCTCGCAGGCTACAACAACATAATCATGGATGAGAAGAAGCAATATTGTCATAAAAGTGAAAAACTCAAAAATGAAATGTATGAGATGTACAAAACTTAAATGCAAAATAGTCATTCCAGTATTGCAGTCCGTATAAATTCCATAACCATATTGCCTTAATCTTCTGCCGAGGATCTCTCTTGTTTGATATGGTGCCTCACTTTGAGGAACCTGAGCTGCTTGTTCAGTTGGTTTTCTTCTCAACTGATAAGGACAAACAATGTCAACTAAAGCCAAAGTCTGCTCAATAAAGATTAATACAAATACATATAGCTTAATGGAGGTTGCCCTAGCCTGTGCAACAGTCGAGGAGGAGGTTGCCCTTGAACCTGGGCCTCCGGTTGGCTCTTCAGCTGGTTATTGAACTTGGCCTTCAGCAGGCCCTTCAGCTAGACAATCAGCATGCCTATCAGCTGGCCCTCCAGCAGGCCTTTCAGCAGCCCCTTTAGCTGGTTCTTGTGCTGGCGCTGCACTTGATCTAATTTGAGTCCCTCCACTTGGCTGTTGAAGCAACTGATGTTGCTTCTTCAAATGACAATCACTTTTGTTGTGACCTACCTCATGACAATATGAGCATCTTATCTTTACACCTGACCTGCTCATCTTCTTACTTCTGGGCACTCCCTCCTGCTTTCTTCGTCTCCTTTTAGGCCTTCTTATTTGTTTCTTAAGTGGCAAAGGATGAGGGGCTTCATGATTTGTCGGCTCCCATAATTTTGTACTTCTAATGGGCTGCATCATGTGCTGGTACGCAGCAAGATATGTGCTTTTGTGGTAGCAATCATGCAGGTAATCCTTGAGATTTTGGTACTTCGCTTGGATGGCACAAATGGCATGTGCGCAGGGAATTCCAGAAAGTTGCCAAGCTCGATATGAGCACTTTAGTTTGTCCAATTGGACAACATACTTGTCTGTCTTTTCCATGACCTCATAGCCATCATCTCTATTCTAGATAGGATGACAGAACCTACTACTCGCCAAGTTGTCATCCAATCTTTTAGCAATCCTAGGACCACACTGTCCAGTCCACTTTGCAGCCTCATCTCTCTGTTTTTGCAGCCTTGTCATGACTATCACTCAAATATCCTCAAGCATGCTGATGATTGGTTTGCACCTCGCCTTTAAAATTCTGCCATTGAAGGCTTTACTAAGATTGTTATTAATGATATCGCTCTTGAATTTTTCACTAAAGAAGGCCTTGCACCAATGCCTGGGTTCAGTTTGAAAAAGTGCTTCATAACCGTCCTTCGTCAAGTCAAGCAGCTGCTATTTGTGAATTCTAAAATCAGCCATGTTGGTGCTCTTAGCTATCATCCAAAATTACTTCTGTAGTTTCTCCCCTTTGTAGATCTTTGCCCAGTTTGCATATATGTGCCTCGCACACATCTTATGTTCAGCAAATGGCATCAACTCAGCTAGAGCAGGAAGAAGTCCCTACAAGAATTCATATATCAAGGCATTAATAAAGGCATGTGCAAGATAAAATGTCATAAATATTGTTTGTGCAGTTGCACTAGCATTACCTTTTGTTGGTCGCTCATGAATGGCCAACCTCCTCCATTAGTGATCTCAAGGTCCGCCATCAAATTTTTCAGGAACCATGACCAAGTGTCCTTGCTCTCTACCTTCACAACAGCCCAAGCAATTAGAAACATCTGATTATTGCCATCCCTCCCAATGACAGCCAACAATTCTCCCTTGCACACACCCTTCAAGAAACATCCATCTAACCCTATGACTCGTCTACAACCAGCAACAAATCCCCGCTTGCATGCATCAAAGCAAATATAAATTCGATCAAAGTTAGTCCCATGGTTAGGCAGTGGCCGCTCCACAACCTCAACATAAACTCGACTACCCGGGTTTTGCAGCCTACATTCTCCAACATATTCCCAAATTTGACCATATTCTTCCTTGTACCTCCCTAGAATTTTTTTCATCACCTTATGCTTGGCTCTTTTATACTGATTGAGTGATACGTTAATCCCTACCTGCTTCCTCACCAACTGCTTCAGCTAAGCACTCTTCACATCAGGCATCGCTTTGATGGTATCGAAGAAGTGCTTCGACAATCAAGCACTCGTTACCCTTTTGTTGTCAAACATGATGGAACAAGTATGTTCCTCCTGTAATGACCTAATTTGGAATGACCCATCCCTCTTTGAACGTGCGACATATATCTTCCACGAACAACTAGGTTGAGAACATTTTGCTCTAACATAGTCCTGCGTATTTCGAGTAAACTGAAGAGTCCTATGTTCAGCTATTGAATACTTGATAATCCCTTCTTTGAATTGTTTGGCATCAGAAAATTTCAGACCTACAGTTAACACAGAAGAAGAAGAGCCATGATCGTATAACGGATACTTACGTTTCCTTCTGCGCACAACGGGATCATCATCTTCATGCTGATTTTCAGAATTATCATTCTGTTCATCAGAGCCACTTTCTTCATAATCAGTGTCATTACCTTCAGCTGGAGCTCCATCAATGCTATGTCCTGGTTCAGCTTCATGCAATCCTCCAAGTGCAGCTATTGATTTTTTTCCAAATTCCCTTTGCTTTTGCCTTGACTGTGCAAGTTCCTCATCGTCATCATCACTTGGTAAATTTACATTTGTCACACCCTCATCATCAGATTCACTAGATGCAACAACTTCCCACGACAATCCAGTGAACTCAAATCCAGTGAACTCTTCACTCGCTGCATGGCTTGCCTCCCTCTCATCCCTCTCATGTCCAGCTTCATCTATAATAGAACTAGCACCAACCTGAGTACTAGGTAAAGCAGCACCATCCCTTACGTCTCCTCCCTCAGCCCCTTCATTAGATTCACCATCACTATAGGACTCAACGTACACAACAGCTTCTTTTCCATGAAGATAATGGTAGATGATATCCTTAACATCATTATCATCATCAAAGTTTCTAATACCGTCCTTCAAGCTGCTTCCAGGAACACAATAATGCAAACTTCCTATTTTACATCTTAATTGTTGAACTATATCCCTCATGAGATTAATATATGCTGGCTTGCTTCTATCAAAATAAACGGTACCTTCAAGTCCCCAAAAGTATTCTCACTCGTCAGTGCCGATGACAAATTCTCCCCCATAGCGAACAATGATGCCGATAATTGTGTCTTTATCCCCCATATCGACCCTGCATTGAAGGAAAAAAGCCAAAATATTCAATATTTTAGCTTTCGGGACCACACCACATAAGAAAAAGAGCACAGCTTCACATGAACGTCCCCCACATGGTCGACAAGATTGAAAAAGCCACCATCAGACCACATGGGTGACAATGACAGAGGTCCCCACATGGACCACAGTCTATCGCATATACTCAGCCCGGCACCAACACAATCGAATCCACTTCAAGCCCTAATATCCGAACAACTAGCCATAATTTATGAAGTTCAAGCTTTAATTTCAGAAGTTCAAGACCTAATTTCAAGTTCGAGCCCCAATTTCCCAAGTTCGAGCCCTAATTTCCTACTTCAATAATTTCCCGAAGGCAACTCTAATCTACCAATTAATTGAGTGAAACATAAGACAATGAAGCACAATGTGTCGATCAATTTAGCAAAATAGAAATTAACAGCCCTTATTTGAAGACCGACCTTCGTAATTTGCCACGGAGACGGGACCGACGCCCGACGGGACGAGTGATGCTCAGTTCACGGGATGAGGGAGCGACACCGACCGACCGCGAGGGGAAGGCAAGAGACGACGATGGTGACGGTGACGGCAACGGCCACGAAATGAGGGCGCCACGAGCGACGGGCGACGGCGACTGGACGAGGGAGACAGAGCAGGTGTGACGAGCGACGCGATGCTAAGACCTTTGAACTGAGCGACGTCGTTTGCTGTCCTAAATGGAACGACGTCGTTCTTCTTGTCCAAGTGGACTGAGCAACGTCATTTTGCTCGTCCACGTGGACATCAAATGTTGAACCCAATATCCACGTCACACTCTTTTTCTAAATGAAAAATGCCAGGTCAGTTTTTTGACCGGAATTTTGGCCGAAGTCACTAAAGTGATCTATTTTCCTCCGACTTGGAACCAAAGTGATCCGAAAAAAAGTTATAGCACCAAAGTGATCGCCGTACACAAGTTATGGTACTTATAGTATCCTTTTGCCCTTATACGGCTTTAAGCTTTAGGTGCTAATGTAGTCCTCCATATTACTTACGTGCACTCCTAATATCAAATTCTTGTTATATCAATGATCTCTTCGATATGTCTCCCTAGCCTAGATCCTTCGATAATCATGAAGTATATGAATTGAGATCGCGCTGCAAATGTGTGCTGCATTACTTATAATTTTACACCAAGTGTCCTTCCCCCTTCCCAGTCAAAATGTTTTCGGATTGATACCATCTGTGCACGGTTAACAGCTGTCAGCACAAGGAGTCCCAATGCTGGCATGCTGTCAAAGGTGTTACATTTCCCCCAACATGAAACCATCAATCTTCAGGATTTATTGAATTCACTATGGTGATGAATCAATTACGTTGCTTTAAGCAATTCAAAAATTACGGATCACTTTCTCTCGCACCCCTTAATTGTTGCAGGAAGAGAAGGCTTCAGCGAAAGCTACAACTGAAGAGGCTCACAAGATGTGGCTGCAAGTGGTGATGGTGATGAACCTATTTAAAGCCCTGGTGTCCCACCCACTTTCTTTGAAGAGAATTTTTGGAATTGAAGGCGTGGTTTAGTACTGAATGAGGACTGCATAATGAATGCCTTCGCACACCCTTGCAATGTGGGTTATAGCAAGCACACCTAGAAAGCGAGGTCGCGCCGTCCTCGCCGGCCGCTATTGAAAAAAAGGAATGAAGACTAGCTAGGAAAAAAAAAAAGGAAAACGATAAAAAAAATTCAAAAAAATATTAAAATATTATTAAAATTGTCAATGTCAGTGCCGGTTATGCCAAGCAAGAAGGCCGGCATCGACATCAGCGATTTCCTGCTAAAATTAGCCGGATGGACTCGATTGACAAAAGTTGAAAAGGTTTAGGACTCAACTGACAAAATTGAAAGGTTTATGACTGAATTGGCAAAAATACAATGGATTTAAGACTTTTTGGATAATTTTTCCTATTAAATAAAAAATCCGCATCTTCCATTCGTTAAGGATAGTCTATCCATCTTGAGATGGAAATTTGCAATAAGTTGCTTCCTGTGATTTATCCTTGGGAGGTTGAGCTCAAGTGAATTTCAAGCTTGGAAATTCATGAATCTGAATAATTCCGTCAAATTCTATTGAGGGATGTCATCTTTCTCGCAACATGAATCAAAAACAAACTTGTTGAGACAAATTCAAATTTGACACAGACTTTTTCACTCTAAAACGCCTTCAAAAGTTTCTACTCTTTTACCATTTCTTTGCGTTTGGCCAATATCCACCCTTGGGGTGTTGCTGCAACTAGGGGCCATTGCGTCCGCTCCATTTTGAATATGGTGCAGCTAAAATGATCAAACACGCAATTGTAAAGTCCCAAATTCGTCGTGTATTAATAGACAATACATTGCCATAACTTCATATTTTACAAGAGATACTTACTGACAAATTAAACTCAAGTCTCACATAAGGAATGGCCTTCCTTGTCTAAAGAGGTTGCATGATCAAGGGCAATCCACAAGCTGGTCTGAGAGAGAGCAGAATTGAAGGAGAATGACAGTAATTTGGCGAGAGAGAAAAGGAAAACCTAGAGAGGACCAAGGATAAAACAATCTTGTACTCCATCATCATCAAGTTTCTGCCGATGCACATCCGCCCACCGAACCCAAATGGCAAAAAACCCATCTTGTGCTTGCATCTGCCGTGGCTGTCGCCATCAAACCTCTCCGGCTTGAACTCACTCACGTCGTCACCCCATAAAGTCGGGTCGTGGTGCATGGACACGACATCAATCCATATGTTCGTTCCGTCGGGGATTATGAAGTCATTGACCTGAATGTCTCCCCTTGCTTGCCTTTGTACATTCGGGGCTGGACTATATAGGCGTAAAACCTCATTCATCACCAATCCCATCTGCAATGACAGGTTAATCAAATTTTAGCCAAGCATTTCTCTCCTGTCCTTTTGTCTAATGATTTCAGTCAAGCAAACATCTCCTACAACCTTTGACACCACATATTAGTCTTATGCAGTTGTATTAGATTAGCTTGATTGTATTTGTAAGCTCGTCATGATCAAACCTGGACCCAATAGCTAATCAGTAGCAAATGAACAAGTTAGATCCATGCTGGGATCCCAGTTAGCCCTTCAACTGGCCTAGACTTGTTTCCCATGTTTTTGAGTCCTTCAGATCAGAGGCGACTCTCAGAGATTCAAGCAAGTCAAAGATTATGCATGAAGATACTTTGAATGGTCGTGATATTATAAAATGTTTATAAGCCACAAAATATCTCCCATAAATGTTATTTCTACATTTGATAATTCCAGTCGGCAATCGCGACATCAATGAAATCATGTAGAGCATTCATGTCGTCTTCTATTCCTCATCATCTTTAAAATTAGTGGCATATTGCTGGCCAAAATTTAAAACAGAAGGTACTTATACTTTTGCTATTGCTTCAAAGATATGTGTACAATCTCTAAGTAGATTCGTTATGTAATGTAATTTATCTAAAACTCCAGATATTTTTCCATTTCTCAAAGAACTTCTCAAATAGATCCATTTTACCAGTAACAGAAAGCCAAAGATAAGATAGAGAACATGCAAATCAAATTATTTCCTAAAGTTTGATTGAGGTAATTATAAGTCTATCAAAACACGTGTATAAGACGTTCCCCTCATTTACCATATGTCTTGACCCTACCATGAATAGTAAAAGTTAGTATCAAGATAAAATCCAAAGTAGGACTGGTCAATTTTATATTGAGGCAAAAACCATCAAATCCTCCTCAAAGACCAACATAATAACTAGGTGGTTAAAAGTAAATTACTGATATTATTGTTTAAGCATAATCAAAGGAACTGTAAACCCCAACTCGAAGGCTAAAAGATTTCCGCCTTGAGAAATATTCGCACATAAATCTATCACATCACATGCATGCAATTAAACAGTATTCATAGTTATCGAAACGTGGACTTCAATCCAATCAAAGATGTAATTTACCTTATTGTCCTTGCTATCACCTGTATAACCAACACAGGTAGATCGCAATAGATAATTCCTAAATGAGAAGAGGATATAAATGACTGACATATCGGGCATCATCATTTTATGCAGGTGCTCCGCAGCAGCTAAAACTTATCCATTCTTAAAGTGCTCAGTATATAAATAACTCTTTACCTTCTTGAGTCCAGCAAGCATGGCGACTTCCAACTCTTTATTTCCTACCACCTCTTCAATCTCTTCTCTCAATTGCTTCTGCCACTCTGGATATAATGCCAGGAGAAAAAGCGTCCAGGTTAGCGCCAACGCTGTTGTTTCATGGCCCCCGAAGAAGAACGTCTTGCATTCGTCCACTAGTTCTCTTGTAGATAACTTCTTCCTTAGCCTTTTGTTATCTTCATTGTGACTATCTTGGAGCAACACCCCGAGTAAATCCCTAGGCTCATTCCTGGTGTCCGCACTCTTCCTCCGCTCCATGATGAAGGACATTAAGAGATCATCGATTTCCTTCCCAAGCCTTTTGGCCTCTAGGGTATGCTTAGGGTACATGAAGTTGTTGTAGGGTACCCCCACACAGCGGTTGGTCTTGAAGAGAGTAAATTGTAGGGCTCTTAACTTTTCAAGAACTTTGGTGCATTCTTGGGGGCTTATGCCAAAGCTTGATTGAGCGATGATTTCCCCGGCTGTGGCCGTAATCTCGCATTCCACATCAAGTTCTGCATGTCCAGAGCTTGTGAGATCAACCCACTTTGTTAGCATTCTCTTCGTGGATTCCACCATGATGTTTGTCATTACCTGTTTGCAGGCAAAGAGGATTAAATTAAGAGCAGGTGTTAGCTCCGTATGGTATATAGATTTAACCTAGATTAAACAAGTAGATTTACTATGTGTTTGATTCAGAGAATTAGAATATGTGGTATTTTCTTCTACATAAGAGAAACAAAATGGTATCCAAGATTCTCTGCAATAAGTTCTAACAAAATGAACTACAACCGACAAAAGATGACCAAACTAGTGAACCATTAATCGAGGGTTTTTTGCAGGCTCTCTCTTGTTTTTCGCTTTTGTTACTAGTCCTAGATTCGTAGGGAATAACAAAAACTACCTTCCACGTGCTTCTTCTTCTCGAGAAGGTAATGGAAGCCTTTTTTATAAAAGTTGAACAGATCAATATTCAGCATAAAATATTGCGATTTTGAGGAGGACAACACAAAATCTCAGGGAAATACTTATACTATAACAAGAACTCTCGAGAGCATTAGAAGGAACTCACAACTCCTTTTACTTAGAATTTCTAGCTTGATCGATTATAGTTTCACTTATATGGGTGGAGTTAATGGAGAGATATTTACATAATCTAGACTAGCTAGATGAATCTCTATCGATTTCACAATTAATAGAATGCATGTACCACTTCTACTAGGAGCAACCTTCCTCATATTAATGCCTATATCACTATAGCAAAGTGCATGAACTATGGTAAATAAATTCCTAGAGATAATCAAAAGAATAAGCTGTGAAAATATTTTGTTGGAGAGAGAGCTGGAGGAACCTTGAAATTGGATGGAGAAAATGCTGGGGTTATGATGTGTCTGCGTTGAACCCACTCATCACCTTCGGTCATTATAAGACCATTACCAAACATTGGCTTCCTATCCAATTTGAACACATCGGGCTTTCCCCAGTTTTTACCCTTGACTATGACAGACATGTTTTTAAGAAATTCGGGGTCTGCGATGTAGAGAAACGGCTTAGTGCCCAGCCAGTAGATGAACACCTTCCCTGATATTCACAAGATCCAGAATGAAACTTGTTAGCGTAATCATTCTTGCTTCTTTATACATATGTAGGAGGAACCCTAGAAAAGTAGAATTGAAATACAATACATATATGTTTGGGATTGATGGCTGTTGACGAGATATCATCACCATGGCTAAAACCCATGACAACTTGAAAATTTCACTAACATCAGGAGATTGATCCTCTTGATCAATAATGAATTGATGGCTTTGTAGAGAGATCAAGATTATCTTGCTATGCCTAAATGAAGAGATGTGTCCATATGCCACAACATATATTTCTCTGCACGTTGTAACTCTTACAGATTCCTAAAAGTCACCAACCCTAAAAATCGGTCGGCTATATGCAAATTATCTTTTCATCCAATGACTCTCAATCAACAAAACGGAACACCAAATGGTGTTCATATGAATAATCTTATGCATTGATAACCATGACAACAGTTCTCGCTTATTTTCTCTTGTAGAAATTCACATTTTAGGGCTAAATGATTTGAAAACTTAGACATTAACCACATGATATAGTTGTCTTCAAGGGTCTATTCCTTTATCATCACACCAGTAGGTGATCACTGAAGATAAGGTCGATCTTCTAGATTTGATCTAGGGATATTGGGAATAGACACCAGATTTTCAATAAGATTCAGATGGCTCACCATGCAACTTTTGCCACTCAGCAAAGTAAGGAAACACAGTGGAATGAATATCATGAGTTATCAGCTGCTTCAACAGAGATGCCTCGGAAACATTTCTCTTCTTTTTCATCTCCATGATATTCCCTAGAGGAAAATTCGGGGTTGGACCCCCAAACCCCTTTTTCCTCAGCTTCCTTTGAGCTCGGAGGGGCGAAATCCACCAGGTGATCGACAGTCTCACGAGAACCATGAAGAGGATTAAGATCAACACTGCTATAATTGAAGTAAGACCACCGTACGGCTCCATAAGGTGCCTCATCTGTGCGTGCGTGCGTGTGTGATTTGGGAAGATTGATTGCGGTGAAACAATTCAAGATGAACGAGGGTGTGAGTGGGTGTTATATAGATGAATGGCTCTCTAGGGTTTCTGAGGCATGTCGGAATGTTGACTAAGGAAGCAGCCGAGACAAAAGTAGACGTGGTGGGCTGCTGGGTATTTTCTACGTGCCTCGCTCACAGGACTGTAGTACATGTGAAGGCTTCCATTATCATAGTCTGTGGAAATACTGATGCTCACTTTCCTGTCCCTACTTGATTATTAGATCATTTATATAGCAGGCCCATTCACGTCGCTATAGCTCGTGTGGACGACTTAGCCGCAAAACTCGAAATGACGTATCTCTGTCCGTAACGCCATCTTTTGACCGACACATGACGGTCTCAGCTCCAACAGAAGATGGTTGGTTCACTGCCACTCTCACGATTGGAGAAATTATTGATATCCTTCCCCAAGTTATCATGTGGTGGTGCGGACATGTTCGAAAAAATGCACAAACCGCTAACTCCAAAGAAAGACTGTCGGATTGACGTGAGTGGCTAGTAGGAAGCCAAACATGCCGATTCATGTGATTTACAATACACTTCAACCATGGATGTATGACAGAGATCTATACGTTAGTCTATATGTCTCGATTTCATTTGTTCTCAATTTCGTCCTTTTTATTAGAATGTCTAAACCAAAAAACGTAAGCCAATGTGTGAAAAGATGCCATATGTATATAAAGAAGAGCATATACACTGCATACGCAAGCGATATTGAACATTTCAATACTCTCGATCATTCGTCATTACTCATCAGAAGATGCATATTTCATCAATCCGTTGATGACCGGTGACATTTTATCTTAGGCCGCCGAAAAGACGAACCAATAAAGAAATGATTCATCACAAAAAGGGGGGATAAAAAGATGATCCTTCATTCTCCTAGCCAAAGGAAGAAAAAGAAATGAAGACCTCCACTGTTCTTTCTTTTGAAAGTCGTTTGCATGAGGATACACATAAGTTCTACCGTCACCAGTCGTGAAATATATGTGAACATTCTGATTTCTTCCTCTCCTTTTTGGGTCCTGGACATTTAACATGTGGTCATACGCTTATGGTCGGTGTAGGACAACGTCCTTCAATCATCTCGGGTCGTCGATCGTCAACAATTTCCGATTCTCTGCTGAATTCCGGGGATATATGATGTTGACACTGATGCGAGCTAAATAATGAAAGTGAGATATCCAAAAATATTCATAAATCCGCGACATTTATATATGAAAACTAAAAGATGAATCATTACCATTTACCAATTCTTCAATTCAAGCCACTGACTAATGCTTGCATTATTTTATTGGAGATCCTAGCTCAAGCCTAGATCACATTTGAATTTGGCTGGCAGAGACTCATTCTAGGAACCATTTTTAAAGAGCAAGTGACGTGATCTGAGTGGTCCATTGCATCTTTGATTGAGCTCTTGATTATCAGCACTTACTTAAAATGGAAGAAGAACAAACTCGAGTGATTTGCTTTAATGAAAAAATCTTGATCAAAATGTAACTGTAGATGTGTTGTATTATACAAATGACCTGATGACGCTCCGACATTTAAATGGAAATAGTTAGAGTGAATGCGGAACATGGACATGCATTTAATTATTCGAGTACTTCATTTGAGTAAAATGGCATATATCAAGGGCGAAAATAACAATCTTATCTACACTCCATCCACGATGGGCAAAGAGATCCGAGTTATTAGATCAAGCAAGTAACATACGAGATACTAATGAACCCTCTTTGGGTGTAGCTTGAGAGTGGTATGGGAGGAAATTTTAGAGGAGACCAAATCAATGTGATTGTCACTTGAGACCTATATATCATGTCCGGTGAATAAAACAAAACATATAGATTTCCCATGTAAAAATCAAAGTTTTTGAAGAAATGTGGGCCTATCAAGGAACCATATAGCTAATCACGTTGACAAAAGAAGCAAAATGAAAAGGGAAAAAAAGCATATGCTTGAGGACTAGCTTGATCATGTACATTAATTCAACATTACCTAGAGATTTTTATTGGACCTTCTAGACTATTGTTGCACCTATTTATCTTTGGTTGAATACTGTTGCTTCGGTGGCTTGAATCAATCCACCAGTGGGATGGCTGCTTCAATTTTGAAGACCTATTCGTTTTGACCTCATGCCCTATTTCCTCTTTCAAAAGAGAGAGATTATATTTTTGGCGAGATTTATTAATAATTTTTTGGTCGTATACTTTTGTATTGTCCTACCGGATCAGTGGACCTTGAAAACAATTGTATTCGCAACTATCATTAATTCGGATAATGTCCACACACATTCGAAAGAGGACTTTTTATTCCTTAAACAGACAATATACAAATTTCATGAGTTAAGCTATACAAAAAAATTTTCTTAAGCAACGACGATTGCTCCATAAGCAAATAGTTCTTGAATGTAACAATTGGCTAGTATTGCTTTTTATTCACCAGTGATTACAGATAAAAACGTTTGGACGGATTTTGAATGTCTAAATATATGATTTTTCAAGTCAGTTGAATTTGATGATACGAGAGCCAACGAGTAAATTCCCAACGAATGGCAATCAGAACAACGTAATAGTTCTAACGAAATTTCTTATCGGGTAGGAACGATTCGCGGTCCACCAAGACTTTTCTTGTTTTTGTATATAAGATAAGAGTAGAATCTTTTAGAAGCTGGGATATCAAAGTCAAACTGGCCGGCATCGAGAAAACGGCTCCTTCTGATTTGCCCCAAAACCAATGGACATCGTAGTCAGACACTGTGTACACGTGGCGTGTGATGAGGCACTAGTGGGGGACGGGGGGCAAAAGATCTTTTCTCCAGCACTGTGAGTTAATCATTTTTAAAGTGCATTGTAAAAACAAGACAGATGTTCGATTAAGACTAGAGATCCGGTTAGCCACATTAATTGAAGATGGCCGCTTGTCATCAGACCAGACCAAAGCAAGAATGCACGAGGAATCTCATAGTTCGGATGCAAAACGTCTCTAGGCATGCAAATTATCATATACCAAACAGTATGAATACGTTCTCCAACCAAAAAAAAAAATATGAATACATTCGACCAAAAGAAAAACAGCATGAATACGCCTACGAACATTTGTATCGATGATGTCATGCCATTCGAAAAGGTCCATCGAATTGGATAACCACGTGAAATCACTTAGTTATTAAGGTTTCGTTTGTCTCGCACAAAATGATTGATTTGAAAAATATTTTCTTAAAAATAATCGCTTATATCGCTTATAATTATTAGTTAATAAAAAATATTTTCACTATCGATAACAATTTATATCTCAACATTATTATGAACAATGAAAATATTTTTCTTTCATTTATTTTTGTAAGCGATACAATCAATCATTTTTAGAAAAATATTTTTCAAATTATTCGTTTTCCACGAAACAAATGCACTCTATGTTCGATTATGTGTTCGGGCAATTTTCCTTAGTCTTGCTAGTTTTTGGTATCCAACGAGAACTGAAATACGTACACTTGCAAATAGAGATAATTTTAGTACTAAACTTTTTAATTTAGGCAATTTAGTCCTAAATCTTTTGATTATTTGCTAATGTAGTCTTTTCGATCAATATTGGCAGGAAATCGCTAACGTGGACGCCACCCATTCTATGTGGCACGACCGACGATGAAGTGGACAAATTTTGTAAATTTAAAAAAAATAATTTCTGAATTTTTTTATATTTTCTTTACTTTTCTTTTTTTGTTCCACTGTGGCAGACAAGGCTCGAGGCCACACCTCGGCAAGCCTCATTGGCTACGAGCCCTCGCCAACGGCTGGCGAGGCTCACTGGCCACAATGGAAAAGTAGAAAAGAAAAAATATAGTATAATATAATATAAAAATACATAAAGATTTAGAAATTGCAAAAAATTATCTGCATCAGCAATTTCCAGCCAAAATTGGCTAGAAAGACTTCATTGACAAATTATCAAAAGGTTTAGGACTAAATTGGCTAAATTAAAAGGTTTAGGATTGAATTGGCATCCATACATTAGGTTTAGGATTTTTTTGGTAATTTTCCTCTTGCAAATACAAGGAGAGGAAAGGGAGCGAGTGTGTAGTGAAATACCTAAAACAATTTAATACAACACAGAAATTATATACGTACATACATATATATAGTGTCATATTTTTCTCGACCCCAGCTTCCTCCAACTATTCTCTAATTGATAATTACGAACATGGATACACATCAATTTATTTTTGATTAAGTTTACATGTACGTGAATGATGTCTATATTTGTAACCTACTAATCAGAGATTCGATTTCCTTCAATTAGAGACGGAAGAAAAGGTAATCCATTTAGATGAACCTCACTTCAACAACATTCTCAGCTCAAAGCAATTTGCTCCTCGTGATAGAAGGTAACTAGAACTAGCCAGGTTATATAGGTCCGTCGTGGTCAAGTAGGTAGGCTCTGTCGTGGTCCGTCGTACGTAGATGTATGCACTCTTCATTTTTTATAGCTCACGAGAATCTAATTAGTAGATTAGGACTTTTACTGCCTAAGCTGAATCTTCATAATTCTCAAACAAATTATGTTTAGTTTGAAGGATAGATGAGGCTTGAAGGGTCGATAAGTGTTCAAGAACATCGATGACGCAGCACATAAAATGGAACTTTGCACCATGTAGTAATATTAACAGGCCGAAACATTGATCTAATTTGGGCTTACATTCCTACGACGATGATGTCAGCCCAAATTCTGGCCCAAAATCAGCCTTCTCTCGTTCACATTCTATCCACTGTTAAGAGGAAGGTGTCATTTAATTAATATTCAAGCGCACCATTAGTTTGCCTAATGCATATACCCATTAAATCTACTAGAGCTTTAATGCCATAATACCTGGATATGGTAGTGTAACTCGACTACAAACTAGTGCTCATTTAACCCTACAACGGAGAGAGTGAGTTAGAGTGGTGCAATCACGTCTAACTTTGTTACCCCATACCCTCCGATTCAATTAATAATGATGCTTATAAAGATCTAACCAGCACACGGGCCAAGCCTCAAAAGGAGTTTCCGAGTGCTCATTCGACATCGGTTATCGAAAAAATAAAATAAAAACTAATTCCATATGACCATTCTCATTTTACCAACAAATGTTTCATCAAGATGTGACTAACTTAATATATCACCCATTCAACAAAAAAAAATATATATCATCCGAATAATATAATTTCGTGCAACATGCATCTTGGCAAATTTGTAGCTAGCTAGTCAATGTAGTCACGCGCCTCGAGATGCATGTGAAGTCATCTCCTTCCTAACCCACCAAACATCTTTTGAATTGTAAGAAGCGAGTATCAACTTTAACTCAAGATATCACAAGTTTAGCCAGTCCTCCTCCTTTATTGGAACTGTCGATATCGGGCAAAGTTTGGTGGATGCTCAGCGAACTTAAGAGGCCAAGTCCTGACAAAATGACCATCTCTCTTGTAACTAATTGCCGTAAAAGGCGGCTTTCGAGAAAGTCCATTAAGCACATTTTTCATCGCTTAGGACGACCTTTTCTCTTCATATGCCATCATTCTCTTGTTCGATATAATTTAATAAGTGAAGTCTAAGCAATCGGGCGTTCATCAATTTCACATTCGATGTTAAAAGGGAGGTTTCTAGAGAGTGCCCCTGATACTAGGGCATTATAGGCCGTGCCCAACTTTGGCCTAGGGCAGTTTGATTATGAATAAGCATTGTTTTATGAAGAAAGATGGGGGAAAATTGTCAAAAAAGTCCTAAACATATTGTACGGCGGCCAATTCAGTCCTAAACCTTTTAATTTTGTCAATTCAGTCCTAAACCTTTCTAACTCTTACCAATTCAGTCCTTCCGGCCAATTTTGGCCGGCCGGCCGGCGCTGACATGGCCGCCGGCCGTCCGGGCAACGCTAATGTGGCAATTTTTTTTTTTATTTTTTTTCAATTTTTTAATCTTTTTTTTCTTTTTTTTCTGATTTCTTCCTCTGGCCGGTCCGGCGACCGGCGGCCGGCCAGAGGGGAGGGTCGGCTAGGTCGACCTCGCCAACCTCGCCGCTGCTGAGGCGAGGCTGACCTCGCCGTCGTCTGGTTCGTGACAACGAGGTCGAGCCTCGCCGTCGCCTGGGTCGACCTCGCCGTCGCGACCTAGGCGACGGCGAGGTCGGCCTCACCGTTGCTGGGCCTCGCCTCGCCCAGCAGCGGCGAGGTCGATCCAGGCGACGGCGAGGCTCGACCTTGCCGTCGCGAACTAGGCGACAGCGGGGTCGGCCTCGCCTCAGCAGCGGCGAGGCCGGCGAGGTCGACCTCGCCTCAGCAGCGGTGAGGCCGGCGAGGTCGACCTCGCCGGCCCTCCCCTCTGGCCGGCTGCCGGTCGCCGGACCGACCAGAGGAAGAAATCAGAAAAAAAAAAAAGATTAAAAAATTGAAAAAAATAATTAAAAAAATTGCCATGTCAGCGTTGGCCGGACGACCGATGGCCACGTCAGCGCCGGCTGGCCAAAATTGGCCGGAAGGATTGAATTGGCAAGAATTAGAAAGGTTTAGGACTGAATTGGCAAAATTAAAAGGTTTAGGATTGAATTGGCCGCCGTACAATAGATTTAGGACTTTTTTGACAATTTTCCCAGAAAGATGGTCTTCCTCCCCGGAAGTAACCCTAGATTTCTCAAGATTAGTATGTTAAATTCGTCTATGAAGTGATGAGTGCCTGACCAAATCTTTGTGGGCGGGGTTTGGGCGAGGCTAGCAAGCCGCCGTGCGGATGAACGGGTCCACTTCTAATCAATGGGTTATACCAAAATTAGGTGCGGTACACATGGATGGTATAGCTTTTACTGAACTGAGTAGGGAAACTTTCATGTGACTCTAAATTGAGCTTACAAATATTTTAGGATGATGGCTTTCTAAAGGGGCCTGTGACGATGAGGTGATGCTTGAAAAGTAGAGAAAAGATTACCTAACGACACTGTTCCACTTAGACGGTGCCTTCAACTGGTTTCCTTGGGAAATTCAAAAGGAGAATCACCTCTAATCCTACAATGAAATTCCTTCAATGTGAGTATAATAAAAGCAAAATAAAGAAAAAGATCAACGAAAAGAAAACCAACAAAACACCCACAATAATATAAAATTTATGACATAATTATTTACGATCATTTATTAAGTGGCCATGGCTGAGAGCTCAAATCGAGCAACCATGGCCTTGAGTTTCGCGAATCGAAGCTCAAGTGGCCATGGCCGCCAAGAGCTCAAACTCAAGGCCAATCTCGAAAAGATCTAGTATACATGATCACCGCAAGCTCTACGACTCGAAAAATCTTGCGCTCATAGTCATTTCGATTTCAAATTGAGTGCCCATGGCCATGAGCTCAAGTGGCTATGGCATCCATAAACTTGAGCTTGAAGATCCATGATTGCCGCAAGCTTGAGTTTGAGCCTGCGACTATGGCGGCTGCAATGGACCCCATGCCCATCTCTCTCTCCCTGTTTGATGTGGCTCTTATTTTGCATATATTATCGTTGAGCAAATCATTGCATGACATATGTATTTCCACGTCCGTGTCAACAATTCTGCGATATATGTCAACAAAAATCGACCAACAAGAAAAATAGTTTAACGAAGGACTACCGGTGACAGTTTTTAAAAATCGAAAGAGGCTTTTTAACATTAAAAAAAAAACAGAGGCAATTTTAATTTTTGGGACAAAAATGGAGGGATCAAATGTGACATCGTTCCTAAAAAAAAAAGTAAAAACACAAAACCTTCCGTCTCCACATTCTCAAATCCGGTTGCCCACGTACCTGTGATCAACATGCAACCGTCAGAAATTCAACATGACCGTACCCGTCATGCTATGATTGCTATCTGGGCTCTGAAAAGTCTGATTCCATAACCCCGAAGGCCTGTGCCTTTGAGACAGAAACTTCCGCCGTTGATGGCGGTGTTTGACTGGTGATGACCGCCTCTAACGGCATCGCCTGGCTGGCCATGGAGTCGTAGCCAAGAAAGACCAACATGCACATGCGTCTAAACTAGGATTCAATCTACAAGACTTCACTGTCACAGTTGTTCTCCTTCTTTTTCAAACTTGAATACCTTAATTTCTCTCTTTAGTCACCCTCCGACACGCATATATATACACTCAAAACGTTCGTCCTAGCTCGGACAGAAGCATAACACTTCCCACTAAATCTTGTTTATCTCTTAATTCTCCTTCTTCCGTCAAAAGCGCTTCCAAATGGCTTCGAGTCTGAGCTTTAACACTCTTGCTGTGATCCTCACTCTTACACTCGCCGTCTGCGTCACCAGAACACTAGGTACACACCACTATTTCACACCAGCCCGTTTCAATGTCGTTAAGGATCTTTGTTAGGCATATCATGTAGGAAAAAGTCCTTACGAGCCTCGGAAGACGTGTGTTTAATTAGTTCGCATTTGCTAATATATTTTATGCATTTCATGGACTAACGACACTTATAGCGAACTTTTTCTGCAGACACTGAACTTAATAGAAACTTGGCATATAAGAGATTTTACTAAAATACACTTGTAGCCGAGGGCAAGAGAAAGAAAGTTTACATGAAATTTCAGATGATATTTTCTATGATATTTAAAAGTAATAACAAATGCCAAGGTACTTACACTTGCAGATCGTTGGAATGCATGTTCCTTTATATGCATGTTATGTTGAAATCTAATTTTTGGTAGGACATGTGCGAACTAATACAATCTGATGGAATAATCCATGCAGGAGGAATAGTGTGTGAAAATCTCGACCACGACTCATGCGCATTCGCAGTGTCATCCCCCGGCAAGCGTTGCGTGCTGGAGAAGCAGGTGAGAAGGAGCGGGGAGGAACCATACACTTGTCGCCAATCAGGCATTGAAGCCGGGGGCCTGAGGGACTACATTGAGACAGATCAGTGCGTCGAATCATGTGGGGTTGAGCGTAGAACTCTAGGAATCGCATCAGATGCTCTACTGGAGCCTCGCTTTGCACAACAGCTTTGCTCGTCCAAGTGCTATGGAAGTTGCCCTAACATTGTCGATCTCTACTTCAATCTTGCTGCGGGTGAAGGTAACAGAAAAATGGTCATATACGTTGCAGAGTGAATCTTCTTAATTATCAATACTGTTTGAAGGAATCCATTTTATAAGAACTCTCCCTCGCGCAGAAATTACTTAACAAAAGGACAACAACCTGACCTGACAAATGTAAACTATCGATCTTAATATGTGGGGCTGCAAAGGTTATAAGTTATGATATATGAAAATATGATGATATTAACGAGAGCAAAATATATAGAACAGATGACTAGCCATGGTTCTACACACCGTGAAAGATTGAATTGCATTAGTTCAAATGCATTTCTTCTCTGGATTTGATACCAAAGTACATGCACACTCGATTTGTCCGGAGAAAGTCGAGACATAATGACCAAGCTCTCGGTTTTCTCTATTTTTAACATACGAATCTCATAGGTTTTCTCCCCTTCTGCTGCACTGTGCAGGAGTGTTTCTTCCTAAACTCTGTGAAGCGGGGAGAGAAGACACCCGGAGAGGAATGGCAGAGATCCGGAGCTCAGGCATGGCTGCTCCAGGGCCGATGATCCACCCCGTCAAGTTTATCGTCGCCCCGGCAATGTCTCCTTATTAATCGACTTTCCTCAAAACCGATCAGATGTGGAAGTTTGCAGGCCTTGGTTCAGAACAGACGTACTACGATGTAGTAGATCGGTTTGATCAAAAAGTAGATACCCGTCTTCGAGTGCTGCGTTAACGTTCTGGCGTGTGTGCATGCATGGCTTTGACGGGCGAGCTTTAATCTATAGAGTCCTTATAATTAAGAGTGTGTATGTAGGATCAGTCACCCAAGCACCGGTCCATAATCCAGATAATGTGTATGGGATCGTCTTCCATGTATTATCGTGGTGAAGATATATCTTCAGATTGGATGAATAAATGGTCCGCTTTTGTTCGTACATAGATGCGGTTCAATGCATCGTTGACCACACATCATTATTATGATCCAATAAACCCTAACGTGGCAGGCCGTGTCAAAAAAATATGCTCGTGACATGGCGATATACGTGACGAAAGAATTATATTGAGCAGATTTTTTTGAAAGTTCAAGAACTGGATTGAAATAAATAAAAGTTTTCTGACCTAATGGAACATTGAAGTAAAATTCAAGGATTATCTATGTAATTACATCAAAAAATATAATGGGACCTCTATGAAAATCATAGAAAATCAAAAAAATCAAAAGAAAAATCTTCCATGGAAAAACATTGCAATTAGTAACTTTTTTAAATTGGTAGGATAGATATTATCCAGATAACAAATAGTTATAATGAATTACTTCTATTAATGAGCATCCAAACTATTATAGGGAAAATTGTCAAAAAAGTCCTAAATCTATTGTACGGCGGCCAATTCAGTCCTAAACCTTTTAATTTTGCCAATTCAGTCATAAACCTTTCTAATTCTTGCCAATTCAGTCCTTTCGGCCAACTTTGGCCGGCCGGCGCTGACATGGCAATTTTTTATCATTTTTTTTTCAATTTTTTAATCTTTTTTTTTTCTTTTTTTTCTTTTTTTCTTCCTCTGGCCGGTCCGGCGACCGGCGGCCGGCCAGAGGGGAGGGCCGGCGAGGTCGACCTCGCCGGCCTCGCCGCTGCTGAGGCGAGGCCGACCTCGCCGTCGCCCGGGTCGACCTCGCCGTCGCTGGGTCGACCTCGCCGTCGCCTAGGTCGCGACGGCGAGGTCGAGCCTCGCCCATCCGGCGAGGGTCGACCTCGCCGTCGCAACCCAAGCGACGGCGAGGTCGGCCTCGCCGTCGCGACCGTGCAACGGCGAGGTCGGCCTCGCCGTCGCGGGCCTCGCTCGCCAGCCGGCCGGTGAGGTCGACCTCGCCGTCGCCCGGGTCGCGACGGCGAGGTCGACCCGAGCGACGGCGAGGTCGACCTCGCCTCGCAGCGGCGAGGCCGGCGAGGTCGACCTCGCCGGCCCTCCCTCTAGCCGGCCGCCGGTCGCTGGTCGCCGGACCGGCCAGAGGAAGAAATCAGAAAAAAAAAAAAAAAAAAAAAAAAAAGATTAAAAAAGATTAAAAAGTTGAAAAAAAAAATTGCCACGTCAGCGCCGGCCGGCCAAAATTGGCCGGAAGGACTGAATTGGGAAGAATTAGAAAGGTTTAGGACTGAATTGGCAAAATTAAAAAGTTTAGGACTGAATTGGCCGCCGTACAATAGGTTTAGGACTTTTTTGACAATTTTCCCAACTATTATATCTTCAACTAGATTTAAAAGCACAAAAAAGTTTATAAAATAAAACATATTATAACTATACTTAGTCGATAAATTTAAAATAACATGTTGAACTTGCCAATGGAAAAAACACATTGAAGTTTCTGATTATTAATGCTTTATGAGATAATTCTTATGCTTTATGAGACCATCATATTCAATTACATTAAATGAAAAGCAACTATTGATTAAAACTTTAAGGAATCATTAATTTATCACGCACCATTAGTGAAATTAAGTAAACGCGACACTTGAATGGAAAAGACGTTTTATTTTGGATTCACTTTTCCTGCAACAATTTCACATAGTTAGATATGCAAAACCCTGCAGTCAAATGGTGAACTGTTTTTATTTTGACTTCGGTAAAAGTGATTGTGGTAATAACTATAGGCGATGTTTCAAATTTATTTTTTTTATTTACTGAGAAAATAGTTATCAACTTGTTTGTTGTTAATCTATTTATTTTTGCGCGGGGCAATTTTTTAGTATACATTGATACGTAGCCCTATGTGCACATGCGCACTCAATGGAGAGAAACATGTAGCGAGAAAGTTCTCAAACTCCTCTGCAGAGAACCATTGTGAAAACACATGATCTTTTTGCTTCTCTCTTTTTTTCCAAAATCTTACTGATGCAGCTAGATGATGGACTGACGTTTTTTTACAAAACATACATATAATTCCCGCAGTTCACTATAATAAGCCTTACACATGCTGTGTGCATCTGGAAACAGGGGAAGGTGACTCAAATATCTGAATATCCTGGTATTATACCTCATCTTTGTATGAATCTAAGAATACGGTGTATATGTTGCTTATCTGCTATTGCTGTTAAGTTGAAAAGACTTTAGATGTGCCGCAAAAACGAATTCATCGTACACGTACGCGAAATGTACAAAGAGCCGACTTTTCTAGGACTTGTTTCGACCGTCTCAGTATTTGTTCTCCCATATCTCCACTTGCTTGATCGAGTTCTCTTTTCTTCTGCGGATCGCGTAGAGCGATTGAGCATCATATGGACGAGGCAATTTGCAAGGATATGTATCGGCAGGTCCCTTCACCAGCGATTCTTCCATGAACTTCTTCTCCAACCCGTCGGCCTGGCAAGCCATGTGCTCGGAGCAGAATTTCACTGCGTTCTTGGGCACAACGGGTTTGAACCTCAACAGCTTGGCGTACTCATTCAACAGATGAAACATGTAATCATACACCAAGTCCATCCTCAACTCTTCTAGTACAAAAGTGCTCGCCGCTTTCCCAAGGGCCTGTGCCTAAGTATCGGAAAAATAGTTGAATAAGGAAAGCTATTTGATGTAAAAGACCAAGTTCAATCCTGATAAAGAAAGTCCGGTCCACAGTGATGATCCGAGAGCCAAAATCATATGCAGCAATTATTATGGCAGGGGAACTTGTTGTATTGCATTGAAAAGTACAGTAGTGTTGGTATCTAATGAACTAGCTAAATATTACAGAATTTAGAAATATTACCTTTTGCTTGTGGCTGTTTCCCCAGTCCACGGCAAACTTAATGGATCTGCACTTGTCATCCTCCCTAATGGGCCAGTAGTGGTGGACCGGCATCAAACCTCTGGTGAAGAAGTCGTAGTAATGGGGCTTGACCACGAAAGTGACCGAATCACAAGCCAGGATATACTTTTCACTGACAGACCACGCCGAACCTTCAATGTATATTTTGTATCTGTTTATAACGGAGCAAGATGTGCGAATCAGTACAAAGGAAGAACAGAAGCGAGACAGAACTCAAAAAAACTACAAGATCTGGAGAGAAGTGAACGTGAAGATTCGGTTTAACCTGTGAATGCATTGGTTTGCCAAGTCTGACTGTTTGTATCCTTGCTTTGATTCTCGGATCCAATCCTGCATATAGTATTCTGCTCTTATCATAATGCTCCGCATGACTGACTAACTGTTATGTAGATATAGCGGGATCTATCTTGTCCAGTTGTTTTACTAAAAGAAAGTTGAAGATGAAATGAATATGTAGCTACCAAACGGTCTCTAAAGCTCCATAAACAACGACACTTCTATTTGAGAAAATGGTTTGACTTCAGTTCATAAGTGCATTGCTCTCTTTCTCTGCTGCCATTACAAGGCACAAGTTTGTTCAAGTTATCAACTACAGCCTACACCACCGATCTTTTTCAAAACCACACAGAAACCGTCTTCTTTTATTTCTGAAAGCATAACTCATTACATTAGTCTTATTTCAAGCCACAGCCCAAGAACCACATTTGGATGTCATATATTTACCTGCTCAAAAACACGAGCATTCCAGTCTTGTTTGGCAGATACATTGCATCTGAGAAGGTCTTGCCTGGTGGCAGCAACAGCCGGATTTCCCTTCCAATAAGCATGAGGTTCCCTGTCCATCCATTTAACCCTCTTGTTGCCTTCTTTGAGGTCCCTTGATAAAGACTCCCACGGTTTTATATTAACCTCAGGCCTACACAGCACGGATCACATCACATGTGACTTACCCACATCTTTTAGTAATGTTCGTCACACCAAGACCCATGATAATAATTTCAAAGAAGGGAACGGAAGTAGTCTTACCAGCCCCAGAAGGACCAATCAGGGAAGACAATGTCAAGCGTGGCATCGTCTCCACAGTACCTAAACAAAGGTGGCGGGCTTGTGGCATTGGGCCCGCGGTATAGCCTCGAATGAACGACCGGCCAGTCGACGCAGTCAAACATGAGCTCCAAGTCGGGCACTTGACCCGGGTACCTCCGCAGCAGCTGCAGGATCCCCCACAACGTGAACACATCCCTCGTCTGAAACGACTTCTGATACGTCTCCACGTAGGCCCTCCCGCCCACGATCGCCAGCCTGAAGTTGGCGGTCCTCCTGGCCCGCTCCACCGCGTCCCTCGTGATGCCCGTGCGGGCCCACGGCTTGAGGTCCTCGTGGATCCATCGGAAGTACTCCGGGCACGCGGCAGCCGACGAAGGGTCGAGGCCTTGCTCCGGCCGGAGAGAAGCGGGGTAGTTGGAGGGGCATGTTCGGTTGGGGCTGTAGGAGGCGCAGTCTAGGGGGATCTCGAGCTTCTTCCGGGGCTTCTTGGGGATTGCAGGGGGCTTGCGAGGGTACACGTGGCTGGTGGCAATGTTGACGATGGACCTCGGTGCCGCACTAATAGACTGTCAAGTGTCAACATAGAGAGCACACCAGCATCGATGAGTGTCCAGTGCACTAATTGAACATGCTTATCTTGGAATTATCTAGATTACAAAGTACTAATTACACGGTTAAAAGCATTGAGAGTGCAGTGTTTCCATCATTAGTTCACGACACCGATGATCAAAGTTAAGAATCCCGTGGGCCAGGCAGATTCCTTAGAAATGGGTTGACAATGGCAGGCAGAAACAGTTGTCGCGGGACCCCACACACGAGCAACTTTTGGACATAAGAAATTCTACGGATGTATAGGAAAATCAGGCGGTAATCATGGAACGAGTCGGTCAGTTCCGTCCCGATTACTGACAAACGAGGAGAAGACACGCGTCCCCGAAACCGACCCGACCTTGGCTCGGTCACCGACACCGTGCGTCGCGTGTCACGACCCACTCACTACCCGAGAGCTCAATTATTTTTTTGCAAGAACCCTATCAAACTAAAAGCGTGAACAAAATAGCGAGAATGGTTTCTAGATCGTTCGACATGTTCCCCTACACGCCCTAGATCGACGGTGACTACTGACCGGAGCTGCTGAGCGATGCTGCAGAACAATCGGTCATGGCTTGGGAAATCGTGACCATCGAAGCTTATTCACGAAGAAGTCTTTTTTTGTTCTTGTTTTTTCCATGTAAACACACAATGGTTCATTGATGTAATTAACAAAAGGAATGAAAGAGACCCATGTGACAACTGATTTGCAAAGAGTTGAAACTGCAGATGGAGTGATGAACTGCGAGTGGGCATGTCATATCAGAAGTTTGGTGAAAATAAATGCTATTGGTGATTAAAAAAAGGTGAAGGCATTTGACAAATTAGGGAAGAGACGTACTTACAGAGGAGGAGGAGGAGTCGAGGAGGCGCGTGGAGAGGAACGCGCTGACGAGGAGGAAGGCGACGACGAGGAAGACGGCGGAAGAGCGAGCTGGGGACTTGAGGAAGGGCCTGCAGATCGAGTCCGAGAAATGACGGAAAACCCCAGATCCATACCACACGTACCTCTGTACCCTATGCATGATTGTTCCCTTCTCGCTCTCCTACTCACTTTCTAAATAAGACCCACATGATCATCCGCCGAGATCTCCAAACTCTCTTTCGGCGAAGCTGTTCTGTTCCTGGATTAATAATGCTCTGCTGGGAAGCTTTTGCTTGACCAAAAGAAGTCTTTTTGGAGTGCAGAAGGACACAGAAGCTGAGACAAAAGTCTTTGGTGTCGTACCAGTAGGGGGGGAGGAAATCTTTCTCTCATCTGGTTGCAAAAGGGGAAGAAAAAGAAAGAACTGAGAGTTTGGATCTCGGAGGACTCAGCTTAGGCCAAAAAGACAAATTTACTGAGCTCCTGCTTAAAAAGGAGCAGGACTCCGAGAGGCGAGATCCATGTGCGGGCTGGCTTGGGATCCACAAAATGAAGGGTTGCGATCCATCCGTTTCAGTGGTTCCGTGTCCAGGAAGAAATTCAGTTGGATCTCGTGATTAATTATTGTAAAAGTCCGTAGGATTCCACATTCTTCTCTTCTTCATTGCTGACAGAATCGTATTTACAAATTGGCAGAGGACAAATAAAGGGTCTCTCGCCCGGGACAAACTCGAATGAGTAGAGAGAGAGAGAGAGAGAGAGAGGAATGTTGCTGCTGCATTTAATGGGTCTTGTGAGAACAAGTCCTAATGAACCGGTGTTCGGGCCCTCTCGGACAAGACTTTCCCTCTCTTTTCTTTGTTGTTGCGAGGTCAAAGCACGCTCGAGTCGTTTCAGCGGGCGATTTTTGGAAGAAGGCTTCCCTTTGCGGAGAAGAGGCCCGGACGGGGTGAGTGGGTGCTGTCCGAAAGCAGGCCCAAGAGGCCGAGAACGAGCACCCCAGTCAGTGGCACGTGATGCAATTCTTTTCCAGTTTCGGGGGGCTTTCTGTTTGTCTCTCCCTGTCTGAACAAATCTAGCATTTACTTCTCTGGTCGGAAACGAGCAGGACTTCTTCCTTCTGCAACGAATCTTGGGAGTCCTCGTTTTGTTTGCATCCTTTGAATGTTGAAGGGAATTTCTTCATCTACTTAAATAGGTCGTTGTAAATCGAGGTGTGTAAGATTCAACGTATTAACTGTTTGTCTTAGGAGTAACGTGGGGAAGAAAGTTTGAAATCTTTTTGTCTTACTTATTGGTAATGAGATGTGTTAAAATAATTGATCCAATTTCTAGGAAAATCTAGGATGCATATAAGGTTTCTTTTTCTGTAGAATTCTCCATAATAGTTTAGATGTGCGGCAAGTTTACTTACAATTAGGACTATATGCAGCTGTAAAGCAAATTGTGACGGTCAACATTTGTGACTTGAAAAAGGTTTAAAATCTGGCTGTACTTGCGCCGTGAAATCTTCTGAGGCGATTGTAATGCTCTACAAATAGAGATAGAAATGATCCGTGGAGAGAGCAGCAGAAGAAACCATAAACTATATGCCTTATAGTGTTCCGTTGAAATGCACGTGTGAGTTGTGTTAGAGAAGTCACGTATCAGAGAATCGGTATGGTGTAAAGCAGTTAATACATCTTAATTGGCTCATAACTCACTCATTGATTTAAATTTTTGAGTGAAGATAGGTACAACAAGATATGTTAATGGGCTCAGACTTGGACCCGCTCTTGGCGATCTCCTCGGATGAGTGTTTCTGGTTTCTGCTGCGTGCTCCCAACACCACCACCAGTTGTAAAACCCTTTTTCTAAGAACCAAAGATTCGCTTCCATTCTTGTTATTTAAACCCAAAGCTAACAAGATGATACGATAACGATAAAATTAACAAGACACGCATCATATTTAGTGGTGCGAAAAGGAGGATAACAACTTTCTTGAATCAAGGAGTTCCTATGGATGACATAATATGTAACGAACAGAGCCTTTTGCATAAACTTTCTGGTTTAGCGGATAGTGGAAACATTAATTCTCAAGATCTGTGCATAATACAACATGTACTAGTGTTTATCACAACCTTCCAGAAATGAGCCTTTGGTCTTCGGCATCATTTAAAGAAATGTTGGTGCTTTTCATTTTCTAGTTTACTCGTTTCTTCCCCCTTTCATTTGCTCTCGCAATTACCTTAACGGCTAATCAGCTAAAAAGACTGAGAAATCTCTTTCCCTTTCCTTAATCACTGATTCAAATGCCCAGCCAGTGTGATTGATTTGTTAGGACTATGTTGCCAGAACAACAGTCATAGTAGATGCTTTGTTTGTTATGGACCCAAAAGGCTGTCGAATTTCAGAGTGGCAGGACCCCAGCTACAGCAACCGTGTCGTTTCTACAAAGGAACAACTGGATTACAGAGATCATTATGGTCCCAAAGCAAGGGCAAAACCTACCACATCCTTGCATCATCGCTCTCTCTTTCTCTCTCATGAGTTCCCGAGGGGCAGAAGGGCAGAAGAGACAATTTTGGGGTGAACTCTTTTCGTTCTTGTTCTGCCTCTGTTCCAACTCCAACGTAATGCAGCTTTTTGAAGAGAGAATATAAGCACCATCATCAGTCATCAACATCAACACCAGCCTTGTGCTCGCTCATCTTGGACCGTCCGAATATTTTAGCTGGTGGGTCGTGTTGTGTTTTCCTCGGTCGATATATCACCAACTTTGCCGACTAATCATGAGCTTGAGCAGTAAACACAGAGATGGTGACGTTGTGCAGAAGATGAACTCCAAAGTTGGGAATACTGCCTCTCCAGTCGTCAGCCTCTGTCCCCAACACGACCCTTGTTCAGGAAAAGCAAAAGAAGAAAAAAAGCTAACTAGAGAGAGAGAGAGAGCAAAAGGAGTTTCGCTTTTCTCAAGATTTTTCCCCCGTATGTAGAAGTTAATTCAACGTCTCAGTGAGAGTCTTTGACTATTTCTTGACATTTAAGTGTAAGCATTATGATGTTATAGTATAATCTTCAGATGAGATGAATATAAGGCGATAGACTCGGCCACATCTTCGTTTCTTTTCCCCCTTGTTTTGGTTACTAAAGGGAGCCACTGTCCGACATCACAATCTTGTTTTAGATTCAAATGGAGGTTCGCGATGGCGTGATGAATATATGGGCCACAATTATAATGTTTGGCACTTCGGAGTAGTTGTCATGATTTCAGAGAGAACATGGCAAACCAGGCACACTTGATGCTTTTTCTCTCTTGGACTTGGGGTTGGGCCTGCCATTGCATGAGAACTTAATTCACGATTTCCCACTCCATTGCACGCGTGACACATCTCTCTCAATCTCTGGTTTTGGATTTTTAAGAACCCAACGATGCATGCCTTCGTTCCCAGGATAGCCGTTTTAAATTAATGACTCCTCTCTCTCTCTCTCTCTCTCTCTCTCTCTCTCTCTCTCTCTCTCTCTCTCTCTCTCTCTCTCTCTCTCTCTCTCTCTCTCTCTCTCCACGGAGAAAGGTTTCAAGAACCCAAAGGGCTTCTGAAAGCTTCTTCATACTCTTAGCACTATGTCTGTGAGTCTCTCTCTCTCTCTCTCTCTCTCTCTCTCTCTCTCTCTCTCTCTCTCTCTCTCTCTCTCTCTCTCTCTCTCATATTCACAAACACACACACAGTCAATACTGCCATAGGAGTTCTTAAATTTATATTAAGGTTAACTGAAGATAAGACTGATCAGGGAAAAATTGCAGATGATGGTGGAAGTGCGAGTGCCGAACCTGGACTGCGAGGGATGTGCAGCTAAGTTGAAGAGAGCTCTCTTCAAGCTCAAAGGTGCAAATATTCTGCTTCATTTCTTCACACATTGCTATCTTATTGTATAAGATGGTCCTTTTGGTGCGCTCATGGAGGCTCGATTCTGTCTGAATATAGGAGCTGCCATTTGCCCAAACTTCTAATGAGCGAACTCACGATAAATCTGACGTACTTCTTGACATGACTGAAGAAGACTGACCTTTCTACTTCTTCGATGCTTGAGTCCTCACTAGACTACTATGCTCTATGGATATAGTTTTCATCTTCTTGGACATGAAGCTCTCCTACATGTACCATACGTGCCACCATACACACCCAAATGCCTTTCTCTGCAAGTCAAACTATGATTAGATATTTTAGCAAATAGGTTTTATTCGAGCACTTGATTGGTGAGCAGCACGTTACTTCGTGACTTAACATTATAAGTCTCAGTATTTCCATCATTATTCTCCTTTTTTCTCCTAGGCTGTTGTCTTGTGAAAACTTGTCACCCTTAGTTGTCACGTGATTATGTTCCACGCGATAATTGACATAATTAAAAGTCGCGTGTCTTAACTTCTAAACAATGTTGAATAATCTCAGGATGACCAAAACTATCAGTCCTCTCTTTGTGGAAATCTTCATAGACATTTTAAACCAAATTATCATTCCTAAACCAAGCCGTCCACTTAATTGTGCGTATCTGTTAGTTATACATATAGTGAATGGCACTAGCTACTAGCTTTTTCTCTAGTCGAAACCCCGAAACTATGCGACCTTTCTCGCTGATCGGGAAAACCCAACTTTTCAGGAGTAGAAGAAGTGGAGGTGGACATGGAGATGCAGAAACTGACCGCCAGAGGCTACAGATTGGAGGAGAAGAAGGTGCTGAAGGCCATTAAAAGAGCAGGGAAAGCGGCGGAGCCATGGCCTTTTCCGGGGCACTCTCATTTCGCTTCGTTTTATCAATACCCTTCTTACGTAGTCAACCAATACTACTATGATGCCCACAGGATCGGAGCTTCTTCCGGCGTCCACACTTTCTTCCACACTCCCGCAGTCTACTCAGTCGCCATCGCCTCCGATGAGGCCTTCGCTTCTCTCTTCAGCGACGATAATCCACATGCTTGCACCATTATGTGAAATTAACTAGTTCTTGCTGCTTTGAAGTTAGTTTTGCTCTCGGTATTCCCTTTTGAATTCGGTTCGTAGAGACAGAAACTCTAGTCTGATGGATGTTCTATTATATTCAAGATTGTTAGTTTTGACAGATTTAGTTCTCTTGGCAAGAACTTTGATTGCTCGCGCGGGTACTAGCTAGCTAGGGGTTGTGTCAAAAGTCCATAATAACATGAACAACCGAATCAAACCGGTTAGGTTTGCTTAAAAAAAAGGGAAATATGCTTGTTTCCAACCATATAAAACATAGGTTGACACCTTGAATCAATTCGACTGCGATAGACTCGATTGATTTGGTTCTATTCAATTGATATTCGGGCAGTTGTCAATGTTCTTGAAAATGAATCATGTAAAAGTTTCATCTTCTTTACCTCGCGCGTGATGTTTTTTTCTCCTCCTTATGATGTCTTTTGAGTCGATTTCTTCCCCAACATCCAATCAAAACGAGATGAAGGGTGAAAATCTTGGTTGGCCTGGACTGCCGAGTGGCGATAGTCAAATTTCTTTCCCAGCTTTAATTATTTAGGTACTTTTCAAGAAATAGTCGACATTTTCGTACCGAATAAAAATTAAGATCATCTTAGATTAATGCTGGAATATGGAAAATTGGGTTTGAAAATTTGTCCTTCTCCTATGATGTATCATTGTCACAAAGCCATCTTGACGACTCCATTTCTGGTGTGGAGAGCCGTTGAATTTGATTCATTCATTAACAATAAAAGGTTTGTTCCGAACTAAGTTAGTAAAACACTCGTACTTTTACGCTCTTTATGCGTATGCATGCAATTTTCAAAAAAAAAAAATCTTCTTTCGCAGCTTTGCTAAATTTGTGAAAAATACCTGTTCTTTTGGAGTGTAACATAGTATACACGTATAAAACATATTATCACGTTATATTATCCATCAAAGTTATGATTCTAATGGGACATAAAACACCAGTAAATATAGTTTTCTTTTGATTTCTCATCAGACAACAGAAAGTAGCAATACAATCTATGGTGCTCTTTATGATATGTAATTTATTCTCATGTATTATGTAATTGGCATAAACTCATACTAACATCATTTTTATATATATATTGTTACAGTAAAGTCGAAATTTTGATACATACTTTTTAAAAAAGTAACAGTGTACACCCATATGTGTCACGGATCCTAAGATTTCCGTCCCATATATTACTCATAGAGATTCCGACTTCAAGGCCCATTATTCGCACATAATTGTCAAAGAAAGAATTTTCTGCAAATAACGTAATCTCTCTCGATCAATTCATAAATTTACCAACTTTCTCACTATTATTTGAGTACGAAATAAGTAGGTGCAAAATGTGCCAGCTCCAGATGACTCACTAGATTTGATGTCAGGGGTCCACCTATAAGCTTTAGGCCTATGAAGTAATCAGCATCGTTGAATCATTCCAAAGGACTAGCAATATGATCTGTGGAGGTCTGGCTTCTTGTCTGAGACATACGACAGGGCAAAGACATCCGATAGACATTCATTTCATTGTACCCCGCAACGACTATTTTCTTATGGTTGAATATATGAATTTAATGAAAAATTTAACCAGAGTAGAAACTTGGCAAATCAACTTAAATCTGCTCCAGTTCTATTAACCATGGACAGAGACCCGTTGAAATATTGACAACTGCAAGGATGTGTTAGAGGGATGGATAATCCACATTCAATGAAGGTCGAATTCAATTGACGTCATCGGTCCGTGTGGATTTTAGAAAGCGGAAAAGCCCGCGATTGATTCCATAATTATCTTTTTATGGGGGATAATAACACAAATGATTTATGAACTTTAGCCCAATGTACAATATGGTCATTGAACCTTTAATTTGTTCAATATGGTATCGGGATTTTTTGTACATGTTCAATGTAGTCCTTGAACTATACGAAGATGTTCGATGTTATCCTTCCATTAATTCAATATCAGGAGCAACATTAAATATTTTCATATGGTTCGGGGACTAAATTGAACACGTACCAAAAGTCAACGGACCACATTGAACAAATTAAAAGTTAAGAGCCCATATTGCATATCGAGCTAAAATTTAAAGACCATATTAAACAAATTAAAAATTCATGAACTATATTACATATTTGATCGAAGTTCAATGACTATTTATGTCGTTTTCCCTTTATTTATTGTTTTGGCAGCGCCAAATTTGATTAGTATCAACTTGGGTCCCATGTCCGGCCCTCCCAACAAAAACAACAAAATGATCCTACGTAACGTTTGGCAGAAAAAGAAATACATGTGATGGCCCCTGAGGAGTGTATATAAAGCCTCGCTCATTTCGGTCGCACGTCCTTTGTTATTCCAACTCTCTCTCTCTCTCTCTCTCTCTCTCTCTCTCTCTCTCTCTCTCTCTGCCTCTCTCTCTCGTGAACCAGAACCCCTTTCACATTCTCTGTCAATTCAAGCGTGTCCGTATTGTCTTCCTCCTCCAGAATGGCGCAGGTACAGACTTTCCTCCGATCTCTAGTTCTGATCTTCGTTTTGGGTTTCTCTTAACTTCGATCTAATGTATCCATGTCCATGCATACTGTTTTGAATCATCCAACAGAAGGTGGTGTTGAAGATCATGACCATGACCGACGACAAGACGAAGCAGAAAGCCATAGAAGCAGCAGCCGACATATATGGTTAGCTAAGCTCCCCCCAGAAAGAACGAAAATTTCTTTTTGGTATTCTGAATCTTCCTGCTTGTGTGTTCATGAATCTTCCTGGACTTAAGTTCAAAGCGTTCTTCCTTTTGATTTTTCCAAGATTTTCTAAAGTCGACAGAAAGATCTTTTTCTTTTCTGGTATATTCGATCATGTCCTCCGTGGATTAAATTAAAAAAAAAAAAACAGGGGTGGATTCGATAGCGGCGGATACAAAGGACCAGAAGCTGACGGTGATAGGCCAAATGGACACGGTGGCGGTGGTGAAGAAACTGAAGAAAGTTGGGAAAGTGGACATAATTTCCGTCGGGCCGGCCAAAGAAGAGAAGAAGGAAGAGAAGAAGGAAGAGAAGAAGGAGGAGAAGAAGGACGACAAGAAAGAGGAAAAGAAAGACGACAAGAAATCCGACAAGAAATGAGCGAATCCTTATTACTTCCAAGCTTCTTCCTAATGCTATATAGTATATTTTGATGTATTCAACGTGGGATTGCTCTGAGAAAGCTCTTCTTTTTGTTTAGTTCCGGCCATGTAGAACCAGCCGAATAGGGTTAGCCATGTGGAGGTAGGCTGAGTGAGGAGGCATATACACATATTATGTGGTTTTACTTGTAATCATCCGATCTTGGGTAATGTTTCTTTCCTTTTGTTTTCTTGCGAGATCAATCTCCGCAATCGTCGCTGTCGATGTAAATAACCAGCGCACGTAGCCGAGAGAGATTGCCGTGCAAGAGATCTCTTCACTTTGTTGCGCTCGGAAAATGTTGATGCACTTAAAGTTTTGTGTTAATGATTGGGGTCCAGTGGTACGAGTTTCCTCTTCCTCCTTCCATTTGTTCAAGGGTCATTTTCCGTTCGAGTGTGGATTGATCGCATCTGTCCGAATGATCCGAGGGGATCACAGGCATCATCGCCTATGGCTGCTGGTAGGCCACACCACTTGTGCTCTGCTTGATTCACAAGCTACTTAAAATAATGTGTGGTGGCTCGCGTACCTTCCAGCGCGAGAAAACTATTGCATCGTGCGAAATTAATGTCTCTTGGTGTGAATTTACTGGATCCAAAGCTTCTCTTGGACACAACATCGCAGCCTGCTATATGGGCCGTCCAAAAGATGTGCAATTCAAAGGCGGAATCAATTGACAAAATGTGCCTGTTTTTAGTTAGTTCATGCATGTGACAACTTCTATCGTACATACACATCATAAGTTTTCACATCGCGCGCCAAATTTATTTTTCCCGCTGACCAGGTACAATACCTAGTCAAAAAGGGGTTTAATCTAAATTCTTATATATATTTCGACTGCGTATTAACCAATCACTTGTAGTGTAGCCAAAGACATAAAAGTTTTAAAATGATTTGTGTATCATAATAAGTACAAAACCGTCCGGTTCAATAGGAGTTGTTAATCCGTGTTACCTTCTCCTTTGCAAACCATAAGACATTTTACCAACTTCTGACTTGATTATGAAAGCGAAAAATAAATATGTTAAACATTTATGAAATGGTGAATAACTTTTAAATGACTTTACACGTCTTTAAACGCTCAATATTACACAACAGTCGAATTTCTAATATATGCTACCAAAAAGAAAGGGGTAATAACACCCAATCCCTAATTTACCAACTTCTCGATTTAATTTGCTTCCCCTCTAGAAACAAACTAACAACTCATACAAACCAAGGCTTTGTTTTGATAATCCAATTAAGTGTTGAGAATATAAAAAAAAATTGGCACTTAATAAGACTAATAAATATATTTTCAGGGATTTGATACCCATGTGCTATACTTGTGTACAAGTCCTATGCCTCTAGTTTCAATGGTGATCGCAGGAGCTCTGGCATCTCGCTAAATCACGAAGAGTTGAAGTTAGATCTGTTTTTGATCAATCTGTTTTGGTTGTCTCCGTACGGTGATGGTGTAGAGGACCGAACCTAGGTGCGCACTCCAACTAGCAATGCCATAGTTACTGGTGGAGGAATTTCGAGCATGTACTTATCACTGACGATGGTACAAGATCCAGTTATCGGCCGCCGATTATTTTGCTTGACAAATCCGTTTTTATAGAAAGAATGTGTGTTTAACGATACTGGTGCTTTGTTGATCCTCATTGTTTTTTGGATTTAGCTTTTTTTGTAGTATTTTGGACTTTACTCTGTTTCAATTTGCTTTGTTATGGAAGTCTATGTACTTCTCATATATCCTTTTAAACAATTAATACAATTTTCTTTCTACCAAAAAATATTCTTACTTATCCCATTAAATGATTTTTTATAGCTTGATTGATTCATTTAAGTCAATTCCAAAATAGTCCAATTAAATGTTGGAAAATAAGAAAATTCAGCATTTAATGAGATTATTCTCAAATGAATGAGAATAATCAAAAAAGGGGTTTAATCTAAATTCTTATCCATATTTCGACTGCGTATTCACCAATCCCTTGTAGTGAAGCCAAAGACATAAAGTTTTAAAATGATTTGTGTATCATAATAAGTACAAAACCGCCCGGTGCAGTGGGAGTTGTTAATCCGTGTTACCTTCTCCTTTGCAAGCCATAAGACATTTTACCAACTTCTGACCTGATTATGAAAGCGAAAAATAAATATGTTAAGCATTTATGAAATGGTGAATAACTTTTAAATGACTTTACACGTCTTTAAACGCTAAATATTACACAACAGTCGAATTTCTAATATATGCTACCAAAAAGAAAGGGGGTAATAACACCCAATCCCTAATTTACCAACTTCTCGATTTAATTTGCTTCACCTCTAGAAAAAAACTAACAACTCATACAAACCAAGGCTTTGTTTTGATAATCCAATTAAGTGTTGAGAATATAAAAAAAATTGGCACTTAATAAGACTAATAAATATGTTTTCGGGGATTTGATACTCCTGTGCTATGCTTGTGTACAAGTCCTAGCGAAAGAATTTCCAGCATGTACTCGTCACTGACGATGGTACGAGATCCAGCTATCGGCTGCCGATTATTTTGCTTGACAGATCCGTTTTTATAGAAAGAAAGTGTGTTTAACCATATTGGTGCTTTGTTGATCCTACTTGTTTTTTGGATTTAGCTTTTTTTGTAGTATTTTGGGCTTCAGTTAGTTCAATTGACAAACTGTGCCCGTTTTTAGTTAGTTCGTGCGACAACTTCTATCGTACGTATGCATCAGGAGTTTCACCTCGCATGAGAACAAGGGTACAAAAGGCAAAATATAGAGAGGTGGGATCGATTTCCTTCCGCATGTTACGTACAAGACCCACCATCACTTGCTCATGGTCATGGACCAATCGAGGTGACTTTGATTTGGTCACGAAGCACGCCCGCTTCCCCATTTCAACGCCAAATCTTCCTGCACATGTCATTTTCTTCGCAAAGACGTGCATGGGCCGACCCCTTTAGACATAAAGAAGTATATTTCTTTTACTTTTTTCTTTTTTCTTTTTAAATCAATTTGAGACTGTACTATAGACTTCGAGATAATATAAAACAAATGTCATGTTACGACGCACGACGGAGGTGCTTATGGCGTAGTGTAGCGAGAAACAGTTCGGAATGAACGATGGAGGCGGGCACGAGCACCGCGTACTAATGCTCAAGTTGGTGGGGTCATCTTCATGCTTTAACTTTTAGAATTCAAACCTTTGACCAGCCAGCCACCTTTCAAAACCCACCTCCAAAGCACGATCTTCTTAGATTCACGGTTCTCAAATAATTTGCCCGAAAAAAACAATATACAACCAAAATTTACAAAGAATCCATTCTCTTTCCTTCCCTTTATTGATCCTCCTGTTTTCTTTATTAGAGCGGATGTCCAACCAAAACAGTACGTACTGGACTTAACAGCTATGACTAACCTAAAGAAACAAGTTTCGGTTGATGTAATTGCACTCGGTATTTCGCCCAACGGTCTCGCAGACGTATGCGCACACACAAGAGATCTGGACGACAAGCTAGGCTCCCACGAGTTTGCAAGAATTTCACAGAGGAATATGAGAGTTAAGATTGCCTCAATAGAGGTTGGGTCGGGTAAATGACTTTGTAGATACTTGATTGCCATCTCAATTGAGATGCCTTTGACAATACAGAGGATGTGAACAACCCCACTGGGAGAAAAACAAGAAAATGCCTATGGTGTTCTAGCTTGTGTAATGTGCCAATCTAACCTTACCAACTAGGGGGATGAATGGTTTAGCAGGAGATTGAATAAAGGGCACTGCTCTTCAGTGAAAAGGAACAGTCATATAAACCACACATTAGCCAATTGGAATCTTGATCCAGATTGTTTGGCCATCTTGAAAGGATAATCTCAGCCATGAGACATCGCTAATGGGGATAGAGATGCTTCAATCCCCTTCAGGCATAAGTTTTGAGGGCTGCGTTATCCTATAGGTGTGTGCATAAAGATGGTGTCTTGATAGAGTATGTGAACACAGAAGGAAGGGAGCAGATCCCAAGTCGTAAGTGCCGATGTTCTGAGAAGACAAAAGCTTACCTGGTCTCACCAGACACGTCTAAATTAAGCTGCTAGCCCATCAGCATAGGCCCGAAACCTTCTGCACGGCTCTCTTGTAGTGGCAATAAATCTGAGCAAAATAACAGGCAGAGTTACTTACGATGATCTTTTAAATCTTCCCTAGCAAAAAGAAAAAATAATCTTATTCCCTTTTTGTCAAAGCAAAGACTCAATGAGTATATCTCTCTAAAATGCAACATAGGCAGAGGAGTCTTACTACTTCGGAGAAAAAGTTCTTACATCTCACCCTCTGGTTGTAGTCCTACAGAGGCTAATAATATCCAAACAGAGTGCTTAACATACATAAGATTCCTGCGACATGCGATGCAGCATTTTCATTTTCCATTACAAAATTAGCTGACATTAGAAATGCTTACAAAATGACCGTTAATATCCTGAACTCTTCAAGCACCCTAAGAATTCAAGCACTAAAACACTAAGAAATAAGCACAGATACTTCTGATTGAAATTGATATGAGAATGATGACCTTCCATCTACAAAGTAACGTGGGGTGAATAGCCCATTTGACCTAAATGAATCAATTAAAATGAGAAACCATATGCTGCCCTACAGAAATTTGGCATCAGACAATTACATAAATGAAATTCATTATGCAACAGCAGTAAATGTAGAATGAGAAAAGTCTATGCATACTTTACTCTGTGTCCCTGTTGTACACAATGTCTGTGGCACTGAATTCAAGTATCGCCCTGAGGATCCATCCATACATTGCACAAAACTTAACATCTCTTATAGCCCTTAAACTTTGAAACCAGGTGGACATACTGCCCCTTGTCCACCATGCGTCTTATTACCGAGTGAGCTTCAGGAAGCTTGCCGGCATTGCGCAGATAACTCACCAAAGTGCTGTATACAAGAAAATTAGGATTACAACCTCTTGCTTCCATTTCATTCAACACTGAACATGCCTTTGCAAAATTACCAGCCATACAATACCCACGAATCATGGAATTGTAAGTAAACACGTTTGGTAGCTGTCCATCAATAACCATCTTGTTGAACATTTCTACAGCTTTCTCAAGCTCCCCGGCCACTACATATCCTGTGATTAGAACAGTGTAACATACAACATCAGGCTTGCATTTATTTTTTATCATTTCATCAAAGAAATACTTGCAGGCATCTAAATTCCCTGCTCGGCTCAATCCATCCATCAATGTTGTGAAGTGAAGAACACTGGGATCAAGCCCCACTTCCCTCATGTGATTAAGGAGATTAAGAGCTGCAAGTGGCTTATCTCCTTTACCAAGGACATGAAGAAGTAGGTTATATGTATGAAAATCTGGAGAAAACCCACGCCTGCCCATCTCATCAAGCAATATGTGAAATTGATCCCATTTCCCTAGCCTATACTTTGCGCACATAAGTATGTTATAAGTTAAGATGTCAGGAGAAAGACCCTCAGTTAACATCTGCTGATAAACCCACTCGATCAATTTATACTGCTTCAGGGTAACAAGGGAATGCAAGATAGCATTATATGAATGTTTAAATGGCCTATAATTAAACACCTTGGACTTTATAAACCTCCCCACAACTGTCCTGGCCAAGCCAACCTCTCCGCACGTACATATCAATATATGAAATGTCCGAGCAGTCGTTGGAAATCCTTTCTCAATCATCTCATCGACTAGTCTCCACATTGCCTTGAACTCATCGCACTCTGCAAAGATCTTCATCATCAAGTGGTATGCATCTGTCGTATGCCTGTAATTCTCCTGCATACCCGACCATACAAAGAACTTATACCCCAGCTTCACGCACCTGCTCTTATTAGCAAACTCGGTGCTTCTCAATATGCCCAAAAGGACTTCCCTCACGAGAAGCCCCGAAACTCTTATCCGAAGTTCCTCTAAATATACCTTCACATCGAAACCCGGACCATCCTGTTGAAGAATCCGCAGGACTTTCTCCGCATCAACCCTCGCATTAGCACAGAAGTTCTGCCTCGTCGAGTAATATTCCTCGCCGCTCGATTCATACTCGCTTAAAATACGCGCATCGTCCATAAAGCAATCAGAATCGGTTACCCACATCTTCTTCAAAGGTTCCTCTACGCACTCGAATTCCTCTTTGATTTTACCGCCGCGGAAGCCACGGTCGCACAATGTTCGAGAGCTGAACTGCATATGCGAAATCTTCTGTACTATTCTGGGACCAAATAGAGCCCTAGAATTCATGCTTGGCGTACACAGAAGGTTGGGAAAATCCCATTATTTTCACTTGGCAGGATCCAACAAATACAATGAATCCAGCAAAAAATCGTCACTTCTGAGAATACAGAGATCCAATGTCTTTGCTTCGAACAACCGAAGAAGACCCAGTTGGATTGGAGCAAACAGACTGCTCCATTGGCCCGGAATGCGAAGCATGTGAGACCGAGTGAAGACTCCGAAGAAAGAGCCTAACGACAGAGCATCAAAAGTTCAAAACTTTGCAGGCGCAGACAGATCACCTGGGAGGCCGAAACCGTTGGCGGCGTCGGCGTCGGGGTTTTCAGAGGTGGGACTAGTCCGGCGACGGCGCTTGCGGCGGTGGGAAGGCGGAGAGGTGGAAGAGGCGACGGCACTGCTGGAGTGCGCTCGGGAGGTTTAAGAGGGATTTGCTGTTTGCTGGTGCGGTCTTGGAGAAGTTGGTCTCCGGGGGGCTGCTCGCTCGCGACGAGACACGCACCGAAAAGACGTAACTGGGAAAAGGCCCATCATTGAGAATGGGCTGGACCGTGGGCTTGAGGCCCACCAAGGCTTGAACTACGAGATAGTGTAGGGTAGGGGTATAAACGGTTCGGTTCAGTTTGGTTTGGTTTTTTTAAAAACCGAACCGTTAAACGTACAATCTTGAACCGAACCGAACCGATTTTCGCTCGAACCGAATATGAACCGAACCGAAAAATCAGTTTGGTTTGGTTCGGTTCGGTTCGATTCGGCTCAATTTTCAGTTTTCTTTTTTTTTTTTTTTAAGTGTGGAGAGGCGGAAGAGGGCATTCAGACCAGTTGCTTTCGCCCACTTCTCTCTCCCACAGCCCCCTCCCCTTGTTTCCTTTTTTCTTCTTTCTTTGGTACCCCTAGTGATGCAAGCGAGGAAGCAAAGCAAGAAAAGGGAAGCCGAAGAGGCACCACCACCACTTCCTCTGTTTCCTCCTCTTCATCATCTGTCTCCCCATGCTCACACGCTCTCGCGCTTGGCAAATCTTGATCCTTCTCAAGATGGGTCTCTCCGTCACTTGATCCCTCCACCGCCCTTTGCCTTCCCTTGCTTTCTCGTGCTGGTTCTGGGATAAATCTTATTGCGTATTTCTGTTTTTTGGATGCTCTGTTTTTTCATATGGATGTCTGAGATTTGCTGTGGTGGTCGTCGCCAAAATCGAAACCGATGCACGCATACTCCGATGCGAACGAGGTAAGATACGAGCACAGATCGACCAAAACAGCAACTTTTCCCACCCGCGCTCGTGAACCCACATCGCATTCGCCTCGGTTCCGAGCCATTTCGTCCAAGTTCTCCTTGTCGATTACAGGAAACGTAGAATCTCGCTTATTCGAGCACCACTTCTGCTAGATCTTCGCCGCGAGGCCGCTGTTGCAGAATGCCGCATGGCCACAATGTCTAGGTGTCGGCACGGCGAAGAGAGGTGCTGAGCTGAGCAGCGTCGAGGGAGCAAGAGAGAGGATTTAGCCCTATGTGGTTTTAGCCCTTTTAGCTTTAGGGTAAAAACTGTAGGTTATTTTCAGTTCAGTTTCGGTTTGATCCAAACCAAACCGAAATAAACCGAACTGAAAGAAAAATAATGGTTTGTTTTGTGTATCCGAACCAAAAATCGAATCGAACCAAAATGCACAAAATTTCCGGTTTAATTCGTAACTCGGTTCGGTTCTGACGCCCCTAGTGTAGGGTAGGGAGGTGCATGGTCTGGGCGGGCAGTTCCCGAGACCAATTTCGAAAAGTCCAGACCGCCGGTCTGGTTCGACTTTCAGGTGGGTCTATAGAACCGGTCTCACCAAGTTTCACCCAAATGGAGGTGACCCAGAGCGAGAGAGAGAGTCGGAGGCGTGGCCGTGAGTCGATGAGCATTAAGCTTGAGAGTCGAGAACATGAGTGAGAAATATAGAGACAATTTCAGAAAAGGTGAGAGCGAGACAAGAAGAGCATTCAATTGATGGGAATTTCAAATTATGAATTTTAGGGTTTTCATTTTTTTAAAATTTTTTTTTTGGAAACTAGCAGGAAATTAGACATTACCGATGCATTGAGTGTGATTTTAAATTCGTTTGGAAAATTAAGAAAATAAAAGCACATCAATACAAAATCCATATAACTAAAATAAATAAATAAAATATAAACTATTTATTATAGGTGGTCTTTGTGGAATTAACATGGAAAAGGAAGAGGTAATTCAGTGACAAAAAAATCACGAGAATGAAAAATTGAAAAAAAATGACAAATGGTTCTTGAAATTTGACCTAACTTACAATGGGGTTCCTCATTTTTAATTTATTCTTGTTAAATGGCTAATTTAGTTCCGTGTCCATATCATTTATTGCCCCTTTTCCCATGGATTGACTATTTTGCGTTCCCCAACCGGAAAACTGTCTGAACATCTTTGCTGCTATAATGTCCGCCGTTGGTGAACCGACGAGCCCGCCACGCTCAAATTGACCAGACCTCGAATCATCCCGACAACACATCCAACGCCAACTCCTTTCAGAACGCATCACATGTTCCGTTCACAACATCTTCAATTCACAAGAGTATCAAGCAACATGTTGTTTTATTAAAAAAGTATGAACCAGGGAAGATCCCGACTCTGCATTCACAGGTAATCTGTTCCACAAACACAAATCATTTGAACCGTACATTACAACCTTCGAAAAAGCTCATAAAAATCCACACACGTCGACACTGAAAAATCCCTTCTTTTGCTTGCATCAGTTGCTCGATTCCTGGAGTCTCCTCTCGTCGCCGTATTGTTCATCTGCAGCAGAAGAAACAGCCTCGCTCCCATCTGCAAGAAACACACACGCAGAATCGCCAATCACACCACGCCAAACCAACCCAAATCAACGGCAAATAGAAAGAAATGCAAAGTTTTGAATACAGCCTGGTATTTACCATGGCGGGCATATTGCTGCGGAGCCTTCGAATCGTCGGTCTTGCTGAACCACGAGCCCACCGTTCCTCTCGGCTTGTCCACCATGGCCTTCCCTGGACCGTTCAACTGCCTTTCCCCCTCCCCCAGCTGCTGCTTCACTTCCTCCGATTCCGTCACCTTCACCACCGTTGCTGCCTCTGCCTCCGCCCCAGTCTTCTTCCTGTGCAGAGCGCTCGATATTACCTCCGACAGTGCCTTGTCCTCCTCCCCTGGCTTCAGCTTCTCCGCCAAGTAATCCCTCACTGACACCCCCTTATCCTGGGTCTGCGCCCCTATCACCTCTCCCGATGCCTCTGCACGCTGGCCCGTCGTCAAGCCGGTGACTTTCGAGATCACGGGGCTCAGCTTCTCCGTCACTGTTGCCCCTATGCCCTTTCCCTGCTCCTTCCCAGGTGGATTTCCTCCTGGACCGAGAGTTTCTGCCTCCCCTTCTTTTTTAGCATATCCGAGCTTAGACACCACCGTGTCCTTGGCAGAGATTGCTTTATCAGCTATTGCCGAGATTGCTCCAGTGTAGCTGCTCTGTTCCGGACGTTTGCCACTAGCTGCAGTGGTCTCATGTGCTTGAGGCTCGGATTTGGTGCTACCAGCGTCGTCAGAGGTGTTTGTGTTGCTTTTCTCACCGCAGCCAAGCTTCGCTGCGACAATGTTCTTCGCTGACATTGCTTTATCTGCAATTGTAGAAGTAGCGGATGAGACTTTTCCAGCGTAGCTGCTCTGATCAGAAGGCTTCTCACCCTGAGAGTGTGTCTCACTTCCGGTAGCATCACAGCTATTTGGTGACTCTCTTTCGCCGTATCCGAGCTTTGAAGCCACCAGATTCTTAGCCGAGATTGCCTTCTCAGCAATCGCGGATGTAGCAGAGGATAATTTCTCTGTATAACTGCTGGGGCTCGAGGGTTTGTGCTCTGTTTGGTCACGAGGGTGAGCCTCCGGCTTCGTGACATCCACTCCCACTCCCAGCGAAGCAGCGTCGGTCTCCATGGATGTCGGTTCAGGAGAGAATTGACCGTGGCTTCCCGTCCCGGTGGGTATGTTCGAGATATAAGAAGCGCGAGTCTCGGCAGGTAAGCTCTGATCTGTCCCTGATTTTGGCCCTGTTTCATATTGCACCGTCATCTTCCCAAGGGAACGAATGACCAGCGAAACATCGGCTTCCTCTCCACCTACATGGGAAACAACTTAATACTCGCATTGAATTGATTGCTACAAAGTACACATTCACATTGCAATTCTCGGCGGATTCTAACAGGAAACCAGCTCAGAAATTCAAATTCAGAGCCAATTGTCATCATAACAGCGTTCTTCATGAATAGATTCTATTTATCCGTGCAGACAAACATTATGTAAATAAACTCGAGTCTGGTTCGTAAAATATCAAATTGGCTTCCAGCATCTGCTCCAAGACCCCACGCAACAATCCTAAGTGCCACAGCTCTTTTCACTACCAATTTACCATTAACGAAACCGAAACAAACCAAATACCTAGTACTGTTTCTGGTTCCTACTGTTCAAGATGACAAATCTAAAACTCCACTGACATTGATGATCTCACTTGCCTGAAGCAGTAGGATCTGTGACTTTGGCCTGATAGTTCGATGGCTCTCTCCTGCTCCCGGGCGAGTGCGGGTCCTTTTCCAACCCACCAGGCCTTGCCAAATTGACCGTAGGTGTGCCTCGCTCTGCTTCACTCATCCCATGGACAAAAGTCCTAGTCGGATCGGAAAGTTGCGTGGTCCCAGGATCAAGAGTGGGAGCCGCCGACTGCGGTGTGTTTGCTGGCGACCGCAGGACCTCTTCCTCCATCGCCCCAGTCCTTCCCAAATCGACCCTCGGCTTCGCGAATTTCTCCTCCTGCCCGGCATCGCTCGGAGTTCCACGGTCCTCTCCCGTCCCTAAAGACCTTCCAGAGTCCACACTGCTCACGATCGCGACTGGCTCATATACTGTTGCATCAAAATTCCCAATTTACTGAATCTTTGAACGCATTATCTAGTGGTAACCGCGCACTTAACACGACCGCATAAATCAATTTAAGTATAAGTTCCCCAAAAAGACTTACTAGGTGCTCCGTGGATTTCTGGGTCCCCAACCACTTCTTCGTCCTCGTCATCCTCCTCATCGAGGTCGTGATCGTCAGGGACATGGCCTTCGGGATGGTCGTAGCTGTGACCGCGGCCGTGCTTCGTGATCGTGTCCTTCAACTTCTTAGCCTTGGCCTTCACCTTCTTCAGGACCGACTTCTTCTCATGGTGGTGCTCGTTATGTCCCCCCTCCACAGCTAAAAACCAAACACAACATCACCAAATTCAGCAAACAAAACTAGAAAAGAAATAAGAGAAGCAAAACGAAAATGAACCGAGTCAGCTTTTCTCCGAATGTGCACCAGAATGAAGGCCAACAGCGTTGGGGTCTTGTCCGTAACCGTGGCCCTGGGGATGTGCGACTTGGGACTCCATGATCGCTCAAAGAAACGCAGTACACAGTGGTCTCCCGATGAACACAGAGGAAACTGTTTGATGGTTGGTTAATGCTACTGTGCTTCCGATAGAGACGATGGCTGGTGGGAATGTTTATATTTATATAGACGCAGTGGGGAACACGCTGCATGCCACCTCTGCAAGGGGAGTGTCGTCGTCAGAGAAGCCACACGCAGGGACGCGACACGTGTAGAGTGGCTTGTCGACGCGTGGCTAGAGGGACGTGGTTCGGCGGTTCGAGTAAGGAAGAAGGAAGAGTGGATAACTTCGAGAAAATATTGCATACAACTCTGATGCCACGTCATCTTTACAAGAATTCCTTCATTGAGTGACACATGTCACTGTGGCCCACCCGTCATAAATGCCTATCTCTCTCCTCTTTCCCTGTTCGGACTCTAATTTTGTCTCACCACGTACACTACTCTCTCTCTCCCTCACAACCATAACCATGGCTTCCACCGCGAGCTCCTCGACCGCCCAGCTCGCACCGGTCTTCAGTCCCAACGCCACCGACGCCATGGCCGCCGCCTCTTGCATTTGCAACCATCTCTCCTCCTTCACCGGCCGCCTCTCCGACACCTCCTACGCCGTCGACACCACGTACCTCCTCTTCTCTGCCTACCTCGGCTGCGCCATGCAGCTCGGCTTCGCCATGATCTGTGCCTGCTCCGTCCGCGCCAAGAACACCATGCTCCCCAACGTCCCCGATGCTGCCGCTGCCGGCCTCTTCTACTACCTCTTCGGCTCCCCCTCCAACGGCCTCATCGGCCTCAAGAAAGTCCCCTCCCCCACCGTCGACTGCAGCAACTTCCTCTGCGACTGTATAGGAGGTGTCAGAGAGGTGGCCGGCGACGGAGGAGAGCTAGTCGCAAATGTAAGAGGCGGTGGCCGTGGGTGTTACAAAAGAAAATATACTAGAGTCTAAATGGGAAAGGGGAGAGAGAATCAGTCTGACCGGAGAAAGAGGAGAGAGAGACGAGCATTTATGACGGGGGCCACAATGACATGTGTCACTCAATGAATAGATTCTTGGAAAGATGACGTGGCATCGGAGTTGTATGTAATATTTTCTGAAGTTTTCTCCTTTTTGTCTTGGAGTGTTATGAACATTCTAGCTGTATCTCGCTTGATATATATATATATATATATAATATCTTCAAATTTAGAAGAAAGGAAAAGAAATAAGCACGTTAGAAGAAGTTGTGAACATGGTGTAATTCTATCTTAGAAACATTATTAGAACAAGTTAGTGTCGCGATTTTTCAAATATGTATGGTAATTGGATTCCAGCTTTCGATTGTGTTTCTTATTGATTATTTTGTGTGTAGTTAAAAGACTCAACTTCCGAATAATTTATATTTCCAAATCACGACATATTATCGCCTTCACGTGATTAGCTGAGAACATGTAAATAAATGAAAAGTGACGAATCCCGGACCAACCCTCCCAAATGACTTCGCCATATCGATTGAAAGAATTCAATGTCGCCGATACTTCTGACCGCCAACATCGACAGGTTGTCATCGACCCCCGCCATCAAGCTTTGCATCATGCTCTTGCTAATTGCCAACGTCGAGCTTGATTTTCCGAATGGGCTGTGAGGTTGACCTGCCGTATTTATTGAAGTCCAGAACAATTAACCTTAATTTCTCACGTACGTCCGGTAAATTGAGCTGGACTTTCTCCACGCTGATCTCGGCCTAATTTAAAAAAAAAACCCCAAACTTTACACTTTGTCCCAATTATACACTAAACTTTTTTTTGTCTCAAGAAAAACCTCAAACTTTTCTCCGAGTCCCAAATCTACCCTACCGTTATAACTCTGTCCAATTAACCAAAAAAAAAAAGTTGTTCAGCAGCTGCGGCGTGGCCAAGCCTTTGCCGGTGGCCGCCGCCACAGCCGCCGGGAAGGAGCGGCGGCCCTCGCCCGGGCCTTCCCGAAGGCCGGCGACTCGCCGCGGCCCGGCTGAGCCGGCGAGGGCTGCAGACCCCCGATCTGGGGGCGAGGGTCACGCCTCCCCGGATCGGGGCCGCAGCCTCGCCGGCGACTTGCCCGGGTCGGCGAGGGTCGCGGCGACTCGCCCGGCCGGCGAGGGTCGCCGGCCTTCGGGAGGCCTGTGCGAGGCCTCGCCCGGGGTCGGCGGCCCTCGCCCGGGCCTTCCCGAAGGCCGGCGACCCTCGCCGCCCAGGGCGAGTCGCCGCGAGGCCTGCCCCCGATCTCGGGGTGAGGTCGCGCCTCCCCGGATCGGGGCCGGAGGCCCTCGCCGAGACTCGCCCGTCGCCGGCCTTCGGGAGGCCCGGGCGAGGCCTCGCCTGGGGTCGGCGGCCCTTGCCTCGGGCCTTCCCGAAGGCGGCGACCTCACCGGCGACTCGCCCGGCCGGCAAGGGTCGCCGCCGGGAAGGCTCGGCGAGGGCCGCCGCTCCTTCCCCGGCGGGGCGGCGGCACCGGCGAAGGCTTGGCCACGCCGCACTGCTTCGTTCTTTTTTTTTTTTTTCGACGTTAATTGGACGGAGTTATAACGGTAGGGTAGATTTGGGACTCAGAGAAAAGTTTGAGGTTTTTCTTGAGACAAAAAAAATTCAGGGTATAATTGGGACAAAGTGTAAAGTTTGGGGTTTTTTTTGGAATTGGGCCCGCTGATCTCTGACCCTTCAAGAGGTTTTCTTGTTCCAATCTTTCAATGAATGGACTAGACTTGGATGTTTTCTTCTGGTGGACCATCCATGAAAGGCACACTTTTTGGGGGGGCGCTAAAAATTGTGTACGGAACTCACTTTGATGCCAAAAGTTTCATTTGGATCATTTAAGTGCCAAAAGTTTACGCCGGCGATCACTTAAGTGCCAAATCGAAGAAAAAACGATCACTTAAGTGCCAACGGCGAGAAATTCCGATCAAATTTAATACGTGACTTTTATATTTAAATTTTAATGACACGTGGCATTTCCATGTATATAATTTAAATTTTTAATTTCTTTCTTTCTTTCTTTTCTTTTTTATTTTTTCTTTTCTTTTCTTTTCTTTTCTTTCTTCTTCTTCTTCTTCTACCATGGTCGGTGGCCGGAGGACAGCCACTGGCCATGGCCGGCCTTGCTGGGCGTCACCTTCCTCCGGGCGAGGCCCGGCAAGGCAGTCGTGGCCTCGGCGAGGGCCACGGCAGCCTTGCTGAGCCTCGCCTGAAGGAAGGCGACACCTCAGCGAGGGCCGGCCTCGCCGGATCTAGCGAGGCAAGCCCTCGCCAAGGCCACGGCGGCCTCGTCGAGGCGTCGCCTTCCTTCGGGCGAGGCCGCCGCGACCCTCGCCTGGGCAGGGTGAGCCCCGGCGAGGGCTCACCTCGCCAGATCCGGCGAGGCCGGCCCTCACCGAGGCCACAGCAGCCTCGCAGGGCCTTGCTCGGAGGAAGGCGACGCCCGGCGAGGCCGGCCATGGCCGGTGGCCGGACGCCAACCATCAGAAATAAGAAGAAAGAAAAGAAAAAAAAGAAAAGGAAGGAAAAAAGACAGAGAAGTAAAAAAGAAAGAAAAGAAATGCCACATCAGCCCCCGGCGAGCCACATTAGCTTGAGAAATTAATAAAAAAAATGCCACGTCGGATTTACGGTGAAGTGCCACTTAAGTGATCGTTTTTCTCAACTTTTGGCACTTAAGTGATCCGATTGAAACTTTTGGCACCAAAGTGAGCGCCGTACATAACTTTTAACACTTCTAGTGTTCTTTCTCCCTTTTTGGGAGAACTGCTTTTGAGGACCACAGCTACCCACACTCTCTTGAAGTATGTTAAACAATTGTGCATGTGCATTCAAAGCACGGGACATGATTAGAAGTAGGCACTGACGTGACTCGTGGAATGCATATCATAATTCATACTTATATGTAGGGGTGTCAAAAGTACCCGCTCAAACATGACCCGACCCGAATACGACCCGATCCAAACAAGAAATTTTCATATTGGGTCGGGTTGGTTTTAACTTGTTTGGGTAACAGTAAAAACAAGGCTTAAACTTGTTTTGGATCTACCCGAGCCCACCCGAAATAAGCCCGCCCGAAACAAACAAGAGCCATTTGTCCTCCTTCTTGTTCCAAGCGCGCCAGAAACCTATTATCTTCTTCCAAAGCTCCGGATCGGCAATTGGCGATCGAGTAGTGCGACGCAAAGGCAACGGGCGGCGACAATCGGCGTCTTCGCCGCCAGCGCCACCCTAATTGCGGCTGGCATCACCAAGTCGGCGAAGTAGGGTTCATGACCAGAAGTTCTCTGTTCAACGAAGGTGAATCTGCGAGGGAGGGAGCGAAGGAAGAAGAGAGAGGTCGGTCGAATCGAACGTGTGCCTTGAGATTGTGATTGTACTCGCCGTTGTGTGTCAATCTATAAGTCCCATGTTCAGATCGCTCTCTAGAACCCTACTTCGCCGCGCCCTGTTCTTGCCCACCACCACTCTCGGATCGATCTCCACTACCACCACCTTGGGTCTACCTTCTTTCGAGGTCTCTTATCTCATGAATTCATGTGGGTTGTCTCCGGAATCGGCATTGTTCGTTTCCGAACGCGTCGCCTTCAAAACCTCGGAGAGACCCAACGAAATTCGATGCTTATAGCAGGTGGATTTGGTCTAGAGACGATGCCATGAGTGCTTTTGTTTGTCGAAGAATGGGGAACCCATCTGTTGACTCACTGTGCTTTTCGAGGTGTTCTGTGTATGCGTGTTCATCTCATTTTGCATCAGCCGATTTTGCGTGTCATATTAACTGTTCGATAAAATTATTGAGTCAAGTGGTGACGATGACCCTGCAACGACCTTGTTAAGTGAAGTAAAGGAGATTCTATTATAGTAGAAAATATGTCAACTGAAGGTTGTGACAAATGAATGCAATCTGTTCGCAAGGCTTATATATTTTTTCACTTATTTTGGCAGGCTTGCTGTTTTGTGCTCCAAAGTTGGATCTCAAAGAAGTTTATGACTGGATGGTAACATGTTTTTGTTGGGGAAATCAAGCAATGTGGTGAGGAAGAAGAAGTTTCTGGCTTTCATAATTGGCTTCAGGTAACCTATCTAGCAGCATTTTCCTTTCTTTCTGTCTTAGACTTGGAATCATCTCGCATGTGTCTTTCCACCGTGACAGAAGTAAAATATAATATATGATATGAACAAAGTCCAAGTTGCAGTTTTTTTTTTTTTTGGTCTGAGTTGCAGTTCAGTTTTGTCTTATTTCTTACTTTCTTTTTTTGTCCTGCCTGTCCAGTTTTACCTAGAAGAGGCAAAAGGAAGAGTTGATTATCAAGGATACATTTTTCCTCGACGCCGTGGAGAGATTGTAAGTAATAGCAATCCTATCATATCTGTCTGTAATTTAGGTCCGATATTAATTGGTGATCACCCAGGCTTTAGGGTATATGTTCTACTATAACTGGTTGTTCTATTTTGCATGTTTTTTTTCTGTTAGATTCTCCTCACAACTGTACTAAGCGTTCCCTTTTAACATTGAAGCACTGGGACAGCGCACGTGCACATAAGTTGGATAACATTCATCTAGAGCACTAAGCACTGTGACATGCTGCATTCTGTGGAGATCCTTTTCTATTGCAACATGCTTCCATATGCAGTGCATCAACAGGGTATTGTTCAGTACGCTCTGTTTTCCATGTTCTGATCCCCTGATTTATCTAAATGCGAATTAACAATTACCGTATTTCCAAGTGGAGCGGAGCATTTTGCCTTCTGTTAATATGGTATATATTGAATGAATTAATGAGGTAGATTACTCTTACAATTGATTCAGGAATGTTTAGCTAACGTGTGATCTTTTACTTAAGTGCATTTTCAACTACTAATTGATATGGAATTGACCCTACCACACCAGAAAACAAGAAAAGGCGCGTAATTCATGCTTTGTGTAAGCCTCTTTCAGAATCTCTCTTGGGTTCTCAGGAGAGTTTAAATTCTGGTGCTGCCCTGTGTCTAAAAGCCCTTGTGGACTCTGATAATTGGCGGTTTGCATCAGATGAGATGGTCAATAGAGTCTGTCAAAATGTCACTGTTGCTTTGGAAGAGAAACCTAATCAAACTAACTCGCATATGGGTCTTGTAATGTCATTGGCAAAGCATAATGCCCTCATTGTTGAAGCCTATGCAAGACTGTTAATACAATCGGGACTGCAGATCTTGCATACTGGAATTTCCGAGGGGAATTCTCAGAAACGATTATCTACCATTCAGATGGTGAATTCTCGGGCGAACAAGACAACCCGAGTTCTGTTTTTGGGGTGTCCTTCTTAAGAGAAGATGTAGGTGGTCAAGCAAAAATCTAAAACACGAACCCGACCCGAACACGACCCGACCCGATCGCACAACTATATCATGTTCGGGTCTTGTTTCGGGTCGGGCCAAGCAAATATATGCATTGTTTCGGGTCGGGTCGGGTATCATGAAAACCCGACCCGACCCATTGACACCCCTACTTATATGCTTCTTGTCTCCTTATTACAAACGTTTCCCAAAATTATATGGAAATCTCTTACAATTAATTTAACTCAGTATATGTGTTCGTAATGTCCATGACTTGTAAAACTCTAAGAAGAAATATAAACATTAAAGGAAATTTCCTCCAATCAAGAACCGACAAATCTTAGGATTCTTTCAATTTCAAACACCATCGTTTCGCAGAAAATATTACGTTTCTGGATAATATTTTTCAGAAAGTCGTTTTCCTGAAAAATGGTACAATTTTTCAATGTTTGGCTGAAATGTGAAAAAGTCTCGGAAAAGGTTTTCCGTTGTTCGTTATGGAAAAGATTTTTCTCCTTGCAATACTTTAAATAATTTTTAATTTTCTTTTTCTTCTTTTTTCTTCTTCTAGAATAAGAAGGAAAAAAAAGAAAAATAAAATATTGAAAATAAATGGTGAAAGAAGAAGAAGGAGGAGGAGGAGGAGGAGGAAAATGTTTTCTTCTTTTGAGAAAGAGGAAGCCATTTTCCTCAAAAGTGAAGGTATTTTATCCATAGGAAGAATAATGTTTTCCGTGGGAAGTTATTTTTCGTGAAACAAACACTGGCAAATCTCAAAAAACGTTTTTCCAAAAGTTATTTTCCGTAAAACGAGCGAAGTCTTAATTAGGTAATCCTTTGAAATCTAGTGAATTAGGTTGGAATACATGCGTGGATTGGTAATTTGACTTTCGTTTTATCTTCAATTGTTGAAAATGTTTTTGTGAGTACGCTGCAAAAGAATTGAGTTTTACATTTAAGTACTTATTCAGAATATTACAAAAAGCTCACAAACAAACATCATGTATATTTCTTTCTTGATGATTTCATTTTCTTTATGGAAAGAAGAATTATTGTCCAATATTTGAACATTTTTTATCAATATTTATTTTCCAAAATTGTTCCATGTGGATAATGGTGCCGTTCTCTACGACCGACGTCCTACTTTTTCATACTTCTCTGTTAATATTTAAAATATTAACATAGATTTTGAATCAAAAAGGGTCAAACTTCCATACTGGAACACCTGAGGTATCGAGCACCAAGCACTAAAGCAATCACAAGTAAACTGAGAGCGGCACAAGAAGAAGAAGAAGAAGAAGCAGCAGATCGTGAAGGAAGAAAAGAACCAACTAGAACAAAATAAGACAAATCCGGACCCCCTTGCCTTTAGAGTGACTGACTCACACAGAGAGCATTTCAAGGGGGAAACAAACGGTGGTCATGACGAAAACGAAGCAACGATGAGACACAGAAGAAAGTTCCTCCGAAGAACATGGAGGGAAAATAAATACACCAGAAAAGAAGAAGCAAAAGCCGTCCAGACTCTTCAAAGTGAAGAGACCAACCGACTTCCTCTAGTCGTCGGGGGTGTACAACTGCTCGTGGCCGGTGTGGCTGATGAAGACGACCTTGTAGATGAGCCCCGCGAGACCGCCACCGATCAGAGGCCCGGCCCAGTAGACCCAGTGGTTGTCCCAGCTCCAGCTCACCAGGGCGGGACCGAACGACACGGCCGGGTTCATCGACGCCCCGTCGAAGGCACCCCCGGCCAAGATATTGGCACCGACGATGAAGCCAATGGCGATCGGAGCTATGATCTCCAATTTGCCTCTCTTCGGGTCAAATGCCGTGGCGTACACAGTGTACACCAGCCCGAAAGTCATCACGATCTCCAGCACGAACGCGTTCCACGCGCTCACCCCCGAGGATAGCGAGAATGCTGACGTGGTCTGCGTATACAACAGCAACGCACCACTCATTTCGACGCACCGTGTCACACCGGCCAAACCAAATCACATTCAGAAGATTCGTGAGCATGGTGGAAGAAAAATCTCTTACCAATCCGCCGGTGGCGAACTTGAGAAGCAAGCAAGCGACGGTGGACCCGAGGAGCTGGGCGATCCAGTATAGGATCCCACAGAGAAGGCTGATGTTGCCGCCGACGAAGGCGCCCAAGGTGACGGCGGGGTTGACGTGGCCGCCAGAGATTTTGAAGCTGACGGAGACGGCGACGAAGAGGCCGAACCCGTGGGCGAGCGCGGCGGCGACGAGACCGGCGGGGGTAGTGGAGCCGTCGTCCGTCAGCTTGTTGAAGGCCATGCCAGAGCCCTCACCAGCGAACACGAAGATGAGGGTGGAGAAGAACTCGGCCAGCGCCGCCTTAAGGGCGTCCGGGTGGCAGTCCTCGGGCCGGACGATGGCGATTTCCCTGATCGGCATCTTTCCCGGCGTACGGCCGGCGGTTGTGGTGGTGGTTTTGGGTTGGCTCAGGGAGTGTTTTGGTCGGCTTCACTCGCTCACTCACCAATGTCGCCAAGGACTGTCCTCCACATCGCACTGGAGAGAGCGCTCATATTGAACTCGTGGAGGGGAATGGAAGAGAACCGGACCCAGTCGAGGAAATATTTGGATCGTGATTGGTGGACAGGTTGGAAGGATAATATAATAGCATTATTTTGCAATTTTCTGGCCATCTGTGGTAAGGCCGTCTACCAGTCATTACTGTGGAGAGCCCCACAGTAAATGGGGCCATTTAATGCGAGTAAATGGTGCATTAAATCCTATCAGTCATTGATGCGACACCTCCTACGCCGTCGACACCACGTACCTTCTCTTCTCCGCCTACCTCGGCTGCGCCATGATCTACGCCTGCTCCGTCCGCGCCAAGAACACCATGAACACCACCATGCTCACCAACGTCCTCGATGCCGCCGCCGCCAGCCTCTTCTACTACCTCTTCGGCTTCCCCTCCAACGGCCTCATCGGCCTCAAGAAAGTCCCCTCCCCCACCGTCGACTGTAACAACTTCCTCTGCGACGGCATAGGAGGTGTTAGAGAGGCGGCCGGCGACGGAGGAGAGCTGGTCGCAAATGTAAGAGGCGGTGGCCGTGGGTGTTTCAAAAGAAAATATATCAAAGTCTGAATGGGAAAGGAGAGAGAGAATCAGTCTGAATGGGGAAAGTGGAGAGAGAGAGACGAGCATTTATGACGGATGGGCTACAGTGACATGTGTTACTCAATGAATGGACTCCTGTAAAAATGACGTGGCATCAGAGTTGTATGCAATATTTTCTCGGGTTAATACCACGAAAAACTCTAAACTGGTACATTTGTGACACATTTACCTTGGCCTAATTCTAAAAAAAAGTACCAATTTTAGGTCGAGAGACAATTTTGGCCCGAGCTTTTTTTTGTTCCATAAAAAAGCACCAACTTTAGGTCGAGAGACAATTCTGACCTAAACTTTTTTTTGTTCTATAAAAAAGCACCAATTTTAGGTCGAGGGACAATTCTGGCCCAAACTTTCTTTTGTCCCATAAAAAAGCACAAACTTAAGATTGAGTGACAATTCCGGTCCCAATTTTTTTTTGTCTCATTAAAAATTACCAACTTTCATTATGATCCCAAATCTAGAGAAAGAATGTTATGGTAATGAGCTTGGCGAATCTCGTCTTTAGCGTCTGTCGACAGGCAGTGGTCAATTTCAGATTACGTTTGGCCAGAGAGATTCAATCTAGAGATATTTTTGACTTGTCAGTGAAGTGAAGAAGATGAATAATATGGCTTAGAAAATAGGACAATAAATATTGCTTTAAATCCAGTTAGTAAGCTACATGAATTTATTGCTAATGTGGAATAGTCAAATTAGATAATCAATGGTTCTAAGTCAATGCGGGCCAGATTTGGGATTTAAGTAAAAGTTAGTGCTTTTTTATAAGACAAAAAAATGTTGAGGCCAAAATTGTCCATCGATCTAAAGTTTGTGCTTTTTTACGGGACAAAAAAAAGTTCGGGCCAAAATTATCCCTTGACCTAAAGTTGGTGCTTTTTTATGAGACAAAAAAAAGTTCGGGCCAGAATTATCCTTAGACCTAAAGTTGATGCTTTTTTTTGGAATTAACCCCATTTACCTTAAACTGTTTTTTTTACCATAAAAAACCCCAAACTGGTACATCTGTGACAATTTTACCCCGAACATACCACAAAAAACCCCAAACTTGTACATACGTGATAATTTTACCCCGAACTAATTTTTTAATATTATTTTTTTGAATTTTTTCTTTTCTTTTCTTTTATTTTCTTCATCTTCAACCTCTAGCCGGTTGCCGGACCGGCGACCGGCCAGAGGCGGATGCCGACAAGGTTGGCCCCGTCGGCCGCTGGCGAGACTCGACCTTGCCAGCATGGGCGAGGACAGCCCTCGCCCACCCCAGGCGAGGGTTGCCCTCGCCCACCCAGGCGAGGGCTGTCCTCGTCTGACGCCGACAAGGGCAGCCCTCACCCAACGCAAGCGAGGGCGGCCCTCGCTGGCGTCGGGCGAGGACAGCCCTCGCTTGACTCAGGCAAGGGCCGTCCTCGCCTGCCCAGGCGAGGGCCCCCCTCACCCGATGCCGGCGAGGGCCGCCCTCGCCAGCGGCCGGCAGGGCTGACCTCGCCGGCTTTCGCGTCTGGCCGATCGCCGGTCCGGCTACCGGGCATAGGTTGAAGATGAAGAAAAAAATTAATAAATTAATAAAAATTCGAAATAATAAAAAATAATATTAAAAATTTAATTCAAGGTAAAATTGTCACATATGTACCAGTTTGGGGTTTTTTGTAATAAGTTTAGGGTAAAATTGTCACAGGTGTACCAGTTTGGGGTTTTTGGTGGTCAAAAAAATAGTTCGCGGTAAAATTATCACAGATGTACCAGTTTGGGATTTTTTGTGGTAAAAAAAAATAATTTTGGATAAATGTGTCACAAGTGTACCAGTTTAGGATTTTTCGTGGTATTAACCCTATTTTCTCGGATAACCTCTATCTCTATATGGTTTTGATAGAGCAGCTGACAATCAAGGTTCATTGACTTCTCCGGCATTGGTGCCGTTGGCAGAGGTGGAGCAATGGGCCCCACTCGGAAACTGACGGTCCGTGCATGAGTCCACGTAGCGGGGGAATTTGTCCTGTCTACGTCATGATCGAAGCACTCTTGACACTTCGGACTTCTTCTCGTGGTATCGACTAAGCATTTAGTTCGACTTTGGAGAAATGTCTTTGGCAAAATGCAAAGACTTTTAGGTTAAAGGGATTTTTCGAAATGCAAGTAATATTCGGTAAGTATATTTTAAAATCACATTTAAAAACAGTTTTGGCTTAAATATCGTTTGATATAAACTATATTTTGTAAAGGATTTTTGCTATTATTTAAAAAAAAAATGTTTGAGGTGAGCTCAGCCACCAGCCGTAGACACTAGCCAGATCTGGTCGTTAGCCAGATTCACCTAACCTCAGACGAGGCGGCCTAAGGTCGTGGGACCTCAAGCATTGCCTGGGTCGCCGGGGTCACGTTACCCCTCAAGCGGCGATCGCCAGCCGCCGGACCTGCTGCTTGGAGAAGATGAACAGTGCTACGATGAACAGTAATCTTGCATTTCGAAAGTACAACTTGCCAAAGTACTTGTGGACATGTCTTGGGCTAAAAGCCTTTAGAGTCATTTGCATTTCCTCGAAATATTCCAAAAAAATTGCCAAACGCGATTTGTATTTGGCCAACAAACTTTAGAGCCCTAATGCCGAACCAAACAAGGCCAGAGACGGTTTGCACTACAATTGGTAAATGACCAAAATAAACGATTTCGATGTTTTGAAATGAATATGAAACTTGAATCAAATGTGAACCTTTTTCCTCGCCATGGCAATTACACGCGTTGCATTTTTCGGTCATCGCCCTAAGACCTGTCAAAATGGATCCCAAGTCAATTTCTTAATTCATATTTGATAGCCTGAATTAGTATATGAATTAGTTATATTTAATAAATGGGTCGTGAATAATCTTAAAATGGTGGAGCCCAACATAACATGGATGTTAAATAGGTTTATAACTTACTTAAACCCAACCCACCTCTATGATTCCCTATTCACTCTCTTTTGCCCTCACTCGATCTCACGTTTGCTCGCTCCATGCTTTCATCTCAGTTTGGTTATAAGTTTTCCTACATCAAGTAAAATATGTAAGTGTTTTATCAATATGTGTCAGGTTGGGTATGAATTGAGTACGAGTCCGATTTGGTATTGGTCACTAAATTTGGACTGTATGAAAAAATTGGTCAAAACAAGTTAAATGAGATAATTTGAATCAAACCAATTTTGACTTCACTCAACCCACTCGTTTGACGAGTTTAATTGCCGTCTTCATGTCCCAAAAGAGAATAAGAAGGGCAAGGTAACTTCTTCACCGAAAGCAAAAATACCTTATCACATAGGCCATAACATTTCTCTTACATGATCTAAGGCTTCGTTTGGTTCAAAAAAATGCATGACTAAAAAATATTTTTCCTAAAAATAATCGTTTACATCACTTACGAAAATAAGTGAACGAAAAGTATATTCATAGTTTACAAAAATATTTAGACAAATGCTTTGAATAGTCGCACACCTTTTACCCGTTGGAACACCATTGGTGTCCTATTAGGTACGAAGTTTTTGTGTACGACTAACCCCTCTTTGTAAGTGATGCGTTAAAAAAGTTAATATACATTTTACCTTACAAAAAAAAAATTAAATAAATTGTTGTCGATAATAAAAATATTTTTAATTGGTTAATTATTTCAATCATACAAGCGAGCATTTTTAAAAAAATATTTTTTAAATTATTTATTTTTCGTGAAATAAATTGAGCTTAAGCTTAATTTTTGCAATCGGTCAAAAGATGGGTGGAAAGCAAAGCCATGGTCAATTGGGAACATACAGCTAATGCAAAAGACGATCCATTGGCGTTTTGCTTTTCATCTTCTGTCTGGGCTCCAGGTTTAGCGCCAAATTCGAATCGCTCCGCCCAAAACCCCCGTCCCCTGCAAATCTCAACACGCAGAGCAGCGAGGACGATCTCTCTCTCTCTCTCTCCCTCAAAACAGCGAGGTGTATGGTCGAGACCGCAGTCTCTCGAGGTTTTCTCTAGCGATTTCCTGCTTGGTGATCGGAAATGGCGGTTCAGAGACGGCCATTACTGTCGCGGTAGATAGAAGCAGGTCAGTGGATTTCACTATCGCCATCTAGACTCGAAGAGCGGTCATCGGTTCGCTTCACGCGGATCACGGTGCTTGATCGCTAGCGAAGCATTGGATATTTAATTTTTCAGAAGGAATCAGGTATAGTTTTGGGAGAGGGCGCGGCTAGTGCGCGGTATCATTCGGTTTGGAATTGTAGAGATTAGAGTCGCTTTAGGACGGCTGAAACTTAATGAGCCAGTTCTGTTGCGTGCGCGTGTCGATCCGGTTGAGACTTTCTCTGCTGATTAGGACTTCTATGTGATGTGCTTTAGCAGTCCTTATCCCGGGCACTGATGTTATTACTTTTATCGAAACCCCACGTCTCGAGCTTTGTTAAGCAGGGCATTTGCTAGGCGGGTCTGCTCTGCGTCTTGCTCTAGCCAAGTATGTGTGATAGTTCCAGTTACATCCTAATTGTTATTTCTTTTATTTCACAATGCTTGGAGTAATGATGACTATGGGTATCAGACCATGCTGGAACTCTCAAAAAGAGAGTACCTGTTAAAGAAGAAAGCATTACTGTAGGCAAACATTGCCCCGGGTATTAGAATTACCACAATTATGAATGTAATGTACAATTAATTGCCTGCATAGATCAACTGCTGCTGCTGCTGCTTCTTGATATGTCGGGCGATCTGAGATGAGAAGAGCAGGAGATCCTTTCCTCGGAAGAATGTCTAACCGATAGGTAGGATTTGGTTTCTGACTTGACTTTGTGTTGTTATCAACTTATCACTCAGCGTCAACAGCTTCACACGGGCTCTGTTGTCTACCTGCATTCTTCCTCAGTTTTTGACACTCTTGCATTTCAGAAAATGCTATTTACTCCTACTATTTTTGAGGTTGCGGACGGTCATCACGAGTTGTTGCCTTTCACCTTCTACCTCAGCAAATCGGAGACTTATTTCCGAGTATCTTTCTTCCATCTCCTTTAATTCTTGCTCCATCGATTTGTTCCTTTCGCTCAGTACTGCCAGCTCAGCACGCAAGACGTTGCAGTTATCTTCATTTTGGACGATGGGGTTCCCATTGATATGCTGTGCTTTATCAACTGTTTCCTTTCTTTCCCCTGACTTCCGATGGCTTCTACTGCTTCTACCAGCATGTTTCACATCCTGTGGAGTAAATCACAAGATATGAACTTGTAATTCTTTATTTAGGTGAAATGTTATGGAAGCAGATATACAAATGGGGATGATGTTACATGCTGTCATTTTGATGTATCTAGTAAAAGAAATATGGGACAATATAGATTGGAATAGTTTTCCAGTCAAAGCAATTGATCATATTTTGATGCCAAAGACTGGAATCTGTGTGCTAGTCTCATAAAGTTAGCTTAACAGAAGTTCCATATCAACAACTGCACGGAATATTTGAAAGGCACTTTTCGCCCCTTCGAGGAACACTTTTCTTAATATTAATTTTCTTTTTCTCTTTTCCAGGTGCCAACTGAACCAACATCCTTACACCTCTGAAAAGCAGAAAAGGCTCAGATTGATTGCCTAAAAAAAGAAGCATTGCATGGTGATTCGTGATTGAGATTTCAACAGACAAGTGACAAACCTCTAACTGTTCTATGCTTTTGCATAATTCTTCAATGATGCTTCTTAGGTTCTCTGCATCTCTTAGACAAGTCGGTTTTTCTGCTTCCCTGTCCTTAAGTTCGATTTGGTTCTGTCAGACAAAGTAAACCGTCAAACATAAACACCAAAACAAGGGAAAGATGATGACCTAACTTATACATAAAAAGAAGTGGCGTGTGTTTGATGTAACCTGAACATGTTCTTGGCACTTAGGCCAAAAGGAAAACATTGTGGACACTAATTTATGACCAAAAAGAGGTGGCTGACTCTTGTTTCATAACTGTCCGTGCATCCGGCATTTGTGATATTGTTTGTATAAAATATCTGAACGAATAAGAAGAGGAATTTCAATCATATACATGACTGCTAAAGGTTAAAATATTACCTTAAGTGATGCCAATTTCTCCCTTAAGCTGGCAAGCATCTCAGGAATGCAAAGTGCAGTCAATTGGTTATCGCATGGAGTTGTGTTTCTATCTACGGATGCAGCTTGACCACTGTTGCAGGCAAATGTATCATTTACTTTGGTGATTTGCTCTTCTCTCCTGGTTAATTCTCTTTGTAGTTCAAGAAGCTGCTTTGTCAGACTCTCTTTCTCCTTCTGTTCTTTCTGCAAGATGTGCTTTAGATTTTGTTGTTGAACTGTGAGGTTTTCCACTTTGGACTGCATGCATGCAATCATCTTTTCCTTCTCTTCCGTCAAGGATCTCTCAGTACTCAACTCCTTAAGTGCTTCTTCTGCATTCTTCTTTTCCGAAGCAAATTTCTTTGCCAAGCTCTCTCTTTCCTCACTCCATCTCTGTATGAGCATCTCTACTTCAGCTTGTTCTCCTTCAGCTTTCAGCTTGGCCTTTTGTTCCTCCAGTTCTTTGATGTCATCCTTCTCCTTTCTGAGTCTCTCTATTTCGGATTTGAGAGTTTCTATCTCCTTTGAGGAAGCCTCGTGTTTTTGTTCGTCATCATTTTGCACGTATTCAAGCAGCTTGGATTTGTTGTTCAGCTCCATTTTAATGTGCTCCATTTCTGTTGCTCTCAGAGCAAGTTGTGTGCAAAGCTCTTGTACTTTTACTTCATTTTGATCGTCTCTCTGTCGTAACTCTTCGTTGGCTTTCTGAAGCATCTCCTCCAAACTTTCTTTTTGCTGGCGGACTTCGTTGGCTTCATTCACTGCTTTAACTGCCAGCTTCTCATGCTCATCAAGTTTAGATGTCATTTCCACTGAAAGCCTTCTGAATTCCTCCTGAAGTCTTTCAGCAGCAACAGCGTTATTCCACCTGGTCTTCCTCAACGCCTCCTCTGCTCGTATTGCCCTCTGCTCTAACTCGACTTTGGCTTGTGTCATGGCTTCTAAATCTTCTTCAAACCCTTGAGCTTGCTTATCTATTTCTTTCTCCAAATGTTTAACTTGGCTTTCCAGTTCATTAATGGAAATCAATGACTCCGAGAGTTCTTGCGCCTGCCTCTTGACCACCAATTCTAATTTCTCTATCTGTGTCTCAAGCTCTCTGATATGAGCTGAAGACTCTGAGAGCTCAATCTGTTCATTCATCTCTTCTTGTAGATTCTGTTCTTCCAGCTTGGTAGTTATATCGTGATTTTCCTGTTTTAAGATCTCATAGTCCAAGGTTAGCTGCTCCAGATGTGTCTCCAGTTCTTCATTCTGTTTCTTGTACAACTCTAGCTCACCATGCTGGTCTTCTATCTTTTGCTTCAGCAAGTCCACTTCAATTGCATCACTTCGCTTCACGCGGCGTTCTGGCCATCCATCGCATTCCTGAGAATCTTCTAGATTCTCATTGATCTTGCTGCTAAGATGAAATATCTCTGCATTTCTTTCCTTTAACATCTCATCAAGATCTCTTACAGCTAGAAGTAACTCAGAGTTAGAATCTTGAGTTTTGTGCAGCTGCAACCGCAGATTGACATTCAAGTCTTTTTCATGACCAAGTTCTTGTCTTATTGCTTGTAGTTGGGATTTTGTCTCCTCATATTCAAGCTGCAGTTTGCCAGGAGTTTCCGCCTCTTTGGTATGTATCCAGCAGGACCTGAGTTGTTCACATTCCATCTGGAGTGCATCTTTCTCCTCCCTGAGGTTTGAAATTTGGGTAGATAAACTTTGTCCCCGCTTGGTCTCTTTCACAATCTGTTTCCTCAGAGATTGTAACTCCAGTTCTGATAGTGTTGACTGCCTTGTTATACTATCAACTTCATATCTGAGTTTTTCGATTGTTGCATCCGAAGCTTCTTTATGAAACCTCTCTGTTCTTAATTGCTCATCGGCGTTATTTACAAAATCAGTTAAGCTCCCATCGGAAGCTGAACCTAGAGACCACTCTGTAATTGACCGTCTATGTTTATTGTTTGATGCTGCTACTGAACCAGCTGGTTTTCTTGGAGGAATAGAACTTTGTCTAATAGGAGGTTCCTGAGGGACGCTCCTATATTTAGTTTCAAGCTCTCCAGCATTTGGTTCGGGATATGATACAAGAGGCGGCGTGCTTTCTTCTAAGTACCCATCCTGCAAATGCAGTCAAGAATCAAATTCAGGTTCTTCAAAAACCTAGAAATGATTGGCCATTTTCAAGACCCAAGAAATTTCCTCCTTTGTGAAATCTTTAAGGGCCTTGGTTTCAGTTAGAGATGAGAACACCTTACTTCGAAATAATCATGCTGGTCCTCATCTTCTGCACTGAGAATGCTCAGTTGGTTTTTCAGGGATCCCTCCTGGTAAGATAATGGAGGTCCATTATCTTCAATTTCTCTGAGGATGGTGGAAGATTTCACAATTTATTTCTTGAGAAGGAAGAGAAATAGCTTTGGAATGATCAAGAAATATTGACCGATAATACTACAATTTACCTTTGGCCTGAACCCTCCACCTTCTGGATTGTCACCTGTTTGAGCAATTGCTTTTTGGTTAGATAAGTAGATGCCTTTTCAAGTTCTCGTGATTCGAGATTAATAACATACTCCATGCAGGCAAAAGTAAAACGGAATCTAGTGGCCAAACATTACCCAGCTTGTCAATGTGCACAAGACACACACACACACACACAGAAAGCTCACATGTAAAACTGCTCCGGAGTTCGCAAACTTTAGTGGCAGAGAGAGAGTGTACGGTTCAGTTTCTGCCGCAAAATCTGCAAAATCAATTGAAGCTTCTCCAAGAAATCCTCCCTTTGATGACCCCTGGGCGAAACAAAGAAAAATATTCAAGCCTCGGCATTTGTTGACAAGATCACAGTTGACAATAGAACAGATGAATGTGGCTTTTTCCCTACCGCTGAAACAATGAAATGGTATATTTTCTCTTTGAGCTTCCCTGTTTTTGACTCTCTGATGAGCTTCACCGTTTCATATACAGGATTATCCCAAGAACAGATCCCATCCTGTACAGCAGCTTTCTCTAGCTTCACCGTCGGCTTGCCAACATCATCAGGCACCAGAGATATTGTTAAGGTAGATTTCTTTGACTTGGGAACCTGTTGATGAATGTGAAATTGCAAATTAGATCCAAATGTATGAATTGTGAAAACTGTCTACTTCCCGTTGCAACAGTAAACATTTCACCACTTTCCAGATCCAGTGATCTTAATTGTCTAGTTTCTCAATTGCCAAAGTTCCTGCTTTTAGCTTCATAACATCAATCCCAACCCTAAAGACGTTGATTTTCTGAGTTAAAAATACCTGAGTTGCCTGAAACTGCAACTTGAAGACAGCTTTGATCTTGTTCTTGTCGCTTCTCCATCTTCCTGACTTGAACATTGTTCTTACCTTCCCACTTTACTGACTCTCGGTAGAGTTTCCTCGGAAGGCCACTGTCATTGCTGTGCTTCCAAAAGAAGCAGCAAATGCTGTTCTTGTCAAAGGCAACCGAAATATTCCATCATTAATAGCGAAAGGAAAAAATGTTTCTTGTTTCTCTCCAGCTGAGAGTAGAGGAAGTGCAATCTGAGATTTGAGTATGGGCTTGCCCTCTGGCTCGGTTGAACTCAATTACTGCAATCCAGTGGACTAGGAAGGCTCAAGCTGGAGAGAGTTTTGGGAATGAGGGACAATCAATGATGACCCAGCTAAAGGCGAAAAGATACCTTGCCTAAAACAAATAAAGAAGCTTCTCATCCGAAGCTCAACAGGAACACGGAAACCAACCAAAAAGAGTACAGTACAGCAGTTTTCCAGGTATGAGTTCGATTTGCTGTTATGCTCAAGTCCTGGCCCTACACTTCCATGGCCATGTCCCCACTCTCTTATCTGGAAAAGATGTTTTTTTTTTCTATCGAGCTGCCTTGTCAGATAACACTGCAAAGCATCTATTTCGGGTCGCAATAAAGAAATAATATGTTAATATATTCAAGATCTGATTCCCCTAGGAACGTTTTGCTGTGTCATTCAAGAGTAAAATTTTATGTGCTGGGTAGATGATTACGCCACTACAAAGCCTAATCCTATGGCTCCGGGTCCGTCAAATTTGCATATGCCAGTGCTAATAGAAAAGAAAAGAAATTCCTGGGTTCTCATTTAAAGCGAGGCACCAACCTAAAGAGGTGGGAGTGTGGAATCTGCCAGTGAAAAGTAGCAGCTCTTTAATTATCATGCCATTATGGAATGGTCGTTACAATGTGGGCAACTGCACTTGACAGAATTTAAAAAAGGCGCTCCTTCCAACTGTTTTCTTTTTCTTTTCTTTTCTTTTCTGGGGTAAGGCTAAGGCCATGCAGCTTGTGATTGGGGATATGATTAAGACTTGACTAAAGTTAAAGAACAGCCCACAAACATGATGGAAGGTTAGGTATATATCCAAGGTATGTATCCTTTAATTCTTTGCATTTTCTCTGAAAAGGAGCTCTCTGCCAAATGGCAGTAAAAGAAAATCTTTTTTCCAATAGCGGCTTTCTTACCGTTAAAAATATATTGTCTGATTTTGAGTATCTCAGATTATATTCTCGTTATTATAATTCTGAATATCTTTTAGATCATAATCTCGTTATTCTGATTACGACAAGATTATGATCTGAGATACTCAGAAATAATCCGAGCAATGTCCCAAAATCTTTGATCAATTTATAATCAGATAATATATTTCTAAAACTTACCAGGAAGAGTGGGTGTGGCCGCTTGTAGAGAATTTGTTGTTTGCTGATGGTGTGTGCCAGATATGCATATTCTTGTGGCATGGCAAAACATGGTTGCCCTCCATGTGGGGATCCGATCAGAAGTGGTCCAAACCATCCTCTAACTCTCGGTCTCTGCCTTTCAGCTTTTCCACGAGTGTAAAGCATAGTGCAGTCTTGCAGCTGAGCATGTAAAAGGTACATGTCAGGACGAAGTGGTGCATTCACTATTGCATTAGCGTGCCTCCTTCACGGTCAACCCCAACCCAAGTTGCTTCCTAAATGAGTGAAAACTGCACATGGCGGGTCGTCTCGCACATGCTGGCCGTCTCTCCTTAGTTTTTTAATCTACTGACAGCCCATTGGAGAGGAATGCGTGTACTAAGGCTTCCTTATCCATTTAAATACACGAGTGGATGAGAAACGTGCCAGACTTAAATAGAAATGCAAATTTGAACGATTAGGGAGACCTCACATCTTGGGTTTTTCATTGAATCCGTTGGCGAATTCTGCCGTTGATAAAGTCAAGTATTTTCCGCGACTCGCGAAGTTGAATATGTACATTTTTCTCATCGGATTGCCCGCAAAGTTAACAGGACATTTACCTCGGTTCGAGTTTACATAGGGCAAGTTCCCTCATTGTTGAAAAAGAAAATAGAAAAATCTCTGAAGGACGAGATGATAAATTCATACTCGATTAGGATGTAATGCACATTCCTAGAATAATTGAAGCTTACCTTACCGGTCTCAAAGTAAATTTCATTTGCCATGGTGACCACATGTCATGTGATTAATTCGACATACAAAAGGAAAGATTTGAAAATGGTGTCTCAAAAAATATCGACTATTTTGTCATTCGTTGTAATTTCTCCACGCCCCACTCTCCTTAACTTCCATATTTTGCTTTGTACACTCGTTTGTTTTCCTTAATATTCTAGTTGTAGTGATATTAATTTTTCTGATGCGTTATCAATTCGACACAACGTCGGGTGGATCAAAAAGGTTGTCATAATTAAAAGCGACGCTTTACACTTTGCGTGAATATTCAATGACCTGCCCCCTGTCAGCGACAACCTCGGTCTTCACGTGACTTGACCTCGCATCCACGATATTTTGAATCCTTCAGAACGTAATGTTTATCGCTCTGGATTGGATCTTTGGGCTTGGATCTACACTTGTTAAACCCAGAAACCAGAGTGTCATCCAACTTCCTTTACCCCAAAAAACAGAGGTATAAAAGTACAAATCATAAACAAATTACATGCAGAACATGCATGGACATGGGGCTCTTCCGATCAACGTCATGGAAGGGACCCCTTTGCATTCATTTGTTAATCCTCTGTCGTGCCAACGCATCCATCACATGATGTTTGAATGGCTACCAAATTTATTCATGGCCCGTTGGCCCGTCCACACCCACCTTCGAAGTTGCGCGGGACTTGTCCGGTGGTCCTATGAAGCTTGACAACGAAAACGCCCCGCCGTTTTGGTCCACTTCGCGCCTCTCTTTTGTCGGTGGTTGTTGGGCTCCATCGTGGCGGCAGGCCTTAATCTAGAATGTAGGGGTGTAAACAGTTTGGTTCGGTTCGGTTAACCGAACCGTTAGAGGTGCACTCTTGAACCGAACCGAATCTCGCTCGAACCAAATATGAACCGAACCGAATCTCGCTCAAACCAAATATGAATCGAACCAAAAAACCGGTTTGGTTCGGATCGATTTTCGGTTTCTTCTTCTTCTTTTTTTTTTTGCTTTTTATTCACAGCTTGGTTTTTGGTTTTTTCTTCTTTTTTCTTTTTTTTTGCTTTACCTCTACTTTTTCATCCAACAAAATCACTCAATCCATCTTAACTTGGAACAAGAGCTTATACAGGTGACTGGATAAAACACAGAAGAACTTTCGATTAAAATACCAAAAAAGAGGTTGGTTTTCTCATATATTTAAATAAGTGGTTGGTTTCTCATGTGTCCATTGAATTTCAAGGAATGCATTTTTACATTCTGACTGCTATAGATACAAACACCATACAGCATAGAGAATTTAAAGACTAAATAAACACAGAACTTGCATAATCTAAAATTGGATAGTCTTACAAGACAGCACGACACCAACACACCGGACAAACAGATTAGGAATTAGAAAACACAGTTCGGCTCAAACAAACATGACCAGACCAAACCAAACTGATATTGTTCGAGAAGGGCCAACAAGGGAGCCGCATATCTAGAATGTTGTTCTTGTAAAGCTCACTGCAAACAAAAGAAAGAAAGCTCAATAAATGAACTGAATCAAGGATTAGAAATGCCCAGTGAAGCAACTTTTTCTAAAAGGAATTGAATAGAGAGAACCATCACCCAACTTAGAAACAAATCTATTTATCCGAGGACGCTTAAGCAAGTCCACAGTACAAGAGCCGCCATCAACCCGCAAACCAAGAATTACATAAACTAATCCACAATACCCAGAAGATACAACAGCTAAACCCCGTCTCCAAACTAAGACTGCAAGCAGAGGAGCAATGCAACAAATCCTCGCAATTAAAGAGTCAGGAGAAATGTCAAAAATGGAACCTCTCGCAAGACCCCAGAAGACTTATCGGCTCGATTAATAGAACCATTTTCAGTATCGAACCATTTCCGTATGCTATGGTACCCGACCACACAGAGCGAGCAGATCTAAACTCAAGCGTGCGAGAGAGAAGAGCAGCGACGGAAGCACAGAAATGAGCGCAGATCTGCGAGGGGGAGAGAGAGGGACAGAGAGCACTCGCCAAGAATGGAGGTCTTCTTCTTCGTTGAAAGGGTTGGGATCGTGGTGGCGATTCATCGTAGCAGCAGAAAGAGAGGGGATTTGAGCCAGAGAGAGAGAGGGGATTCACTCTTTCAAAGTAAAAACCAAAGTTATTTTTTCAGTTCGGTTCGAACCGAACCGAACTAAAAAAAAAAAAGAACAGTTAGCTTTGATTATCCGAACCGAAATCGAACCGAACCGAAATAAATCAAATTTTCGATTCGGTTTGTATTTCGATTCGATTCTAACACCCCTACTAGTAGAATGGACATAGGATCAAGAAAGTGTACGATGTTCCATGACAACTTGCCAAATAGTGTTTGATTCTATTCTTTTGTTCCTAGAATCAGTATGAGAATAGAAATCCGTTTGTTTAATTTTTTGATTCTGGGCACAAATTCTTGCAAATTTGTGCCAAGAATCAGTTTTGGAGCAGAATCAAGAATAAAAAAAAAGTAGCTTCTTGATTCTGGGAACAAAAATGAGAATCAGTTTGTTTTTTCTTCTTCTTTTCCTTATTTTTTATAATAGAAAATAATGTCCGGCGCGAGGGCCACCCTCGGCATATCTGGTGAGATTAAAATATTTTAATAAAAAAATATTATTAATAAAAAAATTTTACTGGCCATGGCCAGCGACGAGGCCATGGAGAAAAAAATAAAAAAGATATTATTAATAAAAAAAAATTTACCAGTCATGGCCAGCGACTAGGCCATGGCGAAAAAAAATAAAAAAAATATTATTAATAAAAAAAATTTTACCGGCCATGGCCAGCGACTAGGCCATGGCGAAAAAAATAAAAAAAATATTTATAAAAAAAAATATTTTACCTGCCATGGCCAGCGACCGGGCCATGGCAAAAAAAATAAAAAAAATATTTTTCAATAAAAATATTTTTTTATTAAAATATTATTAATAAAAAATATTTTACGCTATGCAAATGACCAGGCCATGGCAAAAAAAAAAAAAAAATATTTTCAATAAAAATATTTTTAGTAAAATATTTTTAAAAAAAATTATTTATAAGAAAATTTTTTACCGGCCATGGCCAAGAAGGAGGAGAAGAAAAAAAGAAAAGAAAGAAATATTAAAATATTTAAAATGTTATTAAAATATTATTAATAAAAAGAAATTTTATGCCATTACCAAACGCATTTCTGCTCTTTTACTATTTCAGGAATAGAAATTTTGGGCCGTTACCAAACGCCTTCAAATGCTCAAAATCAGTTCCCGGGCACAGAATAAAAAAAAATCATTTCTGACTAGAATCTGTTTCCGGACACAGAATAGTTGCCATGCGCAGCCTAAAATTTCAACCTCGTTTCTTCTTGGGATTGCAAGATGCAGAATACGTTATATTTGGCAGACAAATCTCGGTTAATCTTCCGTCTAAAATCTCCGTTACTCAACCAATGTGGCATTTCCACATCAGCTGTAAATCCACACCATTTGCTTACGTGGATTTTTCGTCACTGTTCATCGTCGTTATGCTCTTTTCCTTCTTCTTGGCTCCTTGCAACCTCCATCAATGGAGGTGCTCGAGCATGGAGCTAACTTCTGGGTTACACGACCTCGGATTTGAGTCGTGCGACCTTAGATCTGAGTTCGCATGACCTCGAATGTGAGGTCGTACGCATCAATCGCGGGTGTCAACCTCCATTAATGGAGTTCGACCATAGGGCACATAGTGGGGGAAACTATTTGTGCCTTCGCAGCGACGGTGGCTGTAGGGAAAGCTTGGGGTTGTTTTTCTGTCGTCCGGGCACGGAATGGGTCCACAAAGCTTCAGGGATGGCCGAGCGAGGTGGTGGCCTATAAAAATGGCTTCTTGAAGCTTAAATAGAAGGAATCGAAAACAGGGTCTCGGTCGAAATGGCCGGAGATGATTCCGACGACTGCCAACCGTCACGGACGGGTTGTCGAAGGTCGTGGCACGACGTCGGAGATCTGGGTGACGATGGATGAGCGCTGGGAAGCTGTGGCCGAGTGAATCCGTGCGAAGAGGACGATGAACAGTGACGAGGCTATAATCTCAACTGACTTTGGACATTCCAATTCCCACAGTTCATTAAGCTTCTTTGAGCTTCCTGGGATGATTAAACCTCTCAAGGAGTTCTCTTTTGGTCAGTATCAATGCTCTCAGTTGTTCGAGTCCACTGAGTTCAAGCTGAGATTGAGAAATTCGTAGCTTTGACAGGTTTTTAAGTTGGAAATGATTGACCAAGAAACTGATGAGTTGAAACTAACAAGTTTCAGCTCCGGTAAGGCAGGAGGAAGCTGCGTGGTGGATTGCGAGGAAGCTTCGATAAAATCGCCGACCCGCATTTAGCCTCCGTGCTTGAGCACCTCCGTTAATGGAGGTAATAAAGAAGAAGAAGGCAAATGAGGATGATGAACAGTGACGAAAAATCCACGTAAGCAAATGGCGTGGATTTACAGCTGACATGGAACGGAAATTTTGGATGAAAGATTAACGGAGGTTAGATTTGGGATTAAAGTGAAAGTTTGGAGTTTTTTTAAATAAAAAAAAGTTTATGGTAAAATTGAAACTAAGGCTGCGCATGGCAACCATTCTGTGCCCGGGAACATATTTTGGTCAAAAATGATTCTTTTTTATTCTGTACCCTGGAACAATTTCTAAGCATTTGAAGACGTTTGGTAATTGCCCAAAATTTCTATTTTTAGAATAGAAAAAGAACATAAATGCATTTGGTAACTACACAAAATTTCTTTTTATTAATAATATTTTGTGAATTTTTTAACTTTTTTTTCCTTGGTCATGGCCGGTCGCCCGCGCCGGCGACCGGCAACAGGCCAGGATTGGCGAGGGTGTCGAGGCCCTCGCTGCCGGCCTCGCCATCACCATCCCCGGCAACGAAGAGGTCGAGCCTCGCCCGCCAAGGCGAGGCCGACTCGCCCGTCACCTCGCGACGGCGAGGCCGCCGCCATGGTCGGCGAGGGACCTCGTCGCCACTCGCGACGGCGAGGTCGCCTCGCCTTGGCCGGCGAGGCTCGACCTCGCCGTCGTTGGGGGCGGCGAGGGCCACCCTCACCGAACCTGGCCGGTCACCGGTGGCGGGCCGGCGATGGGCCGGGAAGAAGATGAAAACCAAATAAAAAAGAAAAAAGAAAATCAAGAAGAATCAGTTTTGGAAAAATTATTCCAGAATCAAAAGGCTACTTTTTTTTATTTCTTGATTCTGTTCCAAAATTGATTATGGGATCAATTTTTTGCAAAATTGTGCCCGGACACAAAAATTTTAATAAACAGATTTATGTTCTCAAACTGATTCTGAAAACAAAAGAACAGAAATTTTCAGTATTTGGCACGTTGTCAAATGGGCCCTAAATCTAAAGTTTGGAGTTTTTTAGGGAATCAGGCAAAAACAGAAACAGATATGTCCGAAATAAAAGAAAACAGAGCTTTCCCTTGATTGATAAAGGAGCACAACTTGAAGATTCTGATCACCAGCATCAGAACAAACCTGAGTGGATTTGGAACCCCACCTATCTCCATAAAGGTTCTTGGTCCACTTGTCTAGGAGAGTCCTTGATCAGAATTCCCAACGAGGATATCTTTTCCATTTATAAAATGAAATAATAATAAATAATTCATAAATTTTGGCTCAATGCTCAACGTGATTCTAAGACTTTGGCCCAATGTATAATATGATCTTTGAATTTTTTATTTGTTCAATATGTTCAATATTATCAGGAACAACATTAAACATTTTCATATAATTCAGAGACTACATTGAATATGTACCAAAATTTTAGGGACCATATGGAATAAATTAAAAATTCAAGAACCACATTACACATTGGTCAAAGTTCAAGAATCATTTGTGTCATTTTCCCATGTGAACAAAAGAAATGGAGCAATAATTTAAGAAAATTATAGCATACACCTCTCTATATAAATAAAAATTGACACAAGCGATTTTATACATTTCAAAATTGAGAATTTTAACTACCAAATCTCTCATTAATCGACGATAAGGCTACACGTGAAAAAGTATTTTTTACACCGGCAATGTATAGTGGCAGGGTAAAGTTTTTTTTTTTTTTTTTGGGTCAAAACAAGGCTAAAGTTTTTTTTTTTGGCTAGAACTAAACTGTTCATTGATATCTAGTAAAACCAGAACTCACTTTCGGGGTCTCAAAACAGAGCAGATCTCTAAGTGCTTGTGGAGGACGGGTCAACCGGTGTTCGGTGAGTATTTTTTTCCTGTGGGTCTTCACTACCCAGTCCGCCACACTATTACTGTTTCTATTACAATATAACAGCTTTAAATTAGAAAATGAAGACAGCAGCCCACGTGCTTCGCTGATGAGAGCACGTTGTTCCCACGGCGATTTTTGTGTATACTTCAAGCTGTTGACTAGATTCTGGCAGTCTGACTCCAGAGTCAGTCTTTCGCCCACACGAGGAGAGAGGAATTTCAGGGTTTCCACCATGGCTAGGCTTTCTGCTTGCTCGGTGGAGGAGACGAGGACGTCCTTTGCGAAGCCGTTGATCAAGATCCCAGCTGAGTTGCGGCACACACAGGCAATTGATCCTTCAAATGATCCAGGTTGGTGAGCTGCATCTATATTTACTTTTATTTCGCCCCTTTCTGGAGGAATCCAGGCATCCTCCTCTTCGCTGTTCGCAGCATCAATTTTCCTGTCGAAGTTGTTCCATCTGCTAAAATTTCTGAGCAATTGTTGTCCTCTTTCAACCAGCAACTTTGGGTCCAGGAGGTGCCTTCTAAAGACGAGGTTGTTCCTTGCTTTCCAGATTTCCTAGAGAACTACCGAGACTAGCTCAAAATCTAGTGAGTTGTTGCTGTTGGGTATGTATTTGATCAGCCATTTGTCTATTCTGGAAGTTTGGTATTTAGAATTCTGGATGTTTAGTGCAGGAGCATCCCAGACTTCCCTCGTCCATTTGCAGAGAAGAAGTAAATGTTCCGGGGTCCCCACATGTGCTCGGCAGATTGGGCAGTTAGGATCAGGTACAATCCTTCTTCTGTACAAATTTTCCTTCGTCGGAAGGGCATTTTAACATACACTCCATATAAAGTTTTTGATTTTGTGGGGAGTTTTCATTTTCCATATCTTGTTCCAGAAGTTAGTAGGAGATTGGTGAGAGGAGGAGGCACACTGAGCTTCTGAGTTTTCGTTTTTGCGAAGAATGTTGTAGCTGCTGTTAATAGTGTACTCTCCTTCCCTCGTGCCAATCCAGATCAGTTTGTCTTCATTCATTTGTGGTCTGATATGTATTGCGAGGATCTCACGCACTACCTGTTCATCGAATAATCTTCGCAGGACCGGTTCCTTCCATGTGCTTTTCCCCTTGGTTTATCAGTATATCAACTTTTTTAGGGTTCCCTGCATTAGCCGGTCCCCCTATAGGTCCCCTTTTTAGCCACTTATCTTCCCTGATGTTAATGTTCTGCCCATTTCCTACTGACCACATGACCGAGTCTTCAATTGATGTTCTCCCCATAAGTATGCTCTGCCATCCCCAAGATGGTCTGGATCCCTTCTCTGCCTTCCAGAAACACTTAGTAGGGTAGTAGATGCCCTTTAAGACCTGACTACACAGAGTTGTATGGTTTTGTGCTAATTGCCAAGCCTGTTTTCCAAGCATGGCCTTGTTAAAAGATGTTAAATCCTTAAACTCGAGGCCGCCCCTGTCTTTTCTTTGTCTCAGCACTTCGGCCTTCCTCTAGTGTACTCCTTTTGTTGTGGTTTGGTTCTTCCACCAGAAAGCTGTTATTTTTTGCTCAATAGCCCGACATACTAAAACTGGGATCTTGAAAATTGACATGGCATATTGTGGTAATGCTTGGACAACAGTTTTTATCAGAATTTCTTTCCCCGCTTTAGACATTGTGTTCTCTTTCCACCCTTCAAGCTTCATATTTACCCTTGCCAGGATCCAAGCAAACATTTGCTTTTTGGATGCTCCCCAATCAGAGGGAATACCCAAGTACTTCCCGGTCTTATCAATCTCCGGGACTCTTAGTTCTCTAGCCATGTTCCTTCTTAATTCACTAGGGCAGTCCTTGCTGAAGTATATTCCTGACTTGTTCAAGTGAACTGCTTGTCTTGAAGCAAAGCAATACTGGTGAATGATTCCAGCCAGGTTCTGACATTCTTGTAGCTTCCCATCTAGGAAGAAGATTGAATCATCTGCAAAGAGTAGGTGAGATAGTACAGGGCAATGTCTATTTAGTTGTATCCCTTTTATAGTGACATCTTGCACAGATTTTTTCATCAGCATCGACAGGAAGTTTGCAACCAGTATGATTAGGTATGGGGATAAAGGGAAAGCCAGGCTAAAGTTGATGCTACTAAAATTTGTACCCTTCCACACATTCATAATTATACTTATAAAGTTGCAAGCAAATAATGAAATATACATTAAAAAATGACTCGCCAAAAATAAAAATAACCAATCCCCAGCAAAAAATTTCGTAATTTTAAGCTTATGACTTTTGTAGAATCGTTCATAGAGTTGAAGAAATATCATGCATCACAGGCTAGGAATGTCAGAACCAAACCGAAAATTTCGTGCATTTTGGCTCGGTTCAATTTTTGGTTCGAATAATCAAAACTAACCATTCTTTTTTTTTTTTCAATTCGGTTTATTTCAGTTCGGTTCGGTTCAAATCGAACGAACCGAACTGAAAATAACCTTTAAGTTTTAGCCCTTTTTCCATCGTGTGACTGCGAGAAGGACTCAAATCCTCCTGCGTTGCTGCTTCGAAACAATTCCAAGATCTAACTGCAACACAGCTACGACCCCACAAAATCGCTTCGCTCAATTTCACACAAATCCACAAATTCTCAAACTTCGTAGATCTTCGCAGCAGGCCAATAGAAGCTAGGGCTCAGAAACGAGGAATCAACAGCGCGAGAAGTCAAAATCTTCAATCAAACAAAAAACAGACAAGAGCTCAACGAATTCAAGCCAAAAACATTGCCTGAGACCGAGATCGAGAGGCTCCAAAGACCCCCGGAAAGATCAGCACTGGCAGGAACGAGCTTCGCAATCGCCAAGAAAAACGATTGGGAAGCGGCAAGAATCATCCGGCGAACGCTAAAGTGGGGGGAAGAAGATGGAAGAAGAAGCAATTCTGCAAAAATGATTATACGGTTCAGTATAATCGGTTGATTATACTTTTTTTTCCCTCTTTTTACTTTGCCAGAAAATTGAAAAATAAAAAGGAGGAAAAAGAAGAGGCCTTGTTCGAATAAAAAGAAAAAAAAAACCGAAAACAATGAATAAAAAGCAAAAAAAAAGAGAAAAAGAAGAAAAATCCGAAAACCAAACCCAACCGATTTTTCGATTCGGTTCAAGCGAGATTTGATTCGATTTTTCAAGAAAATTGAATCGAATCGAACCGTTTACGTGAGGCCCAGCCAAAATTAGATGGGCCATTCTCAATTCTAATGATGTCACCAGTGACTTCAGCCACCGATAAAATAATTGACTACAAGACATTTTGGTCTCGGCCTTCATCATTGCAATAATTGCAGAAAATGACAAGCCCCCCTCATCTCAAATCCTTGCTCATTTCGATCGGAATCCCAAGGAGCGGACATCAGAGATTCCGGCGGAGAAATTTCAAAAGATCGAATTTCTACAACTTGGGAGCTCTTGGCAGGAGTCCCATTGGCCTATTTTCCGGGGAAAATTTCCTACTAGCTCAGCACTAAATTTGTTAATCAGGGTCGCGTTTGCATATTTTGCACCCCGTCTGAAATCGTCGAATTTGATTGATCTCGTACCTACTTTGGGGACCCCGATGATGCTCGAAGGGGCACATGTTGAACCTGAAATGCACTCGACTGTATCCGTGCAATGACTTGTCGATTTCTCGTTCCCCACGCCAATTTTTCAAGAATAATTCGCTTTTTCACGTTAAAACAGAGAGAAAAAAAACGTGAAGAGAGAGAGAGAGAGAGAGAGAGAGAGAGAGAGGTGGGCCCCGGGGAAAGTTTGATAATTGAGAGGGTGACGTGGCGAACGTACAAAGGGATCGCGGAGATACGACCGATGGACGGTCAGGATTAGGCCTCCAGAATAATGGGTAAGAAAAACAGACGCAACCAACGAAGATAGTAATAAAACACGAGCGACCGCGCGCAGAACAGTATAAGACCCTTTGGTGTCCACGATCCTCGCACTTTCGTTCATCACTCTGGTCTTCTCCGTCTCATCCGTTGGATAGATCCACTCAGAGAGAGAGAGAGAGAGAGAGAGAGAGAGAGGGGCGGAGAGATGGCGCTGATAGGGCTCAAGGCGACGGCGTTCGCGGCGGCGGCGCAGCTGCTGGGAGTCGCCGGCGCGGTGCTGGTGCTGGTGTGGTGCATCTACTTCATGGGGGGCTTGGCCTGGGAAGCCTCCAACAAGAGTCTCATCTTCAACGTAACACCTCGCTCTCTCTCTCTTTTCCAAAGGAAAAAAACCTTCTTTTTCTGTCATGGACTATGGAGTCGCTTGTGTTTTGCTTGCTGAATAATCACCGGCCTGCGCAATGTTGTTCATCGAACGAGGAAGAGAGACTTTGTGTGTGTGTGTGTCTCTCTCTCTCCTCTGCGCCAGCGAATGGCAACTGTGCGAAGACGTGTTTGGTTGGATCGTTTGTTGCGTTCTTTTCGTCGCTTCGTGGTTGGGGCGGGGAAATTACGTCAATGCCCCCTTCCATTTTTCTTTTTCGTTTTTGTTTTTTATCGTCTTCCTCTTTTTTTTCGATTTTTCTTTTTGCGTTTCGTTTCGTTTGGTAGAGTTTTGGGCAATGCAGACATCATCGAGAATATGGGAACAACTGCACGTAAAGCCATGGCTACGGCGTTTCCGGAATCTGCTTTGATTTCAATCTTTTCTCCTCGCTTCTCGGGGGAATCCGATGCTAATTCTCTTCTCACCCACCGGCACACACGCGAAGTCACTATTTAATAAGCACGAAACATCTGATGAAAATAGTATTTTCATTTTTTTAAAAGCATTTATGGGTGTATCACGAGAAAAATAATGCGCCGAAAATCACAAATTTCCGCTATTTGATTGTTTAGGCACGTACCCATTAAAAGATTTCTAGGGAAAAAAAATCGATTTTTTTTCTCTAGAATTTATCTTCACCGCGAATTGAGCACCGTCGAGTGGACGCCACGGGGCTTACTCGATTTTTTTTTTTTCAGAATTTATCTACACCGCGAATTGAGCAACGTCGAGTGGACGCCACGGGCTTTACCTACCTTTCCAACTCGTCGCACCCACCCATCAGCCTTACTGCCTTGAGTGCTTTCATTCTTGGTGTGCATTTCATTGAGGATGAGTTCATATGTTCCCAATTCTCTCTCCATCACCTAACACATCGAAAATCCCAAAACAATCGTTTTCTTTTTCCTTTTTTATTTACTTATTTTTTTCCCCTCTTTTCTTTCTGCCTAATGACTATACACAACTATGTCAAAAGAAATTTGGTACCCTTTAGGAATAATAATGGAGGAAGTGATGGTTTGGATGTATATCTTCTATGCATCAAGTGAAAACCCTAATTTTCTCCACTTTTTTTTTATTTTTTTCCAAATCTACCTCTCATACAATAATAAGAAAAAGTCAATAATTAATTCTCATCTACCATCTAAGCTCCCACTTGCTCCACTCAAATAATAACTATCCTCGCCCATTCCCTCTACTAAAAAGTAAATAAATACCTTCTTCTTTTTTTTTTTTTTTTTTGAGATATCTCTCGATCTCTTATTATTATTTTTCTTATATATTGATCCAATTTTTGCACGTGCACGTAGCGTGAGCTCAACGCTTGTCGATGAATCACTCCCGAAATTGCGATGAGCATGTAGCCATGTTCCCGTCCGGTATTCAAACGATGATCACGGAAAATATCCGACATATATAATATTGTGTGGCCAATTGGCCATGCTTATCCAATTTGGACCCATGTTTGCATTTAGTTGGAACGATCGGTCCAAGGCTCACGTGTTCCTCTTTGGCCTGTCTGGTGTCAAAAACATTGATAGATTTGACCCGTAACCAATTGGCTTTTACTTTAGTCCTAGAATATGTCTAACTTGTCCTTTAGCTCCCGAAAGCATATTCCCATGTGTTCACGTCCCACGATGTCCGTCGTGTTGCTGGATTTGTTGTTTCTTAGGTTCTGTTCTTGTTAGCAAGGGATGGATCCTGCGAATTCGTGATTTATCGGCATGTTTAGAAAGTGATTGATCAAGAAAAACTGAAGTTTACTGACCTGAAATCGCTAATATAATTCAAAAGTTCACCATAATCTCTATTGCCAACTAGTTTTCTTAGTAAAAATTTATGCCCTTTGTTCTTCAATCGACGTCTTTGATAATAATGGCTGATGAATTTTTGCCAAATCCTAGTCATACTTCGAAGGCACTCTATCCGTTATGAGTCAACGTCTTCACGTAAATGCAAACTCACGTAATTGAGGGTTTGTCACTTCACAAGCTTAGGACGAAGTATAAACATAAGAGGACGTCGCATCGGGATTGCCATCATCATATTCCCTTCTTCGCCCTAGTAACTAATGGGTGTCGGGCTCCTTGTCCACGTAGTCGTGGTCATTCACGCGAAAAATTAGAACCGTCATTTATTTATGACGTGTCTGCTGTCAATTGAATTTAAGCTATAGGTCGCGTCGTATTCGGATTTTTCTTATATTTATCTTTTGCGTAATGTTGCGTGAACGGGTTATTTTTGTTGTTGTTAATTTACTACAGCATCTGGAACAATTTTCTCCCATCTCATGATTTCACTGTTTCCTCACCGCACAATCGCAACACTGTTTCTATCACTTTTCTCTCCTGTTCCGACCGCAACATTCCTCTCGCTATCATAAAGTTCTAACACGAGGCCTGTGCCGTTGATGACAGATTCATCCCGTGCTGATGCTAATTGGCTTGATCATCATCGGAGGTGAAGGTAATGAGAATCGTGCCGATATGTAGCCTCGCCATTTTAGTCGTAAAACTCTTCGCTTCCGCGGGCAAACCCCAGACTAACACTAGTCGTAACTGTCCTTTTTTTCACAAAATGCAGCAATCATAACTTACAAGACATTGCCTCTGAACAAAGAAACGAAGAAGGTGATACATATGGTGCTACACGCCATCGCTTTGATACTCGGCATCATCGGAATAAGTGCCGCGTTCAAGTATCACAACGAGAGTTCCATTGACAACTTCTACAGCTTGCACTCCTGGCTCGGGATCGGCGTCATTATACTCTATGCCATTCAGGTGAGTTTGCTGATCTCTTCGAAGCTATGTTCATCTGCATTTTCAAGGCCTAAGAAACACAAAGTAGATGCAACTAATTCGGCATCATCGGCTGTGACTGAGAGGTTGCACATTAAGAAACCAGATTTGAAGTCATGTACTTCTAGTTCCTAGAATCGCCTAGTCATACTTGGTTCTAACATACATTGTGGAGCTAATTTTCGTGTCGTCGATCGCACTTGTCTGAGACTAAGGTGATGATGTGCAGTGGATATATGGATTCATCATCTTCTTCTACCCTGGAGGATCGGGCACCCTAAGGAGGGACTCGCTTCCGTGGCATGTGCTGTTCGGGTTGTTTGTGTATTTATTGGCGGTTGGAAATGCGCTACTAGGCTTCTTGGAGAAGCTGACATTCCTTGAGAACTCGGGGCTCGCGAAGTACAGTTCTGAGGCCTTCCTCGTCAACTTCACCGCAGTCGTGACAGTACTATTCGGCACCTTCGTCATATTCACCGTGCTTTCTCAGCCCGTTGTTGAAGACGACCATAGCTATTCCCCAATCTAGATCGTGTCGCATTCCTAAATAAGATTGCTTTATGTATAGAACATCCACGGATCATTTCGTTGTAGCAGATGTACGATAATTGCGTGAGAAACACCCGTTCTTCTGAACAAAGTTGTCAACTTGTCATGCTTGGCAAAATCGATGTCCTTGTGGTTGTCTTTATTTATGTCCCTAGCGTTATTCCGATCGAATTTCACATAATTAGGACTCAGGAACTCGGGCTCTGTTTGGAGGATTAGAGAGTTGATTAATACAAGGGGATTGTAATCGAATATCCAGCATGATGTGTTGGGGATTCGATGGTGGTGAATGAGCACGGGCAATGCCTTCGCCTGATCTTTAGGACTTTTTTTTTTTTTTGGTCGAAACGAGCTGATTTTCATTTAACTAGTCACAAAATGAGAACAAAGCTGATGAGTACTGAACAGAGTAAATCCCAAAGAGGTAAGGGGGGCTTAGTAAGCCAATTTGGAGAAAGGAATCCTTTTCGATGGGTCTTCGCGACCCAATCTGCGGCTTTTGGCTTCACGGGGCCAATAAACCGCCGAAAATTTTAAAAAACACCTTTGAAACGGGCCAGGGAAAAAAGAAAAATATTAAAATATTTAAAATATTATTAATAAAGAATTGTAAAAGCAATTCCTTGCATTCTTTAACTAAATTTCGGATCGGATGGCCCATGGGCTTTCTGATACGCCACTCGACGTATCAACTACAGATAAGCTATCTGAGTTTATCTCCGCGTTCAGATCAAGTGAGGTCCTCCCGTTCGTGCGAACTCAGTCAACAGAGAAGCTGCTCCCATGACTGCTAGGGTTTCAGCTGCAAAAGCGGACGGGGCTCGCTCCTCCTTGGCGAATCCAGCAACCAGCAAAGCCGGAGTCGTCGCGGCATAACCCGGCGACGGAGCACGCCGCTGGCGCATCCACCCAGGAGCCGTCGACATTAAATCGCAGAGCGCCCTTCTCCGGTGGTGTCCATCGCCCATGTACCGAGCTTCTGCCTTTGTTCGAATTCGACGAGGATGGGTGCCATCTTGCAAAGGAATTGTTCGGGGCGACTGCATCGTCAATGATCGTGCATGGATTGGGTCTCCGCGACTGGAAAACGAAGCAATTTCGCACCTTCCATACCAGCCAGAGTACACCAGTGACCAACTCACGCGTGGGTAAGTCTATGCATTTTTCCCAGTGTCTCGAAGATCCAATTTTCAATTCTGGTGATGCTTGTCGGAGATATCCTGATGTTGAGTCGTCTTGGATCTGACCAAATTTCCTTTGTCCAGTCGCATAAAGTAAACATGTGCTCTGTGGTCTCCGGGGGGCATGGTGACAAAAGGGGCAAAGCGGGTCAGGAAAGAGTTTTCTTTTGAACATATTTTCTTTAGTGGGTTAGTGCGTTTCGGCACGTGCTCCACATGAAGAATCGAATCTTGGGGTAGGATGATAGCTTCCAAATCATAGTCCATAGGGCTCGGGGTGGCGACAAAAGAGGCGAAGCGGGTCAAGATAAGAGTTTTCTTTTGAACATATTTTCTTTAGGACTTGATATGTAACAATCTCGTAGATAAAAACTATATGGACCGTTGGATGTCATACATTTATTGTTTTGCAACCACCAATATCATGTAATGTAATTGAGATGCATCCATAAATGCATTTCCGAAAAAAAAAATGGGGGGAGGGGGTTAATACTACAAAAAATCACAAACTGGTACACGTGTGATAAATTTATCCAAAATTAATTTTTTGACCACCAACGATTCCAAACTGATAAACTTGTGACAAAATTACCCTCCGTTAGTTTCCATTAAATTTTACTGTCAAATTACCGAGTTGGATGATATGTGGTAGTTGAAGATTGTACCAGTTTAGGGTTTTACTCTCCATTTGTCACAGGTGTATCAGTTTGTGATTTTTTGTGATATTAATCCAATTTAACGGAAACTAACGAATTGTAAATTTGTCACTAACGTACCGGTTTTGAGTTTTCTATGGTTAAAAAATTAGTTTTTGGTAAATTATTATAAATGTACCAATTTGAAATTTTTGATAGTCAAAAAATTATTTTTTGGTAAATTTGTTTCATGTGTATAAGTTTGGGGTTTTTCGTGGTATTAACTTAAAAGAAAAAAAAACAAGAGGAATGGGCCTCCTCGATATTGTGGGCTTTAAGCGCACGCAGGAAAGGCTGCTTCAAAAGAGCCCGTCGGCCCATTTCGCTCGTGAGAAGTTCTTGAAAGGAGAGGTGGCGTCGCGTCATGCTTTCTCCCTCGCGACGTCGACGGACTGCCAACGAAACATTGTAGCATGGGGGAGATACGAGCGGGGACAAATTTGTCTTTTGGAGTACTAGATTTGGAAAGCAAATGTTGGTTTAGGATTTTCTTTTCTTTGTAAGACAAGCCTCGACGAGCAAAAAGCCAACAAAAACATTGGCATGGGGAGGGGCCCCATAACGTGGCAGGTGGTCCTTTCGTTTCGCAGCGCATCCCCTCCCTACATCGCAAAAGACGAGCCCTCAATTACAACGGAGATGATCTATACTTGTCGAATCTGGCGAGGGCTAGACCCTCGCCGCCGCCCTCGCCGGCTGCCGGCCAGGAAAGAAGAAGAACAGAAAAGAAGAAAAAGAGAAAAAAAAAAATCTCTTCTATTTATGATTCTTGTTTCCATAATCAATAATCAAATTTTTTTTTATTATTGATTTTGTTCCAAAACTGATTCTAGGAACAAATCTGTGCCTGGAAACAAAAAATTCACTAAACGGATTTCTGTTCTTTTTTTGTTCCCGGAAACAAAAGAATGGAATCAGTTATTATTTGACGAGTTACCGAATACACCCACAGACTACTCGATCTGTACTCAATAAAATCCCGATTCCCTTTCAGATGGAAAGATATTTAATGGGTCTTTATCTTATTTCAATTTTTTTTTTGCTGGTAAGGAAAGAAAATAAAGGTCATCATCACTTGGAGCGGGTCATACTGTTTGTCCCTCTGCCACAATGATTCTAGCTAGTTTGAAGGACCCTTTTGTGCCCGGAGGTGCTTCGCTCAAGTTGGTCATTAGCCCCAAACTCTTCCGAATTTTGCTTAGGGTTTCAATTGTCGCGCAGTCACATCATGTTCTCGTGAAGCCAACCCCCGAGTAAAAACGATCACCCACGATCGCCAAATCTTCCCCCAAACTTACCAATTAGGGAAACTCTTGTTTCGAGATCGAAATCGAGATGGTAGGAACGAAGAACGAAAGGATAAAACCAAGCCTCTTCGGTTGATGGGTTTTGCATTGCATTGATGTTGCGCCCGCGGTCTCAATCCAAGAAGGGATTGATCGAGAAAGGATTTGAAATGAGCCGCCATCCCGCAACGCCATGGCGTCTCCAGTCCCACCACCCCAAAAATATAAAAATAAATAAATAAAATTTCCCGATTTTCACCAAGAAAAACCAACCCACCATAGAAAGAGATTCATCATCATCTCTCTTTTGTTCAAACGTATAAAATTCCGCCATAGATTCTAGGAGACACTCAGGCCCATCAAAAGGCTAAAAGACCATTTAGACCTCGGACACCACCATCCAGGGGACATCTGTTCATGTATCTACTACTTGTGTTACGTTAATGCTAAATAAATGCGACGCAGCTCGTCGAAGGATCGGAACGTCGTAGGAGTTTTGTCGTTAGGAATTTTGTACATCTCTCTAGGTTGCGACAGCTCTGCCAGAAATAATTTGGGTTTTTGATGTCATCAATGCAACTGCAGCGTTTCTCAGCCTCATCTCCATTTCGAGGGTGCTTTTCTTTTTCCCCCTTGCGAGTGGTCTTCAAAATTTGGGTGAATCGCTGCCGAATTTGGTCCTATATAACCTCACGCATAAGATTTTTAATTCTATTCTATACTTCAAAAACGCTTGCCAGCCCTAAAATTGCATGTGGGTCCACCATTCTTTGTCCCACATTTTCTTATTTTCTTTCCTTTTTTCCTCACAATATTTTTCACAATTATTTAGAAATACTTTATTGAAACAAGATTGATTATCTACCCACTAAAGCACATAATTCGAATGATGTTTTGAGGTCACTTGTTAACACGGCCTTAATGCGAAATATTGATTTTTTTCGGTTTTTTTTTGGTTTTTGAGGTCACATAGATTCTTACGGAAAGGCCCACGGAAAAATTTACCCAAAATTATTCAAACTTATCGTGACAAAAGCACGTGTTAGAGATTTGGCGGAGAAACATGGATCGTCATGCTAATAATAGAACACCACCAATCGTATTTTCTCGATTAAACAAGTGCAAATCTCTCGGAAAAGCACGTGACCGGTGCAATAGGATTTCTTTTTTTCTTTTTGTTTCGCGAGAAACGGATGATTTAGAAAATACATTTCTAAAAATAATTAACAAAATTAGAATAGTTCTCACTCATCGATGATAATTTATGTCACTAGATTTTCTTTCGAGGGGGCATTGAGGTAAAAACGGTCTGCTCATTTTGCTTACAAACCAGGAAAACGAGAAGGACTTTTTACTCTTTAGCCACACTGTGCCAACTCACAGAAGCTCGCCATTACCTACCATCCAGCTCGCCTCTCTCTCTCTCTCTCTCTCGCCTGCTGTACTTTCTCTCTCTCTCTCAACCAACGCAACTCTCCTCTCTCTTTCTGGTTCGTTTCTTCCGTCACCTTCCCACCTGATACTTCAGCCATGGCCGAAGAAGAGCCCAGGAAGGTGGAGCCCGAGGCCCCGTCGGAGCCTCCGCCGGCGGAGACCCCGAAGGACGTCGCGGAGGAGAAGCCCGTGATCCCCCCGCCGCCGCCGCCTCCGGAGGAGAAGCCCAAGGAGTCCAAGGCCCTGGCCATCGTCGAAAGTAACGGGAATTTTTAGAGTTTCTCCGTTCTTCCTCTTGCTTTTTAGGCTTCTAGCTATAAAGTCTGCGTCCGTTTTTGTTATGGGTGATGGAAAGTTGATTGCTTTTCAATCTTTTATGTGCTGTGAAATCGAAAAAGAATATGGAAAAAAAAATTCGTCTTTGCAGATTCAGGTGCTGTCGTCAGATACGATATGATTATATGCAAGTCGTCTGCTGTTCTAATTTCCATCTGGTTTGGTTTCAGATGACTTGCTTAGTTTGAAACGAGAATTTTGTCAAGCTTCCTTGATAGTTTCTATGCTTCGAACAGTTTGTGTTGAAGTTGATATATGGAATTTTATGTGGGTTTGTAAACTTTTGTGTGATTTAACGTTTGTCCTTGTGTTCATGGCAGAGCCTGCTGATACCGCTGAAGAGAAAATCTCTGAGGGTTCTGCTCACCGAGGTGAATTTAAAGAAAAAAAAGAATAATAATTTCACGTTTTTATACGGTTCTCTCTTCTGACGATCTTTGTAAGTGTTTAATAGCAAATCGGAATGATGTCTTCATGAACTCTTCAGATAGGGAGCTAGCGAGAGTCGAAACACAGAAGAGGATGTCTCTCATCAGAGCATGGGAAGAAAGCGAAAAGTGCAAAGCAGAGAACAAGTAAGATCAAGTCACTGTCTGATGGGGGGTTTAGAGAAATCCGGTTTATTCACTGATCTGAGCTTTGCCTGTTTAATTTCCAAAATGAAGTTTTTGGCATACACAACAAGTAGATTAACAAGAACACTGGTTGGGCAGGGCTCACAAGAAACTATCTGCGATTGGGGCATGGGAGAACTGCAAAAAAGCTTCTGTAGAAGCTGAGCTGAAGAAAATTGAGGTACCACGCTATGAATTTGGGAGTGTTATGAGTTACTTCTGATTCTGTTCTGTCTGTATATCAGCCAGTCCAATCGTGTTTTCATTATGATTCACATGCCCAATTATCTTTCTTCGACATCAATCGTGGATTGAAGATGTGATATATTGTCTTGGACACAAATATAAGTTATCAGAATGTTTCCCTTGATTTGGCTCTCCATCCGATAAGAATACGCCTATTCCACCTTGACTGACTTCGCTCTATTTCTTTGCCAATTAGGAAAAGTTGGAGAAGCAGAAGGCGGAATATGTGGAGAAAATGAAGAACAAAATTGCTCTCATCCACAAGTCCGCAGAGGAAAAGAGGGCGGCCATAGAAGCCAAACGAGGGGAAGATATGCTCAAGGCAGAGGAATTAGCCGCTAACTACCGTGCGAAAGGGACCGCTCCCAAGAAGCTCCTCAGTATTTTTTGAGGCTGAAGATTTTTTTGGCCTTGTTGTGTAATCATCAATACATACTGTACATGTTATTGTTTGGGTTTCATTTGTTAGGCTACTATATATCCGAGTGCTTCATGGTTTTAACATTTGCTGCATATTTGGTGTTAGTCGTCGTGTTGGTAGCTGAAGATCTTTTTGGCCTTGTTGTGTAATCATCAATACATACCGTAAATGTTATTGTGTGGGTTTCATTTGTTAGGCTATTATTATATCCGAGTGCTTCATGGTTTTAACATTTGCTGCTGATTTGGTGTTAGTTGTGTTGGTAGCTGGTTTTTCTTTGGGTGTACATGACAGTTCGTCAAATATGTAAGAAACGTGGATAAGTTCAGTTTCTGAACTTTGTGTGAACGAGGGTTTGCTTTAGACAGTTTTTACGTTTTCTATGCCGCTTTTCTACTAATATTAGCACTTTTCGGAGACGGCAAAAGGAAGTGAGACTGGAATCTAGACGATGCAAAAAAATAAGAATAAATGAGTTAAGAGTATGAGTAGAGTGAGCTGCTAATTTTGCGGATGGGAGAACCTCTCAAGACACGTTAGCGGAGAAGACACCAAAAGGGTCGGTGTTAGATTATTTAGTGCGTCCCCGAGTCACATGAAAAGGGCCGTGCGCGGGCAGGCATCTCGTTTCTGAGGCATGGAGAAATCTGTGTTTCGGTGAGCATGAAGTTGCATGTGTCCTTGCCAATGGTTGATATGACAACAGAAGGGGAATTTAGCGGCGTCGCCTTTCTTCGGTTCAGAGATTTTACGAAGCCCTCAACCGTCCCGCATAGCTCGCAAATGAAGCCCAGATGGATCTTCTGTAATAAAAGTTATCGATTTCTTCGCCTACCACTCTACCAGTTCGAACTCCCGACTCGGGGGATGATATCAGAGACAGCTTCTAGTTCTAGCTTTTCGATCATATGCTCCATATGCCAATAGGCAATAAATGATGGGGTACATTAATGGCATAATCCTCCTTTTAGGCCCATTAGCGCAACGGGCTCGTTAAAGTGAAACTCTTCACGCCTGCCATTGATGTTATTTTCATGCTGCTTTAGGTTACTGATCTAGTGATCATTGGGTGTCCACTGGTCACCTCTGACACTTGAGTTATTGAGAAGAAGATGAAACTGAACGCTCCCTTGCTCAAAATGGAAACGGGGTCTGGAGGCTACCATTTTCATTTTTTGCCCTGTTCATAAGATTTCTAAGACCAAAACTAAACCATTCTTTGGCCTAGAAAAACCTTCTGTAGTCTAGATCTGTGAAATCAGGCATAACAACTACGGAGGGGCAGAGCCATCAACAAGATTTTCTATGACAGCGATTTGTCGAGCAACTGCAGAAGTTAATCACATGAAACTGGAAGACACATCAGTTGTTTGTTATGCAAAAGTGAATGCAACATAAGATACAGGATCTCTCTGGGAGCCAACATCACGGGGAAGAATAACGACTAATTACACTAGTTCAATTTTTCCCAGCTCATCACTTCTTCCAGTGAACAGCCTGACTTGGAAAGGACTTGCGTGTTTCGCAAATCCATGTTTTAATTTGGAAGTATAATTAGAAGTTATTCTTCCTCGTAGTTGCGCCCCTGATAATTAAAAAAAATTCTCATTGGACAATATATCACTGTCAATGCTGAAGGCACTACAAAGATCATCCCTAGAAAGACACTGCACAAGCCCATTTCCCGGGATTTGATCCTCGAAATCAAACTGTGAGCTATATATCTCACTGGTTGAAAATTCACTCCGATCATTGTGATATTGATCGCCACCAAAAGTTCCCTCATTTAGCAGTGAAGAAACTAAAGAATCCTGAGAGCTTGTATGGTAATAGTGATCATCTCTAGGAACTTGTAATTCAGCATGGTTTGTGAAACTTTCTCCAGGAGAATTATCCAGAGAAAGCCACTCCGCAAAAAGAAGCCTTGGCAATGAGCTTTGACCCTCTTTTGTCGGGTTGAAAATTTCTGGAATTTGAGAAGCTGAGCTTTTTGTATGTTCCGTTGTATCATAACTTTGGGTGTGATCAGTTGGAAAGTTTGTTGAGTTCAGAGATCCCAGAGAGTCTGAATTGCTTGGCATTTGAAGGTGAGATTCATCAGCTTTGACATTAATCTTCTTCTTAAGATAAGAATGCCAATGATTCTTTATTTCATTATCGGTTCTTCCAGGGAGATGCTGTGCTATTTGAGACCACCTAATCACATGAGAAAATTAGATCAGTACCGTTGAAAACAAATAAGAAACTCTCTAGCATTGTCTAGTATGGCAAAAGAAACAGTTTTTAACCCTCGCTTACTTGTTGCCTAACAAGTGGTGGAGGTTCAAAATTGTCTCTTCCTCCTGTACTGTGAACACGCCTCTCTTTATTCCTGGCCTCAGGTAATTAATCCACCTTAATCTGCAGCTCTTGCCATTCCTCTGCAAACCTGCACAGAAGTACTACCTGACTTATTATAATCATCAAAAGTCAAACTTATGAAGTTTTCTCTTAAGACCATCTAGTCACCATCAATCTCTTTCACATTAATGGACGGCATTCACACTCCAAACTCCATCGTAATGCATTAGTCTAAGTTCAATATGACTAATTTAAAGGCACAAATGTCTTCTTGCAGCTAACTTGCCGTCAAAGTAAGCATTTTTCGTCTTTCCCGCGTGTTTCTGACCTTAGCATTTTCTTATTATTGCAGAGGGACTTTGCCATTACCAAAAAGTCAGCGATCATGAATTTTTAAGCGGTTTAGGTGGAGCTTCTCTGTTCTTAGTCCCTATGTACAACCAAGAAAATTACCAATTGCACCTTGGGAACTCATGTTTGTCCGGGTCACTTTCAAGAAAACAGAAATATGAACAAACTGATGGCTAAATTCTGTCACCATTGAATCAACCTATTCCTGTACAGAAGAAATTAAGTCTTTGCTTTATCTGCAGGTTCCAAACCAAACTGCAGTTTTTGTACTGGATGTTGTCTGCCCGATTATTTTGTTTCCTTACTGTCTTATGCGTGCATCCACATCGAGCATTGCTATGGGGAAGATCTAACGGTCTGAGAACTGGGATCATGACATAAGAACAATGGCACATTGAATGCACCAAGTATGTTTCTTATACGCTTATACTATGGAACAAGTGTGCATATGGCTAAAGATCACACCTGCATTGATGGGAACTGAGCTCCAGCAACCATAGCCGTGTTTAACGATGTAATTTCTGAGCCTCTGGTCTTCATCTGGTGACCACAAACCCTTCCTGTGCTTTGCCTTTGGTTTTTCCACTGACTTGCATCCCATTATGCCAAATGTAACAGTGAGACAGATGAGTGATGAGCTCACAATTGAAACCTCAGTAATGTCAAAGAGCTAAGAGCAAAAAGAGGAGAGAAGAGGAGAGGTTGAGGACAAGAGGGCAGTGCAAAGGCTCTGGTATTTAAAAGCGATGATTTTCATCTCTCCTCCCCTTTGTTTAAACCGAGAAAAAAAATACAAGCTTGTCTTTTGGGGGGATTAACAAGTAGGTATAACTGAAACATATTCAATTTAAAGAGCAAAAAGAAAAATGTACCATTATTATATAAAAACTCCAAACTCTTTCAGAAAAGTTTTCTTCTCATATTTTGCATTAATTACCTACCACCAGTGACCGATTCCCATTTGATTTTTAACGGAACTCAGCTACTTCTCTAACTCTATTTGGTGAAAATTCAACTACAAACCATGGCTTCTCTGAGGAAATTTGGAAACAGAGGATAAATGCATGGCATTCATATCTGCACTACAGCTCATGCAATCTCGGCTAAAAAATTTGCGAACCAGAATGTCCTCTCAACATTACCACGATGAAACGTGTTCTTCTTTTACTTCAGCAGCGGTCTTTTACATGACATGAACAAGGTGTCCATCAATGTTGGAGTCAAAATGAACTGCCTGCCTCTGAGAGTTTCTGCCATTTATTCTCAATTACGACCACATCGTCCATCTCTGATCGCCGCACCCGCCAATGGTACTGAATCTTCTAGTTCCAAGAGATATCAAAATTGCAGAAAAAATGCTCCATGGGACAGCCAAGAAACTCCGGAGAGTTTTAAAGTTTAACTGGCCTTAGTTTACTGTGAATAGCAGTTTCAAGGGCATGGCACACTGTCCCTTCAGAAACTTCAGATGGAGCTTTCGCTCACAAGTGAAGCTGAAACTGCAAAATGGTTCGAAACTCAATCTCAACCGCATCCCTTAGTTTGTACTGAATATAACATATCAATAGCTCTTATTTGACATGATCATGTTTGCGTATTACTATTCTATACCTAGTTAGAATGATACAAATTAACACAGAGACCATACACACAATCTCATTTCTAAAGCATGTCTACTGTAGTTTGACGAGTTGCCTCGGACTGTCTCCTTACATTTGTATCACCATTGGAGTGATTTCTTCAGATATCATCAATAAGACTCACGAAAAACATGGAAATGAACTGAAGTTGTCAGGTGTTCGTTGTAACATTGGCCATCCAATGATGTTGCAACAACCCTTGCCGACAAGCCAAGGGGAGAAATTTGTTGCATTGTTCGCTTTCAAGGAGGCCTGACTAAGAGCGAGTTCCTCCAATGATCAGAAACTGACTTTCCATCAGGATCGTCCAATCAAATTCTGATGGAAATCCCAAAAATATTAAAGCAACGAGGGAATGAAACGTGCTCCATGAATTTAGTTAAATAAATTCAGAAGATTCGTTCTTAGTTCTTATTCAATGGGGTGCTGGAAATTCTGGCTTTCGAGAACCAATAAAGATGGATCTTTCATACGATCATTGATCGATTATTATTGAGTTTTGGTTACTTTGGCACGCTAACTCGAAAGAGTTGCAGAAAAATTGGCATTGACCTCTTGTGGAGAAGATGAAGTTATAATGATTGATTATATATGTGAATGAGTGGACTTCAATCCCGTTAAAGAATATTGTCTATGATTTTATAGAATTGATGGAGTTGAACATTCGAAAAGCGATGGATAGGTGTATTGCAGATTCATTAATGAAAATGCTCGAATTTTCCCTTCACTATTATTGTATTACATGCAAATATCAGAAACAACCCCACACTATGTCTTCTATGACGTAAATATCCCAAGCTTTTTTTTTGTGTCGATAGAAACCCTAGACTTAGGGGTGAGCATATCGGACCGGTGAGAACTTGTCGGCTTCAGGTTCTGGGGTATGTAGGAAAGATTTCAAGTTTCAAAAATTGGAGAACCTGTTTTGACAAGTAGATTTCAGTTTCTAGGTAGGTGGAACCTGGAATCTGAAACAAGTTTTTGTGTTTTTCTTGGTTAATGTCTTCGCGCGATTTTGCGATATTCCATGGCATCTAATGATGAGTATATATTTCATATAATCTGGACACTAGTATGAGTTTCCAATTTATGATTGTGACTTTTAGTTTGTTAATATTTCATATTTTTCGTGTGTCTAAATGTAACTTGTTGTCAGTGAATTAACAGCAAGTAGTGGTAACTAAAGATAATGATTCACTGCAATCGTTCAATTAATAATAGAGGTGAAATCTAGGTAGATCCTGGAACCGACGTGAAACCTGTGACAAGATAGGTTTTAGGTTCTGGGGTATGCAGGGTAGGTTTCATGTTTCAAAAAATGAGGAACCTATTCCCATTGGTAGGTTATGGGTTCCTGGTGGAATCTATACAAAACCTGGAATAGCTCACCCCTACCTAGACTTACCTACTGTGATACAAATACCCAAAACTTTCTTTTATGTTGCGAAAAAACCTAAACTTCCCTCTATTACGATTCCATCCAATGTATATTTCTCACGCCGGTATAAGTTGGGAGTTTTCTTATTTGTGTTATAATAAGCAAATTTATGGTAGATATTTATGTCACGGTAAGCATAGTTTGAGGTTTTTTGTGGGATTAACCATTATATAGAATACTAATCAAGCAAGCTGGTAAAGGCTTCCTAAGTCAACTATTGTACGCATGCCATTGCCCAAAAGGTTAATGTGAATCACTGATTTGACTGCAACATACTAATTATACGTATCTCATACTTTTTAAATACCTAATTTGTGCTCTTAAATCTAAACCCGTATAGGTACTTTCAATACTTAATATATATTTGCTTAATAAAGGTTTGAAGTCATCATCACTACGCTGAACCATTCTTATTCGACATAAACCTCACAAAATATATATTTCCATCATGTTACCGGTCCTGGAACCTCAGATCTAATTTTTTTAAACTGAAATTAGAATCTTCAATTCGTTATGATACATAATTTGAAGACCTTTAACTAGGAAGCTTAGACATAATAATCATCTGACTTTTCGTCTCAACATTTTCTGGTGCACTTAAATTTGTATAAAAAAAAAGTGTGCACATCAATCAATTGACTGACTTGATGGAAAAAGGGAATGAATTTGAGATATTGTATCGCTTTTACATTAAATAATTTGTTAATGAATGTAAGTTGACTCCACAACATGAGCAATTTAAAACTAAGGATACTTTTGTGTGTTTTTGGTAAGTTTTAATATAAAAAAAATTGACTAGTCAAAAATTCTGGCGGTAGGACATTTCTTTCATAACACATATTCTCAACTAGTGAAATCCAAATTACACTTTATATATTCCTCAGAAAATAAAATCAAACAACCGTTTTAAACAAATGAAGATGTTGAAACATTTTATTCCTGGGTTGACTTTTAACTTTTGTTGGGGAATGATTTTCTCTTGATCCATCATAGGAATGGAGAAAATCTAACCAAAAAACACGGTGAACAACGCATTTTTATCACGAAATATGCGTCGCATAAAAATAAACAACTGCCCAGACTTGCTTCATGTGATAGAATGTGTGTATTGCACATAATGGTTTCTTCTTTTCGACATTTACTCGTGCAAAATGGTGCAACAAGGCAGATTGCTATATGTTGCATCATGGCACTTCCTCCATTTCCATATCATACCACATTAATACAAACACGAGGAGATACATATGCAAGATGCAAGTGAGTAGTGTAATCTCGAAATAAAATTTGTTCATGATCTCCTTCCTTAACAGATTTTTAATAAAGATGTTTCAAATATAAGTGGTGATTTATGTATATACATTTACAATCTTAATATGAATGTCACAAACCATATTAGATGAATAAGGAAATAAGCCGTTGAATTTCAATTCAATGTTTCAGTCAAAAAAATTCATATTAAAAGGTCGTATTTTTTACGGTTTCATATCAGAAACAACTCGTGGCGAAAAGAAAATAAAAAACAATTATTCACAAGTTGAAGAAAACAATAACACGCGGCGTCATCTTTCGCGTGCATCTGTAGAATCAACGACAACTTAACACAAGTATACTATTTGATTAAGACACTGAGCCAAAAAACAAATTGAAACTGGGATCTTGGAAATAATGGAATATGAAACAGTCGCACAGAAGACAAAAAGTCGGACCTTACATCCTATTCTTACACCAAAGTTTGAATGTGCAAATATATATTATAATGTGGAAACTTATATTTGCAACTTGAATAAACTTATACTTGTATATTGGCCTTGATAAGGACAAAAATCATTTTATGCCCCCACGCCTTGGACTCGAATACAGTAGAATTTTGGAAGCTACGAGATCAAAAGGAAAGAGAAAAACCAAAACATCAGACACAATAAATATCGCCCTCTCAAGATCTGGTAGGTTAGCTGATACCGACACTAATTAAACACTTAATAACCCAAAAAAGAAAAGGTACCTAAACCAATGGCAGTCAATGGCGCCTCTCTTTTGACTTCACCCTTTCACTAGTTGCCCGGGTTAATACTTAATCAATATTACATGATTGGACAGTGTAACGACCCGGTCCGACAAGGGCGGAGAGTGGTCGCCGGGCTAAAGGGCCTAGACAAGAAGCAGTTGCTAGCAGGTTTCTAGGATGACGAGGGGGCAGGAACGAACAGGGGGAGAGCGATTCTAAAATATATATATGTGGAAACTAGAGTTAACTCACGGATGCGCCTTTTGAGGTAATGACAATGCTTAACTTTGGAACTCCAAGGTTAAGCGTGCTCAGGTAGGAGTACTCCCAAGATGGGTCATCTCCTGGGAAGGTGCTCATCTGTACGCCAAAGGACAAAACCATAAGGCTCAGTATGGAACGGGACAAAGCAGATAATACCTCAGTGAGTTAATCCAGGGATGCCACAATGTGGTATCAAAGCAGGACCCTCTAGGTGTGTAGTTCGAGACGAACCAAGCGAAAGCTTGTGGACTTATAACGACCCGGTCCGAGAAAGCGGCGAGTGGTTGTCGAGACTGTGAGGTTTGGTATGAGATTGG